AGGAAGGGAGTCCCAGAATCTTGGCAATGCTATTGAGAACTCCCTGCTGTGTGTCTGAGCTTCAGTGCATGGAGGAAGGCTTTTAATGAGAGATTCCCTGCAAGCAACCACCATAGTGAAAATTGATCAAGGAAGGGTTTTGCATGGAAACCCCTGCGAGAACAAAGGGGAAACCTATCCATTTTCGCAGCACCTCTCACCTGAGATCATTAGGATCACCGTTTTAGAACTGCTTACCTGAGAAAAAGTATCTTGCTAGTACATCCAGGTTATTTAATAGTTTCTGCACAGCTGGTACCGGGGGAGAGCATCCCAGTCCCCAATAAATATTATTTCTCTTTCAGAAATTGAACATGTTCAGGATCGAATGTTATTTTGAAATGCATTACAGTGGTACCTCGGGTTAAGTACTTAATTTGGTCCGGAGGTCCATTCTTAACCTGAAACTGTTCTTAACCTGAAGCACCATTTTAGCTAATGGGGCCTCCTGCTGCCGCCGTGCCGCTGGAGCACGATTTCTGTTCTCATCCTGAAGCAAAGTTCTTAACCAGAGGTACTATTTCTGGATTAGCAGAGTCTGTAACCTGAAGCATATGTAACCTGAGGTACCACTGTACTTGTATTTGTCTTTCAGAAATTGAACATGGGGCACAAAACTTCACCCTTTTCTCCTCCTTCCACTGAACCTCTCCTATAATAGTCCACACACACACACACACACACACACACACTAGTGTAGCCATTGAGCTCCTGTCTGAGATTTGAAGAAGGGCCTCCTTAGACCAAATCTGAAAGGATCTACTCCTTCCCTAAAGCTAAATTGGTCCCCTGACCTGGGATCAGGCACAAACTTTGAAAGCATTCTTCTGCCACTGAGTTCCAGCTGTTCAAAAGCTGCCTGCAATCTGCTCTGTTGTGGGCTGTCGTGCAAACTACCTCCCGCCCAAAGAAGATATGTTATCTATCTTCAAATATCTCAAGGGCTGTCACATGGAGGATGGAGCAAGATTGTTTTCTCCTGGTCCACAGGCTAGGACCTGGACCAATGGATTCAAATGACAAGAAAGGAGGTTTCTGACTAAACATCAGGAAGAACTTGCTGGCCGTAAGAGCTGTCTGACAGTGGAGCAGATTCCCTTGGAGGTTTTAAAGCAGAGTTTGGATGGCCATCCATCATGTGTGATGTAGCTGGGGGGGGGTGGACTAGATGGCCCTTGGTGTCCCTTCCAACTCCACACTTCTTTGATTCTGTAAAAGAAAACTGCTAGCCATAGAGTGCCATAAGGAATCTTCTCCCCCTGTTTAGTCTTGTTCACAAGTATAAAGTGAAGTTACTGCAAGTTGTGGCTCGTTCTTTCTTGCCAAAACAGTGCTATCCCTACAAACATACTTACTGATCTCTTGTTACTTTCCCAGGCTTGAATCCCAAATGACTTCTGACATTCAAACCATCCTACAGCTGCTGCAGAGACAATCAGCACTTGTTCCACCTGCCTATAGCATGGTGGCCACTGGGGCAGATTATCAGAGGCCAGCTGTCCGAATAGTGCAAAGTCTTCACCCCATAGCATCTATTAAAACAGACAGAAGCTTCAGTCCTTCACAGGTATGCATCTGTATACAGGTACAGATATGTCAGTGGCTTCTTGTGGTTTATTCGGCTGTGTCCTTTCATGGGCAAGAATTCATGTCATCAGATGCATCCATATACGAGCAGGAGAAAAGCCCTGTTGGGTGAGATCAAGGGTCCTTCTCTAGGCCAGCATCCTGTTACCCACAGTGGCCAACCTATGGGATACCTATGGAAGCCCCACAAACAGGATCCGAGAGCTGCAGCCCTCTGCCACAGTCGTTCCCAGCAGAAGCACAGTGCCTCTGATGCAGCTTATACTCACTAGGACTGTTAGCTATTGATAACATTCTCCCTGTGAATTTATCTGTGTCTATTAGACAAGCTATTGCCTATGAAGGTAGAGGTGTTTATTTGTGTATGTATACATCTTACAATAATGCCAGAGACCTAATTTCAGACCCTCCAAGTATCTGTATTTTCTAGGGACAGTCCCAGATTTACAGAAGCCATCGCGATTTCTGATTTGATCCCAGAATGTCCCACTTTTTCTGAGGGCATCCCTATTTTCATCAGAGAAATGTTGGAGGATATGGAGTTATGTGACCTCCCCTGAGCCAAGGAGATAAGTAACTATACAACCTTTAGAAGACATCTGAAGGCAGCCCTGTATAGGGAAGTTTTTAAATGTTTAATGTTTTATTATGTTTTATATGTGTTGGAAGCTGCCCAGAGCGGCTGGGGCAACCCAGTCAGATGGGCAAGGTATAAATGATTTTAAAAATTAGCATTATTATAGAATAGGACGTCCTTATTTTCATCAGAAAAGTGTTGGAGGGTATGCAGTTTTCACTTTTAGGTTTTCATTAGAAATGGACTCTTTAAAATGCTTTCTGACCCTGCTGTTGTTTGGTTTCGTTTTCTCAGTGTCCTGAATTTCTAGACCTTGAAAAATCAAAACTGAAATCCAAAGAATCTCTCTCGAGCGGAGTGCATCTTAACACCGCCTCAGAAGACAACCTGGCATCCTTTCTGGAACAGGAGCAGGCCCAGTCTTTAGAGCTGCCCCAACAACATCATCGTAAGGCTTACCTCCACCAAATCAGACACCCATCCTTGCCAGATTCTTCCCTAAGCACTGTAGGAATCTTGGGTCTCCATAGGCATGTTTCTGATCCTGGTCTTCCTGGGAAATAACCCTTTTATACTCTTACATCACCTAAAATGTAAGTGCTTTTAATGGCTGGGTTTTTCCCCTTTTTTATTTTGTATTTAAATCCTCTATACTTGACTCAGGGGCTGCAAGGATATACCATTATATGCAAAAGTACTGTATATTTTCCTAACTTTGTAGCTTATAAGGTAAGGTTAACCAGTAACAATGTAAATATATAAATATATACATATATATATATATATAAACAAACAAACTGTATGTTCCAAATATAAAGCTGCCAGCATTCTCAAGGCACCTTATATTTTTTAATTTTTTAAAAAGCACCTGCATGTTTGGAAATGATAACGGATCTGTTGCATGGAGACTACTATTTACTGTTTTCAACGAAACCCTATTTTACTGCGGATAAGCCTTCCAAAAAAAACACCCAATGATGATGGTCTACACAGAAATTACTTTCTTTCTTTTTTTAAGAGCTACTCTGCAGCTCCAGCAAAAAATAAATAAAAAAATATTTCAATTTACCTTTTGAAAATTATACAGTGGCCATTCTGGCACTGAACTTCTTTCCCCCCCTTTTATAATCAACACAACTATACCATGGCTTGAATAAAAGACTACAGTAGCTAAGTCTTCTGTGTTTCGGAAGTCATTCATGTAACACACCATTAGCAAAAATAGGTGACTTTTAAAAATAAAACTGCTAGAGCAACTGAGCTGCACAGTGGAAAGCATCATCAATGACTTGCACCCCCATTAACTGAATGATGTCATTAAAAAAAAAAACTTATTTTCTCTTTATTAAAACCATATCAGTACCTATAAGCTGCCACCCTACAAAAGGCAGTTAGCTGTCAAGAGACCCTCAAACATAATCAAATGCAATAAATATAATTTCTACATAACACAGAAGACTTTGTTCCTTTTGTTCAATGTGAAAAGCTGAGTGATGGAAATATTTGGCTCCTTTTTATAATGGACATGGTTGCATTTTGAGAACTCTCTCTTAATTTTCTACACACATGGGGGGGAGGAAAGACTGATCCAGTTGTGTTCTTACATTATCAGAAGGGTTTTCAATCATCAGGTACCTCTGCTAATGGAAAGAGGCGACCTGCAAATTTGCTCTTCCTCCTGAAATCCCACTACCACCACTTTCCACCATGTTCTGGAGACTCCCTGAACTCTATGCAGCTGATTTTTGGGAGGTGTTGCTGGGAGGAGAAATTAGCAAAAATGCCCCCACTCTTACTCCATTAGCAGATGCCCTCACTGGATCAAAGCTCTTTCCATTGGCTGCAAGAGCACCAGTTGGGTTCTGCCCAATTAGATAAACCACTTCAACGTGGTTTTCCACCTGGGTTATTTTTTAACCTTAGGGCATTCTCACACAATGGCACCAGAGTTGCCCATTCATATAAAACTCCTTACATGTTAAATTTGTTCCTTCCGGGTAGTGGAGCACAATGGGTAGTCTTGATCCATTCTAGCACAGTACCCACACACTGCGAGGAGCAAGGGGTGGTCGCCGTAGGGTTCAGTAGAGCCTTGGTTTTCTTCTGATCCTTGGCACACTCTCAAATGCAAGCATGCAAATGTAGAATAGGTAAAAGGTAAAGGACCCCTGGACAGTTAAGTCCAGTCAAAGGCGACTATGGGATTGCGGCGCTCATCTCGCTTTCAGGCCGAGGGAGCCGGTGTTTGTCCACAGACAGCTTTCTGGGTCATGTGGCCAGCATGACTAAACCGCTTCTGGAGCAACGGAACACTATGACGGAAGCCAGAGCACACTGAAAAGTCATTTACCTTCCTGCCACAGCGGTACCTGTTTATCTACTTGTACTGGTGTGCTTTCGAACTGCTAGGTAAGCAGGAGCTGGGTCAGAGCAACGGGAGCTCACTCCATTGCGGGGATTCGAACCGCTGACCTTCCGATCGACAATCCGTGCTGTTATGGGAACCAGAAGGTCTATTCATACACTGCTGTGTCTCTGTCCACTCCCACCCTACCCTGCTTCTGAACCAAGGCAGAAGTAGTGGGGAAAGAGAAATGGGCTGTATTGAACCCTATGGTGACCCATTCATTAAAAAAAGCAGTGTATTCTAGGGTAGAGCATCTCCAAAGTATGCTTATTCTGAACATGCATTCCCTAAACACATATTGAAGCAACACTATTCATTGAAGTGAATGGGGAGAGGAGAGTAGTTCCCAGAAAGCTAGTGTAATATGGAAGCATTCCTAAAGATATCTATGTACGATTGGATGTTCAGTCGGTAGAACAGGAGACTCTTAATCTCAGGGTTGTGGGTTCGAGCCTCACATTGGGCAAAAAGATACCTGCATTGCAGGGTGTTGGACTAGATAACTCTTGTGGTCCCTTCCAACTCTACAATTCTATGATTCTAATATATGCATCGATATGCGCATATATATATATGCACACCTCTTCAAGTATAGCTGTAAACCTTATTACTAACCAAGTAAGTCTATCCGGTGTCCAATTATTCAAAGATCCATAGGTGTTAAATACAGTCTATACTGTATGTGCATAATGCTTTGCAAATACCTAAGATTTAATTTTATTAAAATATAACATGCTTCAAATGTTGTGTTTGTTTTAGAAGAGAACTGACCTTTCTCACTACAGTATTTGCCCAAGTCAAAGCAGCCATGTAATTCCTTAAACTTAAACAAAAGTTTTAAGATGGGAATCTACCAAAAATGATCCAAGTCAGTTGATTTCTGTAGGTCTGTGATGTGGTGTGAGGAGAACAGGAAAATAAAAATAAAAATGAGGGAGGCACCAACAGCAGGAAGAATGTAAAAAGCAAGACCAATATCCTAAAATTACTATTTACCATAATAAAGGGATGGGGAATTATTGTTTAATAGAGGGGTGTTTCTTTTAAAGCAGCAGTGGGGGACCTTTGGCTGTTGCTGAACTACAATTCCCATCAGCCACAGCCAGCATGGCCAATTGTCAGGAATGATGATGCTCTAGTCCAGCAATATCTGAAGGCACATACATTCCCTCCATCCCTGATTTAATAGGAAATAGGACTGCATTATAACTATCATACATGATCATGAGTAGCACTGCCAGCCTTTTCTGTTGATCCATGTTGGACATATACAGACATTCCTACATATATTCTGTAGATGAAGAAAACCAAACGGCTTTCGGAATTACCAGTTTAATAACAATTGTAATGTATAAGTCTTTGCATTGTTTGTGTTTATGGGACACACTTATGGTGATGAGTGCATAAGCCTTTTGAGAGCCACCAGGATTTTTTGAGCTCCCAAGATCAGTCAACAGGGTCTATGCCCATTAAAGGCAACACTTTGATTGCCATTCCTCTGCGGGACTTGGAAAGATCACCTGTGTGACAGGGAAATGTCACCATGAGGTGACAACATTTGCCCCGCTCCCCCCCCCCCCCGGTTTCTTCGTTTCATAAATGTGCTTCAGCGTGTGAAATCAAGTTCGGAGCTTATGAAGTGCAACAATAGGAAAGCTAATGTTGTATTTCACATGGCTGGTCTCAATTTCACAGATGGAGAGTACCTTTATAACCACAAAGGAATTACCTGTCAAAAGTGTGAACTCAGCCTGGGACAAAAGCAGCAAGTCACTCTCGATTCCCGAAAGAGCTTGACGAATGGACGTTTTGTTTACATATTCTAAAGTTACGTTTGATTCAGAAATTGTGCTCAGAAACTTTTAAACTAGGGTGGGGAACCTCAGGCCTCTAGGTCTCTCTTGGATGCCTGGAACTCTTGCCCAGGCCACTCCCATTCCCAGGCTGTGCCCTCGAACTTTAAAAATGTCCTCTTGCTTGCCCAGACAAGTGGTGTAGAGGTGTAGATGTGAGGTCAGACATTTGCATGGTGAGAACCCATGTCTACTGTTTCAATGGTAAGAGTCGCATCTCTTTCTCTGCTTTGGCCTTTAGTCTCCACAACCACTGGTATGTGCCCCCTGCCCCAGATGAGGGGAGCTGAAAAACATTCCCCACTCCACTTTTAATAGGGGGGGTTGCTTATTTCTTCATGTGCATTAATACAGCAGCCTGCCTTTTCCCCACTCTCCAGTTTCTTGTCAACATCAGCTTGCCGTTTGAGTAAAATACCGTATTTTTTGCTCTATAAGACGCACCAGACCACAAGATGCACCTAGTTTTCGGAGGAGGAAAACAAGAAAAAAAAAATTCTGAATCTCAGAAGCCAGAACAGGAAGAGGGATCGCTGCGCAGTGAAAGCAGCAATCCCTCTTGCTGTTCTGGCTTCTGAGATAGCTGCGCAGCCTGCATTCGCTCCATAAGACGCACACACATTTCCCCTTACTTTTTAGGAGGGAAAAAGTGAGTCTTATAGAGCAAAAAATACGGTATGTACAGGAGATGATGTCATCTTCTTCCGCTGTGCTTGTCACAAGCATTATTCCATTATTTAAAAACAACCACCCTACTTCTCTCAAATATTTGGTGCCACTCTTTTCCCTTGCATATTTTATCTGCATGATGCTTCCCAAATGGTGTGAATATAGAAGCAGCCTTAACCCTAACCCTTTTGCCTGCCCGTTATTCCTTCAGGTCTTCCTTACCCAACTCCCTCCTTCTTTCCCTGCTGGCTGGAGCTGGGGGGGGGGTTGCAGTCCAAAAATAGCTAAAGGTCACCAGCTTCATGAAGGCTGCTCCATGTGTTTTCTTCTCTCTGCCTCCTAGACTGATGTCCTGCTCCTTTTCTCCCAGTCTTAAGAGCCACAGGTTTGCCTGCATGCAACATTGTGTAAGGGGGAAAGAGGTCGGGTGGCCTGCTGGTTTTTATGTCACAAAGGCATTCGCAGTCTTAGGTAGGAACCTAGGGAAATGCTTTATACTGAGTCAGACCATTGCTCTATCCAGCTTAGTATTGTCTGCAATGACTGGCAGTGGCTGTCCAGGGTTTCAAACAGTGGAGCTTCCCAGTCTCAGCACTACCTAGAGTGTGTTCACATTACGGCCTTGTTTTTGCGGTTCATTTCTCAGATCTTTCCCCCGCAGCTTCTATAGTGCCAAATTCATTCCAAGGGGGGTGTTGAGGGGCAGGGATGTCTTTGCCCTATGTATAGGCTAGAGACAACTTAGGAACAGCTTAAGGGCTCTGGTCAGTGTGAAACCAGTTTGAGAAACAACACATTGAACCATAGTGCCTTATAACAAGGTAAAGGTAAAGGGACCCCTGACCGTTAGGTCCAGTCATGACCGACTCTGGGGTTGTGGCGCTCATCTTGCTTTATTGGCCGAGGGAGCCGGCGTACAGCTTCCGGGTCATGTGGCCAGCATGACTAAGCCGCTTCTGGCGAACCAGAGCAGCACACGGAAACACCGTTTACCTTCCTGCCTGAGCGGTACCTATTTATCTACTTGCACTTTGACGTGCTTTCAAACTGCTAGGTTGGCAGGAGCAGGGACCGAGCAACAGGAGCTCACCCCATTGTGCGGATTCGAACCACCGACCTTCTGATTGGCAAGTCCTAGGCTCTGTGGTTTAACCCACAGTGCCACCCGTGTCCCGCCTTATAACAAAGCACAGGTTAAATATCCATTTTGGAAAACACTGTGTGAACATGGTTTAAAAACCCAGCACCGGAAACGCAGTGTGTGCGCAGTAAGTGGCAGTGTGAACACAACCCTAATGATGCCAGAGGTTGAACCTGAAACTTTCTACAAAAAAAGAAGTGCTTTATCTCTGAGCTACACTCCTCCCCATCTTGCCGTGGCTTCCCTCTAGGAACAAGAAAAATTGGGAGCTTTCGACATGGTAAAAGGTCACATGGTCTTTCAACCGCATCCTACTGGTTTCTCTTCTCTCTCATCTTTTGAGTGGCACCTCTCCATCCAGGCTGGGAAAGCAGTCCTGAGTAAAACGTCAGATCCACAGGACTTATAGGAACACTATAGGGAAATATACATTCTATTCATGCAGCCCAATGCATTGCCTTGCTGTGTTCAGTTGGGCTTACTCCTCTGTAAGTGTGCACAGGGACTGTAGCTTTCAAACACCTACTTTAATTAAAATCCCTCTCTGTTTGCTCTGTACAATCCCCGTTCTGTCATATATAATGTCCCATGTGAATTAAGCACTCTTATGTGCTTAGTTTTTATTCAGCTTGGAATCAGCCTGACTCCCTCATCAGCCCTCCAGTACTGATACATTTGAAAGGATAATGCCCCGTCAGCTGTGGCTCACTAGCTCGAAGAAAGGAAGGAAGGAAAGCCTATTAGTGGTCATGGATCAGCATAGCCCTGCTACAAGAGTTCAAAATGTGTTATAATTGAATAGGTTTCTATGTGAAAACCAATGATTTTTGAAAGATCTATTTAACATATAACAAATCCCCACTGGCACATAAAAATGCTTGCACTTATGTCATTAAACTATCATTTCTAGTTATAATATATGCCTGTTGCAAAACAAATGGCTCTTTTACTTTATTCCTTGCATTCTTTTTTTAGGCCAGCTGTGCTTTCCCTTATATTCTCGGCTACATTGCCCCATCACTGGATCCTAAATGCACATGTTCCAAACATGTCAATGAGAACGCTCTCATCACTAACCAGCGAAACTCTACTTAAGGCAGTAACACTGAGATCCTTTAAGGAGCTCGTTGACTCTCACCAGAGTTTATCGTGCGCCTATGCGTGAAGGTGAAAGCCATTTCAGTCGCTGTGGTAAACAAATGTGAACTTTCTTCTCTCTAAATTGAATTATTTACGGTCCAAACTGAAAAGATGACACCTAAAATATTGGAATGGGGAACTGTCTTATAAGCAGAGATTAACTGTGAGATTCTGTGTCCACTCAGAAGTAAGTCTCATTGAATTTATTGAGACTTATTCTCAGCTCAAGATGTGTAGGAAGTTTCAGCCTATAAAAGCTTGTTGGTCTTATTAAAAGAAGGCTTGAGGAGCAACAGTAGTATTCTGCAGATATAGTCCAGGGATGAACATGAGTCAGAGCACTTCAGAAACTTTAGGTACCTGCACTAACAGCTAGCAGTGGAATGTTAGTAGTTAGGTTAGAAATTAAAAAAGGTTCCAAGTCCACAAATCTGAATGCACACAGTAATAGTCTGTTCCAGAAATATCTGTTATAGAAGATGGAGCTCCAATATTATGGAATCCTGAGGAAATTTAAGCCAGTTAAAGCAGGGCTAAGCTTTTTGTGCCCCCAAACCAGCTGCAAATGAAAACAACAAATTCGCCCTCAAAACATTTTTTGTGGGTAAAACCTCAGCGCCTAGGACTTGCCGATCGCATGGTCGGCGGTTCGAATCCCCGCGGCGGGGTGAGCTCCCATCGTTCGGTCCCAGCTCCTGCCCACCTAGCAGTTCGAAATCACCCTTAAGTGCAAGTAGATAAATAGCTACCGCTTTATAGCGAGAAGGTAAACGGCGTTTCCGTGTGCTGCTCTGGTGCCGGTTCACCAGAGCAGCTTCGTCACGCTGGCCACATGACCCGGAAGTGTCTGCAGACAGCGCTGGCTCCCAGCCTCTAGAGTGAGATGAGCGCACAACCCTAGAGTCTGTCAAGACTGGCCCGTACGGGCAGGGGTACCTTTACCTTTTTACCTTTTACCTGAAATTTAGCCTATTTACATCACTGTGGTGGCATGCAGTCTGAGCCTTCTGTCTGAAGTTTAGATACAGATGCATCTGTAGAACTGAAGGGTTGTATGGTTGCTGTTTTCTCTGAGCTTTAGTTGTGCCTCACTGAAGCAAGGAAGCGTTGGCTTGTTTATACCCACATTTGCATTTCTCCTCTCCAGCTATCAGGATCAAGCCACCAGATGTTTGGCAGCATGTAGATAGGCCTGCTCAAATTGCCCTTGGAAGATTTTGCTTCTGCTAGTCATACTGATCGCCACATATGGCAGTAGTTTAAAATGTTCTAGATGGCTTCGCTATTTTTGTATGTGTGTTTTTTAATGCTCAAAGCCATTCATGATTTTAATTGAAAGAGATGCAAGTATCATGTCCCAGGTTGGACAAACAGGGGGTTTAAGGGAGAGGCAGGTCTATTGCAAATGTAGCACTGCAAACTCTTTTTTTTTTTTTTATAAAATATTTATTGAAATTTTCAAAGTGTTACAACATAAAATAAAAGCAGAAGAAAATACAAAATAAAAATAGTTAACAAAGTAGAAAAAGAAAAAAAAAACCCTTCCGACCATACGAATACAAATTCAAAAATAAGAAAAAAAGACACACACAAAAAAAACAAAAATACAATTTAAGAACATTTAAAAACAAATTCATTATTCTCGAATCCTCAACTGTCATTACCTTCTTTCTTTGACCTCCTCCTCCTCCTCCCTTTCTTTGTATCCTAGTTATTAATTATCCCAGCAAATCCTTTCCATATTTCATAATATTCTGTCATTACATTACCCTAAACAGTTTTAATCTTATCTTTCTATAAGAAAATAAACCTTAAAGCTTAAAACTTAAATCTTATCCTTACCAACTTCTCATAACCATAATATTCTTTCATAATTCTTTAAACATCTTTACTAAAGCCGAGTAATTTCATTCCAACATTTTTCTGACATTCATCAATTTTATAAAACAGTTCTAATGGTAGAAAAAAGAAATACAAACAGATCCAATCTTCATCCAACGTTCCTTCCTCCTGGTTCCGGGTTTTGTCAGTCCTTATTATCCCATCGATCTGGCCCATTAACCTGGCAACCTTATATCCAAGGCCCTCAAGTCTCTTCCATGTCCCTTTCGCAGCTCTTCTTCATATTTGTAACTGTATTTTCCCTTGTCTCCTGCTCGTGGTAACTCCAGCTTGGCAATATTTTTAACCCTTCTCGACAGATCAGCCCCTTTTCCATATTCAACACTGAATTCCATATGGTATTTAAAAGCACCCTCCAAAATTAAGAGCCCCCACCATCCCAAACATCTCACAGCCCATTGCCAGATTTGAAAAGTCCAAACATCCCAGCATGGGGGGTCAATCTAGCCCCCCATTTCAAAGCCAAACCAAACTTTTTCTTTCCAAATCTGGCTTTTTCCAAGTTCATTTGTCAAATCCGAAAACTCATATTCCTGTTGGGCCTGTTCTGTCAGGACACACTCCTGATTTAATTCCTGGGTGGGCTCCACATATTTTCCCACTGTCTGTTCAAAATTTCCCACTGCCTGTTCAAAATTTCTAGTCGAAGTCGTCATCAAATTCACCTTCTCATGTAACTGTTCCAGTAGGGCATTTGTTTTGTAGAAAACACACAACAAAGCTTCTGAATACATTGTCCTGCAAGGTCAAATGCCTATTCCCACGATTGTAATCTGTAAACAGCTGCCGGCTCCCTGGAGCTGGTTACAGTTTCACAGTCTCCCTCTAGGGGAAAAACTTCTATTTGATCTTGCAACAAAGTTTCCCTTTTTGAGATACTTTGTCAATATTTGTTCCTTTGAAATGCGAAGGGAAACAGTGGATACACTATGTTTCTCTTCTTTTAGCTATCTGTCAAAAACGTTTGTCTCTGGTCAATGAACTTCAAACGTCAGTCCTGACACCCCGCTCCAGGATCAGGACGGAGGAAAGTTACTTTACTTTAAACTCACTTTAAACAGTCCAAAAAGGATCCCCCTTCTTCTCCTGCTGTCGAAGGGGGGTTCCACAATTTTAAATGATGAAATCCAATCCTTTAAAAGCGATTTTCTGAGCTCTAGTTTACGTTGTCTTTGCTTTATTCTGTCTACAGAAGAACGGAAGGCTGACTTCCTGTTTAGACCTTCCCGTTCCGTACCAAATTGAAATAGATTTTTAAGATCCAATTCCTTTCTGCTCGCAAGTCCCCATCTAATGTCCAGTTGTTCAAAGTCTAAGTACTCACGGGTGCTTATTTTAGAGTCCAAATTGTCCCAGGATAAAGGCAGCGCTCTCCGGCAACGGCTATGCGGCTTCGCTCCACGGAAATAGCAGTTGACTCACAGCACCGCGCCACTTCCCCCTCTTCACTTCGGAGCCCGTTAGTGGGTTCCTTAGCGAGTTGGGGGGGCGCTAAAGGTGCCTGCCGAGTCCCATCGTCACAGGCTTCATCCGCCTGTGATTTTTGAAAGGGTCCCCGCTTCGCCGTAGCGGAGAAGACCCGTTTCCCGCGGAGCTAGTCCCTCCGGTTCAGAGGGAGTCCGCCATTGCCGATGGCGCCACCCCGGAAGTCCTGTAGCACTGCAAACTCAATCTACGCTCAGCCAATCCCAATTTCCCTGCCTTCTTGCAACCACTCCAGGAGGCAACACTGATGTCCATGCCCTCCTTTTAATCTCATTTCTAGTTTTTCTCCCACCTGCCTTTGATTCTGGCTGCACCTACTGTTGGTCTTCCCGCCTTCTGCCTCACTAGCCCCAATGGACACTAGCCACCTCTGGGGAGAGGGTATCTCACTTGCCTTCAGTGGAGGGGTTCAGCCTCACTTATGCCAGTTATTACTTAAATGGTGAGTGGAGGACCAGTGAGCCTCACAGTCAGAGTCTGAACAGTGTCGCCTCACTGACTTGCATCAACCCTTGGGCTTCAGTAATTTTCAGACATCTCAACCAGGTCTCAAGACTTCTTTCTATGGGTTCATTTGTAGAAATTAAATTGGACACCACTAGCTAGCCTCCCCAATCTTCCAGCTATGTGTTTCAGGTCCAACTACCTCCCGCCATTAAGACAGACTCCAGGATAATGAAGATGTGCAGGCTTGCAAAGAGTTTGCTTTTATGTGTATCATCCAACTATACCTTTAGATCTTTTTTCAGCGGTATGCACAATGGGTGGTTATTCATTTGTGATCCTACATTATTTTGGGACACTCGGCAGCAGTTGCTGCATCTAATTATTTTTTGTTACATCAGTTATGACATGCAAAGAGTACAGACTGATCTTCCCAAGTCATCCCTCATAGAACTGGCAATATGCAGTGTATTTAATCTCAGATAGATTCCTCTTAATCACTGAGGCAGCCTCACATATTTGCATGATCAAGGAAGTAGAAAATTTTGTGTGTAGAGAAAAATAGCACTGTGAGAAGTGTGTAACACAGGGATGTGGAATCTGTATCCTGTCAGCTGTTATTTGATACCAGTTTTCATGATCATTGCCCATACTGGCTGGGGCTGGTGGGAGTTGGGATATTCCTGGGATAATGCTATCCTTCTAGCAAACACTCATTTTTGAAAGACTGGAAACATGCATGAACTCCACCTGTGTATGTAGCAAGAGAGATTTAAAGGAGTTGTACTACAACTTTTTCTTTGAAATTGTATAGCTGGTCTCGCACACTTCAAAGTTAAGAATCTTCACAAAGTTATCTTCTCCCACCTACAACTGTCACCTACCATGCTGTGCTAATGCTTTCAACGAAATCCAAGTTTAATTAATAATAATAATAATTAAAGATCTAGCATATCCTGCAACATTACTGTAGTGCTCAAGAACTGTATCATCTCAGAGTTACACCGTCTTGGTATGAAAGAATATAAAGCGAGTTCCAAGTTTATTTCCAAACAATTGCCTGGAATGGCACTGAAAATAGTTACTACATTTGTACAGTTAGAACAGTATCCAGTTATTTCAGAATGTACGAAAATCGCTACGTAGCAGATTGCAAATAATCTACAACTATTACTCGACAATTGTGAACAGCAAAATATGCATACGAAGAGTGTCAATGATTTCAGAACTTTGATTTTAAACTGCCAATACGAGTTACAGGGACTGGATGATAACGCAAGATCCTTTTAGAAAAGAGTCCATTATACTAGTGAGATTCTATGGGTAGATGCTGCAAGACATAAACAACTGAAGTGTTAAATCCATACATTACTGATTCCATTCTAAAAACAATCTTTCTCAGTACAAGAATTTTTTAAAATCACAATAGGCAAACTGACCCTTAAAATGTTTAGCAGTGGCAGAATCAACCTGGATTTGTGCCTTGGCAGCTAAGTAATGTATCCTTGGCTGAGCAAATTGGTCTGAACATGCAGCTTTCATCATGCCATCAAACATGTCAAGAAATGGCAACAAGGCTGCACCACTGAATAGACCCTCTGGCTGTTTCCAGTGGGGCCTAACAATACAGAGGGCTGTCCAATTCTGCCCTCTTCATCAGAGCTTGTTTGGTGCTCTTTGAAGCACAGAGGAAACAATATATTGTTGTACATCTGTTGATGCCAGCTGCTGCAACTGCACAAAGCCCTATCCTAACCTTGTCTTCCTCCCACCTACTACCTGGGGCAGCAGCACCTGCATAGCGGCTCACAAGGTTGGGCTGCAGATTCATCTCAACATATCTTGTAGACCCAAACATTATCAAGCCCATTGATCAAAGCCTGGAAAGTGTTGCTATCCTAACTTGAAGTTTCACTACGCTCACAAATAATGAACAGATGCAAGATTTGGCTTGAATAGTAAAAGAAAAAGCACCAGTATGCATCCATTTACACGTTAAACTTGCAGAATAGTAGCTACTAGAAAAAGAAAATGGCATCAATAAGCTGGCCTGGCTGAAACTATCACAACCATGCAAGGAGCTACTTCATACCAACAGCTTCCCAGTCAGTCAACATTGCCCTTGTTTCTGGTAGTAACTACAATGCACTGTATATGATGCACAGAGCTGGATTCTGTAATCAATCTGCTCAGGCATTTGTTCACAAGTTTGTTCAAATAATATGGTGATTTTAGCTGAGAACAAGAAAGGGTCAATTAGGACTTTTTCTTTCACACATCTAAGAAAGAAGCCTCAAACATTTAAAGGAAAAAATGGGTGCTCTGGAGAGGCACACGAATTCTTCTGAGGATTACATCTTCAAGAGGATAAAAATAGTTAAACAAAAAGTTTTCAACTACCATTAAATATAATCTTCACTATGAACATGTTATACTAGTCTACAGTCAAATAAATCTACTGAACATCCCGAAGAAGAAATATGTTTTAAGTTTGTACTTGTGACAAATACTAATTCTTTTTTATTCCAGGCATTTATTATTTCATAGGCGTGCAGCACATGAAACAACTGAGGTTGTAGAACACTAGAATGCCAATTACAGCTAATCTTTATTGCAATTTAAGCCAGCAGGTATTGGGGGGAGTGCACTTTAAGATAAACTAAACCCTGTTTATAACCATTACATGAAATGTGATTGTTTCCTCTTATCAATCCTGAGAGCATAATCCCAAAATATAAAAAGTCTACCATCCATATGCATAAAGAATGGCACACTTCTAAGAATTACTGTAAAATGTGAACATTTGTTTATTGTCAAACTACACACTAAAAGTCAAATATATTTATACAGAAATGATGCATTAGCAGGCAGAAATGTGGAAAAATCAATGGCAGCTTCATTTTCACAGCATTTTCAGTTAGTTTTCTCAAAGTAGTTGAAATTATACATGGAATTTTCTTCCACAGTTGGCACTCAGATAGCCATGGTGCACTGCAAGAACTGAAAAACAAAAGCAATTGTAATATTAACTGCCAATTTAAAGAAATGGATTTTTTAACTAGACAAAGAATGAGCAGAGTGCAGTTTGGGATTTGTTCACTATACGCAGGTCAAGAAGTAAAATATATTGGGGCCAATTGTCAAAATCAGAGCAGAATTCTGCTCACAAAATGTTTTTCTTGAAGGAAGGGAGGAGGAGGAAGCTTCACCCTATAAGTCCATTGTGCCTCCTGAAAATCTGCACAGGAGGGCTGGTATTGTTGGCAATCAGTGCAGGGAACCCCTGAACAGAGGGTTTCAGAAACAAACTGTTTTCCTACTTTCAAGAACAGTAGCCTCAAAAGCCATTGTGTGGGGAAAAAATGAGTTTGCTGCTGACAGAAGTTCAACAGTGGATTCAAGCAAATATAAAAAGGTAAAAATGTGCCAGTCAAATAAAATTATTTACCAACGAATCATAACTGAAGTTAGATATACTTTATTATCAAAACAGAGTCAAGTTTTTTTACTGTATGCCAGCAACAGCAAAAACCACCAAACCCCAAAACACACAGATTATCACCATCCTACACAGTACTTTCAGTATTCAGTAACACCCAATGTGGCTCCTCATTACTTGAACAAAGAGTACGAATGCAACAAGAGACGCAAAATTTGATAATGAAAATCATCTGCCCTAAAACATGCATCTGCTTAGTTTTAGATGCCTTGGCAGTCTGTTCCCTGTATATTTGTATCTTTGCAGGCTGAAAGCTACACATAGTGGTAGGGTTTGGCAATTACAGCGAGTTCTGCTACTGTTGAGATGGAAATTGAGAGAACTGAATATGCAATTCAAGAAAATCTATTTGATCTATTCTTCCATCTGCTTTTCATGATAGTAGTAATAGTCCAGAAAAATAATTAAAGAACTGTGAATAAGTTGCCTGCCCCAAACACTTATGTTTTCCCAGCTGAAGGACATGCCATAAACATCCCAAATCTGAGAAACAGTATTTAATGCACAAAGGACCAGTGTTTTGAATACAACGTGTGCACACACCTGCCTAGTAACACATTAGTCAAGACTATTCTAACAGAGTGGGCTGGTTCAGATGACCATACTCCTTCAAAGAAGGAATAAAACAGGAACTCTTCAACTAATTTCCTATGAACCGTGGCTTCATATCCTGACTTATTCCAAAGCAGTTACTCAGAGTTTCCTGGTTCAGACAAAATAGAGTTTTGGAATATTTAAATAGTTCACAGAATATTTCACTCACAAAATGGAAGGAGCAAAAAAGCAACATGCATGGCCAAGAGACTCATTCATCTCTCTACTTAGAAAACAGAGATGGTCTTAATCCTAGAGCTGTGGATTCGAGCCCCAGGCTAGGTGAAAGATTCCTGCATTGGTTGGACTAGATGACCCTTGTGATCCCTTCCAACTCTATGATCCAATACCTAACCGCAGTCAAAATAAGGCCCATAACAACATTTGCAGTTACTATTTAAGATGCGTTATTAGAACTGCATTGTTTTTGCAGATTTTCCAATGCAAAATTTATTGGAACTCCTGCTGTACTATTAGCATTCATACAAATAGTTTCCAAAGGCTGAACATCCCGGAGTACAGTATAACCAAACTGGCTAATCAAGATTTCAAGCATGACAGTTCAACTGAACTAAGGGTGTTGGGAGAAAAACACAGTCCAAAAACTTGTTTAATGCACAGGACGCCACAGATGAGATTCTGAAAGAAGTTCAACACTATTCTGAGATTATTTCCCAAGAACAATCACTACTTTGAGAGAATTCTTTCTCCAGAAAAAAAATCTGAAAATATTGCAGGTACATAATGAAAGTTATAATTTGAACAACCAGTTATTCATTATGTTACTTACATCATCGTATACAAGATTCACAATGCCCTGTTGCATGCTGTCTCTTCTCCTAAAGAAATCTGTTAAAAGAAAGTAACATTTTTATTGTAAACATTCTGATGCACATTCTGAAACTTGTTTGCATGCTCAAGTCTCACTGACTGGAACTGGGCTAAAATATTATACCAAACACAAGATTATATCCTCCAAAAGCAACCTTCTCAATTTAGTTACAATAAATTCCACTGACAAAGAAATCAGACAATTCTCTCAGTAATGTTCAGTCCTAATCAAGTCAACGAGATTATACAAGGCACAAAAATTGGCCCCAGATGTTTCAAGTTTATGCCGTGCTTTGCAGCTACCTGAATATCATGCTCCCAGACCCAGCTGCTGAGTATTTTGTCACATTTACTGCATTTTGTATTTCACAATGACCTGATTTTTAAGCTGAAAAAAGTAAGAGTGCACAGAGTCCTTGGGTTGCATCAGATACTGCCTACGAAAGAGCGAATAGACTTCTGCTTGCATATTGGGACTTCCAATATGACACCTCCCTCTCCTCTTGCTTGCACACCCTCAAAATCTGTTCTGGAGGATTGTCAACCCTACAGAGCAGATTTTGGGGTGTGCAGGAGAAAGAGAAATGGGAAGTGAGTGGAAGCCCACTTGCACATCATGGGATTTCACCCCTTAAATTTAATCTCACTTCAGATTCTAATGCTGCATTACTTAGAGACATGCATCATTTTATTTGTATGCCACCTTTCCACAGTTCAAACCGTGCTCAAGGCAGCTGACAACATAGAAAAAATTACAGTTACAAATGTAACAAAAATAGTCATCAACTGGCATCAGATACAGAATTGTTACAAAAATAACTATAAAACACCTTACCCGTCAAAGCCCGAAGCTTCACGCAGCAAGCCACATAGTCATCAAAAAAGATTCTGCCATTCTTGCTGTAACGTTTTACAATAGCAATTAATGTCTGTGGGCTTAGCCTATAACCTAGACGAGGTCAAGGAGAAAAACATGTCAACTTCAGAGCAAAAGGCTTAAACAAGCGTTTTTGTTAGCTTAATATTTTTAAACAGCTCCTAGCATTCACAGCCCTCTTTGAACTAAAACTCAAGAGGGGAACACAATACATGCACTCCAAGAATAAAGCAGGTGTTGAGTGAGGGAGCTGCATCTTTCCCTTCTAGGTACAGTGGGAAATTTATATACTATATATAGTATATAGTGTGTATATATATATATATATATATATATATATATATATATATATATTACTATATATAGTAATATAATACTATGATATATTCCTTCCTTCCCAGACTAAGGGAAGGAAGGCAGGTCCATTGCTCTAAGGACTGTCTCACACATTCACTAGGGACCTGGATATGGATGTCAGGAGCAGAGATGGGCAAGTGAAAGAGAATTGCTTAACCTTCCTCCCAAAATGCTTTTCCTGCAATGTGTAAATATGGATTTAGAGCCCAAACTGTGAGAAGGGGACTGTAGAGGAAGCAATGGGCAAGGAAGAGAAGCAATAAGCACCTGGCTGATTCTAGACCACCACCCACCCCATTTTGCAAAGACATGGGCTTCCAGAATCACATCTATAGCTGTAATGCTGGTCCCAAACCCTGAGTTCTCAGGCACATTGATCAGAATGGATTACTAGAAACTAAGAGGACTTCAAAGATGTCCTCCCAATCAATCTCCCTGTTCTCTAATAGGAAAGCCAGCAGCTTTTTCTACTGTGCTCACACTGGAACTACCACCTTCTGTCATGTATGCCTGAGCAATTCAATCCTGCATTATTTGTGTACCCTGTAAGCAATCAATGAAGATTTTCAAAATCCTGGACAATTCAGACCTATGGTTGTTTTGTATGAAGATGCTTTGAGAAGAAAGCAGCAATACATGATTCAACTTCATCCTTTCAAATGTCAGACTCCTGTTCACATACATCCTTTAATACTCTTGCTCTTCTACCCATAGACTGAGCAAGTTATGACCAAGATTTATCTAGAGCCAATCACTAAAATACTGTATAACGTCCTGAATATATCATTTTTAAATACTCTTCCTAGCAACCCATTCTACTTTTACAGGGAAATAATTAGTCACTTGAAAACACATGTCTAGCCAACGTATCATACCCATAGCTACAATGACTTGAGTCAATTCATGAAGTTCCACAGTTCCGCTTCGGTCTTGATCTATCATCATGAAATTTTGTTTCCAAGCACTGAGAGCGGCCCAGAGTTCCTTAAATTCATTGTATCCCATTTTCCCAGTATTCTCTCTCTAATGTAATAGTTAAGAAAACAGACCATCTTGAAGAAAGTTGGTGAACAGAAATACATAAACCTGCATTAGATTTTTTGTTTTGAATACATATCTTCCAACTTCTTATTCAGGAGTTTGCTTAGAACATTTTAAGCTGCTGTTCTACGTTCAAGTTATCCGAGCAAGTGAAATTATTTCTTGTTTTTTGTTTATTTACACCCTGATCTACAGGATGCAAAGGGTCAAGAAGGAAAATCCTTAAAATATCAGTGTGTTCCAAAGCAGCACAAAACCAAGTACTGCCAACCTAGGTGGTATGAAATTCAGTTTATTTTAAGTGTAGTATGCTTTCCAAACTTATCTCTAATATTACAGGCTTTTTTGTTTGTTTGTTTTTAAAACCACACACATTACTTTAAGTTATTTCCTGTCACTTGGTACATAAATACCATTCAATACTCACTACTTTGTTGCTGTTGGTCACATTTGAGTTGGGATAGCCCAGTAACTAGCACATGCTGGCTAACACATTGAGCCTGTAGTTTAAACTGCAGTTCCCACTGCACAAAGCCAGCAGCTGTAGCTTAACCCCCAGAATCAGTGTCCAGAATTAGCTTTGCTGATGTACCCAGTTTCTGTTAACACAAAATATGGAGTGAAGGTTCTAAAGCATGTTTTTGAATGCTTAGCTGGCCCTACAAGCTCATCAATTTTAGTTTCTTTTCATCTTTCAAAACAAGATTGTTCCTAAACATATTCAGAATCCTGCATCCCGAAACCTTGGTCCTGTTGTATATTGAACCTGGGTCCAGCTGGTTTCATATGAAATGAAGTTTACAGTTATACTTAAAGACTTTTTCCAAGGATACATCCAACATTGATATCATAATTCTGCACGTCTCCAAGCTGAATGCTGAAATTACAAGTGAAAGATGCATTAATTCTAGATGGCATATATTGATTTCAGCTCTAATAACTATTGTTCAAACTATTACGACTAGCAACATAATGAAGTTTATAAAGACTAGCAATTCATGTACAGGTAATGGCTAGCAAAACAATGGCTAATTTATATATAAAAAAGAGACAGACCTAATGAAAATGTATTCAGAATACTTTTCCTGTTTTAAAGGTTTTATACAACCTGTGTGAATTAGCATGAGAATGGAGGATACTATAAAATTTACATCAGAAAAGTGAAAGAAAAAAACTATTCCTTGATAAAAACAATTCAAGTAGCATGCAAAGCATGCTATGAATTGAGTTCAAATTAGCAACTGAAAGAATTCAAAAATGAATATGCTTCCTTGATAGGCAGAAAGTGAGCAGAAGTATCCACAAGCAGGAATAAGTATTCCAAGTCGTCTGAACGATCAAATAAGCTATGACAATAGTTGAAAACCTCAACGGCAGGAGGCAGAGCAAGAGGAACATCTGCCTTCTGAGCTCTTCGGATACACAGTCACACCTTCATGTATATCCAGGTCCACTATGTACTATGGAAATGCCAATCATCACATGCTATAGTTTGGATAAAAATCATTCCTTACATTTTATTAAGCCATCTGCCACACTCATTGTTTGCTGCATTACACATGTTGCAGGGACATTAAATGCAATATTTATCACTCAAGGCATAACTGCCCAAACAAGTCATGTGGCTACAGATACAGAGAGGCAAACAGGACTTAAGCAAGTCAAGAGGGAAATGAAGAACAATCTTCCCTGACTTGAACCTGGCAGGCCAGAATTAAAATCTCCACTCAGCTGCGAATCTTCCTGGGAGACCTTGGACTGCTCACAGTCTCTCAGCCTAACCTACCTTGCACCACCTTGAGCACCTCGGAGAAAGGTGGAATATACATCTAATAACAAACTTAATGTTTTGCACTACATCTCCCATCAGCCCCAGCCAGTGCAGCACTGGCCAAGACAGATAGAAGAATGCAGTAACTTCTTGGAGATTGAATTTAAGGTGTTCAGAAGCAACAAAGTCTTACGAGAGTAAGTTCCACTGATTCCAGACTGGGTTAGACATCTCTGTAGCTCCTCAGCATCCACTTCACCATCCTGTAAAATTAATGCATAACAAATTTGTGGTTCAAATATACCAACCTATCTAGTAATACAAAATCAAGCATGTGTGAATTTTATTTGTTAGCCAACTGTTCTGCCTCAATTAAGAGAATTAGAATACTTCATGAAAATTACTCATCTAGAAATTTGCCAAACTAATTAAATTAAATAACTAAGCAGTAACTAACATTTCCTAATTTTTTTAAAAAATGAAGCAGAACTTCCTCATGTCCTGCAGTGATTTATTGCAATAGCACAGCTTTTTCATATGAAGTTTTTTTGCTTGAATTTTATTCCACAAGTGTTGAATCTATTTTAAAAGTTTCATGCGCAGCTTTGTAAATCACAAGGCGGATTATTTTAAAACCAACACAAGATGGCTTTCCCCCACCATTATCTACTTCCCTGCAGGAATACCCTATACCTATATGTTCATTGTTATTTAACAGGTCAGCTCAAATCCAGCTGCGTACAAAAAAGGATCAAAAAGTTACCTTAAGTTTAGAAGATATCTACATGCGAGAATAGTATACATAAAAAACCCAGAAAATGAAATGAAAGACTATAAAGTAGCTCTTTGAACAGTTCTGAAGCTCTGCACTAATGCCAGTGAGCTACTTGTTTGATCAACTAAAGCTTATCACACAGAAGATTTGCTTACAATGACATGAAGCATTTCAACTACCATGGTACATCAATACATTATCCTACTAAGATGTCACACCTAACACGGCACAAAGAATCTTGTCTCCTAACATGCACTTAATGTAAATATTACTGTAAAATCATCCCCTCCCTTGGGATGATTTTTATAGCAATAAATAAAAATGAAAAGCTTAGTGTGTGAGCTTCTCCAATGAAAATGTAAAGGGGGAAGTAAATTCAAAACCCACTTCATTTTCACCCAATGCAAACCCTATTATCCTAAAGTGACTGGGCTTCTTACAAGAAGTTTCCCAGAAGCACGTGTAAATGTATCTCTTGTTCTAACCTGAAAGGGATGATCTTCCTCCTGGCTAGTCTAAGAAACTACTATACGCTGATCATGGGTTTCAGGAGAAAGAATATGAACTTGTGTTATTTAGCCACATTTAAACACTAAAAAGGTCAAACATCTCTAGTCAACTGTGGATCTATGTAGTCACATCCTAGAGATAACTGTCCAACATGACTATGCAATAGTGTGAAGGTACTTATACCATTTACCCACAAATACAAAATAATTTTCATTGGGTAAGCTCACAGGAAAGGATTGTTGGAATTTGATGGTAAATACATTTCTGAGTCTCACTGACTGACCACAATGCAACAACACTCAGAAATGACTTCACTGGCCTGCTTTTACCCACCCCTCCAAAAGTAATACCCATGTTACTGCAAGTTTCTACCTGATCAGTTCTTTTGAGTGTCAAGGCCCACGCTTCCATCACCCCACTGGTCCTGCTACATGGCAGATGACAGACTGTGCTTATTTGACTGGTACTTCAGGAGTGAATGTTTATTCCTCCTATAAAAAACTAAATTTACTAAAATATTACACTTGAGAATTAAGAAAAAAAATATGGAAGTCATCAATTAAGGTCCTACTTGGAGAAAATCAAAGCACGTAATTTCCCCCCTTTTTTCATATATGTTACCCCATTTACATACAATTAATCTAAAGTAGTGGTTTTCAAACTATGTATTGGGGAACCCTTGAGTTCCTCAGAAGCTTATCAAGGGTTCTTCAACAAAAACAGTTATGGTGAAAAACTTCCCAGAAAGATGGCTTGTCAATACCTTTCCTGATCTCTCACAGCTACAGGGCTGTGTTCAGTACATTCTGGAGCACTCACAGAGCAATCTTAAGCATTTTACTCCAAAGCAATTTCCACTGCATTCAATGGACCTTACTCCTCTGTAAGGGTGTTCAGGATGCAAGGTCAGTTTCTGTGGAGCCAAAAAGCCTGGATCCTACTTAAGATAAATTCTGAAATGTGTATTACAGAATTCCTTTGCTCCACAGTAGGTACCTACGGTGTGCTTCACCAGGTAAGTCAACGTGGAAAGGGTTCCCTGAAGATACAAGGTTTGAAAAACACTTCTGTAAAGCTTTCAGCAATGAAAAGGTGGCAGTGCTTCATAATGTTCTTATTTCCAAAAGAGGAACTACACTTGAAACCAAAATGTATTTTTACCTGGAATCTACATTTAATTATGTGCTAGTCTAATACAGGTGTGCTGCTGAACTACAACTCTCACCAGCCTCAGCAAGCATGGCCAATGCCCAGGGATGATGGGAGTTGTAGTTCAGCAACATCTGGAAGGCCAAAGGTTCCCCACAGCTGCTCTAATATATACGTGGAGTTCCTACAGTTACAAGAGTTTCCCATTATCTTCAGTATTCTTTTTCATATTTATAGGCCGTTCCTTATGACTAGAACACAGTTGTACTATTGGGCAAGCCATTTTTTTAAAAAAACAACAACTCATTTCTTCAAAGACTTTCCTGGATTTCTATGGACTCACCAACTCTCAGTACAATGAACCCCCATCCTGCCTGCCATTAATCAAGACCTTGCTGCCTTAACTACTTCAAATGTAAACGGGGGCCTGAATCCAGTGATGCACCCACAAGACTTCAGTATTGTTTAGAAAACTTTATAGAAGGGCTGGAAATTGTTACATTAAAATTATTCTACTTAATTAAAAAATTGAAAGCTACTTTATATATTGGCCACTTTTCTAGACTTCATAGTCATGGCTTACCTTAAGCCATTCCCTCATACAGTATTTCTGGTGAAGTCATTCAACAACTCACCCACACAGTGTCTAGTGCTAGGTCCTCAATGTGACACCCATGACCACCATGGTGTCCTCATGGTGCTTACTAAGCTCATTTTGGGGAGTTCAGAGTGTCACAAGCTTTAGACTTCCAAATGTGTTCCTAGGCTCAAGGCGTCTAGCTAGGGATCCCAGGCCTAGTGTTTCAAAGCAGTAGCTGCCAGAGTGAAGCACACTAGTTCTGCCTTGAACTTAACAGTGTTTCTGGTTCTCCAGAAGAATAAAAATAGGAGGCAAATACCAGAGTTTGTTAATTACCTTCCTTTCTCCTTTTCTGGTTTCAGTAACGTCTGCCTTACAACCTGAGGTGGCAAGGAGCCACTGTCCCTGTGCACAAAGGAAGACCACCTATCTCACCATCACTTACTAGTGCTACCCCAGAACACACTGCTGCATTCCCCAATCTAGGAACTAGGGTACTCTGGAAAGTTTCTCTTTCTCTGCTAGACGAAAAGAAAGCCCTAAGTTTCCATCCTGCTCATCCTACTCTCTCTCCTCCTACAGTCCACTTCAGGTACAATCCTCTATCAACTTTCCACTGCTTAGACTAGCTTCAGAAAAGCATACTCAAAATTCACACATGCTCATTTAAATAAGTATCAGAGTTCTAACAACTAGCTTAAAATCCCCTCATCTATCAGCTTGTCCCAATGACCAGAGGTAAAAGAGCATGAATTTGGCCAGAAGCATTTGTTTTCCCAGCAACTATGCAAACAAAACATAACAAATAAGGTTCTACCTTCTGACCTAGTTCACATCTAGCATTAAGTAATTATTAAAATAAAATATAATCTGCTGTGAATGAGAAGCATGCTGCTGCACCCTGCTGGAATCACAAGTGTTTCACTCCTTCCCTTCTTCTGCCAACAAGCAAACCATGGAATGGTTTGCCATGTTGTCCAAACTCAGGCTACTGCTTGTTTCCAAACCATGAGCCTACGTTTGGCTAACATGACAAATCAGACCATGCCTTGTTTTCTAGACAGCACCCAGTAGAAGTCAGTGAGGAGCAGTGTCTGCAATTTCAACAGTGTGCATAATACCTTAACTATAATTTAACGTGGTGTGAAACCATGCCTAAGTGTGGTCTCCCAATATCTCCATTCAAAAGTGCTTCCCTTTCATACTATGCAGTTGAGCCTTTTTTTAGTTAAAGAACTACTGGGTTGTTTTAGACTGAGATTAAATGATACTAAAATAGTACCAAAATATTCATTACTCATTCATTACATGCAGTGATCAGTTACTCCCACCCAAGACCACTTTTGTGGATTAGGAGTGCCATCTAGAGAAGGCAATTGCTACATCAGATGGCATGTGATTATTCTCAGCATTTCTCTGTTAGCTCATTAGTTCTACAAAAGGAGCACTATATATAATCAAATGGATCTATGTACACCAAAGCCATCAATGCCTTACTTTAAAGTCATGTGTGGTGTGAATAACACTAGGTTATCTCCAGTGGTGTCCATGCATGAATGAGAAAGGCCTGAAGTCATACAACAGGAGTTTACCTTCTTTCCTATCTCCCTCAGCCTCTCATGTTGTCCCCAAAATCTTATCCATAGGGTCAGAGGACTTTCTGGACCAGATTTGTGGGGATGGAAGGGTGGGGAAAGAAAGGAGAGCTTGTGCAATGTTGCCTGCTTATTATTATTATTATTATTCCATCCAAGGTCCTTGTTGATCATTAAAATACAGTTGTTTTAATATGCTGGCTCTTTGCAGCCATCACTTACAATGTGAAGAGTGGGCCATTGGACCTGGCTTAACCACACCAGCACCAAAATCTGAAATGGTTCCCCTGGTATGAAGACGACAATCACAAATGAAAGTTGTGCCTTCCCTAAAATGTCTTACTGAAATGCTAACATGTAGGATGTAACATGTAACAACTTGAAACCTTGCTTGGTAAAGACTGTAGAAATTAAAATGCCAAGGGGAGAAAAATCTAAAGGAGTTACTCACCTGGAACTGGAGTTCTTCATGAATATTGCCTTTGCAGATCCACACTCTTGAGAGAATGCATATTGGCATCACAAGTCCCAAAACGCTCTAGAGACCAATGACCTGTGGGGCCATGCATACGCCCTTTCGTGAATCTTTACTATAACCTTTTTTTTTAACCAGTCCTTTTGCCCAGATTACACTGGTGCTACTCTATAAAATACCTAGCCACATACAATGTATATGACTCTTCCAACCCAGAAGACTGCTTCAGACTCAAAATTTAAAAGTGCTCACTTAATTATTACTTCATTAATAGCTATACAAAACTCTATATAATCCTCTCAGCATTGAAAAGGGAGCACCAAGGCAGTTACAAACAGCCTCCCCATCCTTATGACATATAATCCTGGAAATAAAATTATCTGCTCAGTGATTTGCAGCCAAGGAGCTAAAGTATCATATTTAAGAGTCCCCACATTCTTAGAAAGAGAACCTTTTGTTTCAAAGGCTAGGCAGTATGTATTAAAGTTGCAGACAAGACAGTTTTTGAGATGATACAATGTTTTTGAGATGATAAAAGAAAACTTAATATCTAAATCTATAAGTAAGAGCCAAATGTACACATGTAGTTGACTGACCAGGTGGAAAAAGAATGTGACTAAGGAGCTTGGCCAGTTTTCAACAATATCACAATCCCCTAAAAAAGAAATAAAACTATCTAATGCCCATCTTCAATTTACAATGTTTTCAAGCTGCAAATCACTGACAGATCTATACAGATGTTACTGTTAACATGTTAGCAAACAAACTCCTGAGGACTAGTCTATGCCTTACACTACAATCAAAACATAAGAGCCCTCTTTCAAAACTTTAAGATAGTAACTTGAACTAACGTACCTGTCCAGCAATAGCACTGAAAAATGTCCACAAGGGATCAGCAGCAGCAGCTGCAGCATAGGCACCAGAATAAACAGAATAGCCAGGAGATCCACCATGGGCCACACTTTGCACTCCTCCAGGAACTGGCTGACCCATTGCCATTTGCATTGGCACCTGCCCACGGTAAGCTCCATACTTTTGAGGAAGAGGAAAAGAAGAACATACATATTTCACTATATTTACCAGCTCATCACAAACATCTACAGTGGTGCCCCGCAAGATGAATGCCTCGCAAGACGAAAAACTCGCTAGACGAAAGTTTTCAGTTTTTTGAGTCGTTCCGCAAGACGAATTTCCCTATGGGCTTGCTTCGCAAGACGAAACGTCTTGCGAGTTTCCTTCCTTTTTCTTAACGCTGCTAAGCCACTAAGCCGTTAATAGCCGCTAAGCCGTTAATAGCCGCTAAGCCGCTAATAGCCGCTAAGCCGCTAATAGCTGTGCTTCGCAAGACGAAAAAACCGCAACATGAAGAGACTCGCGGAACGGATTAATTTCGTCTTGCGAAGCACCACTGTATTGTCTAGAACAGATTATTTTCACTGAATTGAAATGCCTCACAAACTCAAGGAGTGTATGTGCACTACAATTCTAATATCACTACATCTTACTATGGTAACGTTTACACTTATAGAAACAGATAGTTTTCTTGACCACTAATTTGGGATTCACTACTGTAAGGGTATGGTGGCACAGGAGGCATGGTACTCTGGCAGTACAGAAAGGGCAGTTCAACAAAGTAACATCATAACAGAAGCAAACCAGATAAGGAATACCAGAAAGTAGTGCTGGAATCTGAGTTTCCCCAATAGTGTTTGCAAAATTGCACCAGCAAAGAAAAAGTTAGCTAGTTCAGCTACTTTTGCAGTGGTGATGCAAGCTACTTCAACTAAGTACACTGTACCTAGCCAAATGAGGAAAAATATGACTACTTACAAATACAAAGTAGTCCAAAGCACACCAGTGCTTAGTATTTTGTTTCAACTAGTTTCCTGCAACTGAAGGAATTCCAGCACCACTATAAATTGACTATTTTTATTTGTGCAGTAAGCCAGGAAGCAGACTACTATCATCAAAGCTTCTTATTCTAGGGGTTGGGGAAGTAGGAGGTTTAGCATTACATGCCAGGAAAACACTCTTAGGGAGGAAAGGTAAGCTTTTTTTCTGAATGTCATCGAAAAAGTTCTTGAATACCATTCCCAAACAGACCTGGCAAGTATTTGACTACTGCCAACCACAAGGCTGGTCTGCAAGTTTTAATTTTTGAGTAGAAAAAAACAGTTCTACTTAGAAATTTATATATACCAAATTCACTTGGATGCAATAAAACAATTACTTTGACTCAATTTGAGTTAAAGTTTAAGGCTAGACTTCTAGCCACACATACATATATATTAATGGGGTAGCAAAGAGGTGCTTGAGATTTCACCTGATCTTCCCTCCAGATCAAAGGGGAGGAGAGAAGTCCAGGAGATTTTTTGAAATCTTGTTTTTATGATGTATGTTGGATATGTGATTGGAAAACTTTAATTTGAAAAAACAAATAAATTTATATATAAAATAGGAGATTTCACCTGATTTTAGTCAAAAGGGAAAGAAATTTCCAATTCTCTTAAAGCAAGATCGGATGGGTTGCTATTCATCCATTCTTACAACCTTTAACTTGCCTGACATTTTAAAAATCAATTCAGCCTGTAGTCATGACCTTATTTACCTGGGATGCAGAGCAGTGACAAAAGACAAATTATCCTTCCCTGCAAACCACCCCCCCAGGGCCCAGTGTCCCACATTAGATAGCTTAAAATCAGCAAAGACTGCGACAGCTGAAATGATTTCCCCAGGCACCACCCGCTGTCTTCCTACACCTACGGCAGTGCATTTTCAGTGCTTTTAACCAAGGGACCTAAAAACACCAGTACTGCTCTAACAGATCACCCAGTTTCTAGATGCACGGCCTAAGCACTCAAAAAATCTTCTTGCTATGCCTTTAAGCGGTGGCTCCACAACCATGAATTAAGTATTCAAATTTAATAGGATGGCAAACGGTACGTCATCCACAAGGCAGAGGCTGGGCCTGTTATGAAGAGAAAGAAAGGGAGAGGTGTGTTTTTCCCCCCTCCTCCTCTTTTCTTTTTTAAAATGGCAACCCTTTAGCTCGCTTGATGTGTCAGAGTCAGGCACGCCTTCCATTTCCTCCCGCTGTAAGAGAACAGAGTCCTCCCTCTCTCCCTCGCCTCTTGCACTGCACACATTAATGGCTTCTCCGCCAACTATCGGGAGGGGGGGCGCTCGGCGGAAGGAGACCAATTTCGGCAAGGCCTTAAAAAGAAGGGCCTGGAGCCTGAAGGGCCGGCCGGGCTCCCTCGGCTCTGACCCCAGCCGGGAGGACGAGCAAGAGACTGACAGCCGCGCCGCCAGAGAAAAGGGCCCGGCCGGGTGGGTGGGGGAGAGAGGGACAGACAGACCGACAGACAGGCCTTCCCTCCAATCACGCCCTTTCTACTCACCGCTCCGAACCCTGGGTACGTCATGTCGACGTTTATGAGAGGAAAAAACCGTTGAGAGCGGGGTGGGGGAGGGGGAGCCGTTTCCCGGATTCGCAGCTCGGCCGGACTCGAATCTACCACGACGGCCGCTCCGCTATCTCGCCAGCTCTTGCCGCGGTGGCTTCCTCCTTCTTCCTGAAGTCGTCGTACGGAGAAGCGGAAGTTCCTTCGCGGCGCTCGCTCGCCCGCCCTCTGGCCAATGCTTTGGGCTTTTGACTGGCTGAAACTTCGCCCCGCCCTCCGCTCGCGATAGGCCTCCGAGCTGAGGAGGAAGGGCGGAAGAGTGAAATGGGCCGCGGAGTTCGGGTGTCTGCGTGAGGGAAGGCAGGTTCGAAGAAAGACGGCGTCCGTGACGTCTGAACCGGAAGTAGAGGGGCGGGGTGAAGATCAGGCCATTGTTTTGCACCACTCTGACAGGCATATGAAACTCTTCCGCCTTGGAGGCCGCTAGACGGGCCACAGAGACAAAAAAAGTTAGGGAGTAATGCATCCCGTTGCCTAGATAGAGCACTTCTGGGTCTTCGCCATTAAAATCCGAAAAGAGAGTTTGCTGAGGGGCGGGGGGGATAGGGAGCATCAAGGGAATTTTCCAATATGGTTTTTTTACTTATTTTTTTATGCTTTGTTGTTGTCTTTCTGGGTATGATTTGCAAGTATTTTCTTTTCTTTTTTAGATGAATGTCTATTTTTGCCTGTGTATTGTTTGTTTCCAGGTGTTATATTTTTGGGGGGAGGGAGGCAGGGAGTGTTTCTGAGCATCATTCATTTTTTCTGTGTGTGAAATAATAGGTATTTTATGGTGCCCGTCCCCCCACCCCAGTTTCTCAGATTTCCAAATGTGCTCCCAGGCCCTGAAAAAAAGTTAAGAGACTCTATTTTATAATTCTGTAAACTACCCGGATGGCTTTTTGTTGAAGGCGGCATGGAAATTTTGTAAATAAACAACTAAACAGTAAGTCCAAACAGGCATAAAATACACAACAGATACAGTGTGGCAATTAAGTGTAAAAAAACCTGTTTTTTTGCTTCAAACTATTTGCGTCTGTGTGTCACAAGCAAACTTGGGGCAATGCAAATGAGTTTGCTAAAACCTGCATGATCAAAATGTATTTAATTAGCAAATTGTGGTTTCCACGTTTCACGTGGGGGGACTGAGTAGCTAATGGCTTGCTATAGCTCTTTAAAAAAAGATTTAAGAACTATTCTCTTTATGGGCAAAATACCATGTCACCACAGTAATACATCACAGGCCATATTTCTTCAAGATGCAGGCAGATAGTAGTAAAGTTGTGTGTGTGTGTGTGTGTGTGTGTGTGTGTGTGTAGTTATCTTGCAGACAATATCCATGTGTCTAAATCTCCCCCCCCCCCTTCTCCTATGAAATGCAGTTTGTTGCAAACTTACAATGCCTCGCCCCTGAGCAGCAGATCCCAAACCAAGGCAAGCAGGCTCACAGATGACTGGTCAGCATGGGAAAGAAAGCTGGCAGGAATCTCTGTGTGCTTTGGTGCTCCAGTAGTGCTCACAAAAATGGTATTTATCAGTGGAAGTATTGTAGCATCATCTCTTGCGGCCAAGATGATGTCACTGTCAGCCTTAACCATTGCCAGCCTCAGCTATTGCCAGCGGTGGTGGAGACCTAACAGGTGGTATGTTGCTGATAGTCTAATCTGTTGATGCAGTAGGAGTTTGAATGGCTATGAAATATACTATGATAGTTGGGGCAGCCATTGGACTCTCTAAGAAGCAGGCCCCTTGTGACACTTAAGATTTCTTGATGAGGCCCTGTTCCAAATTCCATTTTATGGGTGTTCCATTATCTTACTTTTTTATCTTAAAGCATTTCTAAACTGCTTAGTATTTTGAAATATATAAGCTGTATACAAAAATACAATGTAAAGCCAATAAAACTTTAGGGAAGTTTTTAATGTTTGACGTTTGACTTTTACATTTGTTGGGCAACCCAGTCAGATGGGCAGGGTACAAATAAAATAATAATAATAATTATTATTATTATTACTACTATTATTATTATTAAATTTTAATTAATAATAAAAATAATATTATAACAATTTAAAATAAGTATTATAAGAACACAATAGAGTAATAATAATAATAACAATATTATAAGAACAGATTAAAAACTAACAATAAAACTTCTTTTATCCTACTTACTTGATTCTCCATAGAAATGGTAAACCTGGATTAAATGGAAAAATAATTTTGATGAGGGCAACATTGTGTAGAAGCTGTGCAATTTTACATCCATGAGCAGCACTGAGTCCACAGCAATGTAGAAGCATCCTGTTCACTTCACACAAAGATCAAATGCCACCAGATCTTTTTGTCTCTCTCTTTTTTAATGGGGTAGCTTTATTGAAGTACTTATAAATCTCACTTTCATATTAAATATCACAAGGTGGTATGCAACCAGAAAACCCAATACTGCAATAAAAACAATAAGAATGTCAGACACATCGGTAAGGCCAACTGAGCAAAGAATCTCAGGTTTGAAAAGGCCTGTCCGAATAACAGTTTTTGACAAATTTAAGAAAACAATCAGGTAGGACTTCTGCCAAACCTCTATTGGTAAGCAGTTCCACAGACCAGGGACTGCCACATCAAGGCTCAGTCCCTGGTAAAAGGCTAACTGAATGCCAAGGACCATGTGGGACCCAGGGCCCCATCAGAAGATGTCAGCAATAGGAGGCTGAGCTTTAGAAATTAGCAAGTCCTTCAGGTACTAAGGGCCAAAGATAGTAAGTGTTCTAGATTGCACCTCTTTCAATGTAGAGCACCAAGGTGGTTTATTTGCTCTTCTCAAATATGCCTTTCAGAGCAGGCCATGGTCACCGCATTATGTAAACATTTCATATTAGGAAATATTAGGCAACTTTCACTTCACATTATGAAAGGAAACCAGTCAAACATGATAGCTGCATTGTTGATGACCTTTTATTTTATATGGTATGTATGCAAACATGATGCAATAGCTAGAAATAAAGCATAGAAATGTTATTGGCACTGCTTTCATCATGTCTGTTTGGTTCCATTTCAGAATCTCTCTATTGGCATTTCCTCCTTAATTTCAATCAATCAATCTCCTTTATTGGCATAGAAAAAGTGCATCGTATACATGGATCAGAACACAGCACAAAACATGGTAGGAGATACTTTAGATACACTGTGAGGGACGAAAATGGCTCTTAGGACCCATGGTGATGTAATTTCATAGTGTCATTTAAAAATCCTGCCATGTTCTCCACAACGTCATTACTACAATTGTTCAGCAGATAAGACACCCTGGGAGAGTCAGTGCGATAAATCCCCTGCTTCAATAAAGGAGCCAAATACTTATATTTTTGCATAAAATGGGCAATAAAATAAAACTTGTGATGGATTTGACCTGTTTGTACCACGAGGGCAGCATCTTTCAGAGTATGGGATTTTCAATAATCTACCTTGCAAAACTGCAGTTGGCAAGACGTTAAATCTTGCGAGGGCAAGAGCTCTGCATGGATGGGGATTGTAAAGCTGGTGTAAATATGGAATGTCCTGGCCAAATGAGGGTGGAGTTCCCAACCCCAATGGGGAACAGGTTTTTTTGGCTGCACTGCAAAGGGATTGGAATTCAATCTCTAGGATTCTGCACTTGATTGTCTGGAGTGCTTCCAGTTGTGGGAGCATAAGCAGCAAGTCAAGTGATAGGCCACACCTTCTGATTTTGCTTTCAATACCTGCTAGCCATTTACCACTTTCGTTTTAAAATCCATAAAGAGGGAACATAAAAATGTGAAATGCCAGATGCACTTATTATCATGGAGATTGCCAGTCACTTGTATTTTTGTTTTCTTAGAAACGATACTTCCCTTCTTACTGTGAATCAGAAACCTAAAGAAGGCTGCTTTGATAAAATCCCCTTCAGCACTAGCTCAAGTTCACACACTTGAATTAGAGACAGGGATTTATTTATTTTTACTTTATTTTGTAAAAGCACTCTTACAAGCAGATTCTAAGCATGTTTATTCCAAAGCAGTCTCACTTCATTCAACAGGATTCACTTCCAAGTGTGCACACGACTCGTGCCATTTTGGCTGAAAACACCACAAAGATTTCAACCTTTGCTATTTTGTGGGTGGGATTTAGTCACATACCAGCAAATTTATGTTGTACAACTGAAGTACATTCAGCACCCTTCCTGGCACCACAAACCCACTTTTCAAAACGGGGAGGGGAGGGGAGGGGAGAGAGAGAGAGAGAGAGAGAGAGAGAGAGAGAGACTCTGGGTGTTAAGAAAAGTTATGGAAAAATGTGTTGGAAAGTGTGGTTTGACAATTGCTTAACATTACACTGAAATTTCCAGACAGCCCACTTACTGAGCATTGGTAGAGTGTGCCTGGGAGTTTCTAGAAACTAAGCAACATTTGTGATTTTTTAAATGGATAATTTGTGTGTGTGGACCTGCCACGCTAAAAAGCATCCATTTTGATTTGTTTGCAGGGAGGTTAAACAGTCAGTGTGTCAGGCAAGTCTTCCCTGAGTGCATTTTCCCTGAACATTCCTGCAAAAAATCCTCTCTTTTTTGGCGTGTGTGTAAATGGAATTGTTCTGCAATAATAATAATAACAACAACAACAACAACAACAACAACAACAATAATAATTTTATTTCTATTCTGCCCTCCCCAGCCAAAGCCAGGCTCAGAGCGGCTAACAACAGTAAAATAATACAACATTCTAAAATCATTTCATTATAAAATTAATTCAAATCAGATTAATGGCAACCATTGAGCTAGAGTTCTGTGAGGATTGCCAAAGGAGGGGGTCAGGCTGTGCCCTGGCCAAAGGCCTGGTGGAACAGCTTCATCTTGCAGGCCCTGCGGAAAGATGTCAAGTCCCGCAGGGCCCTAGTCTCTTGTGACAGAGCGCTCCACCAGATTGGAGCCACAGCCGAAAAAGCCCTGGCTCTGGTTGAGGCCAGCCTAACTTCTCTGTGGCCCGGGACCTCCAAGATGTTTTTGTTTGAAGACCGTAAGTTCCTCTGTGGGACATACCAGGAGAGGCGGTCCTGCAGGTACGAGGGTCCTAGGGCTTAAAAGGTTAAAACCAGCACCTTAAACCTAATCCTGTACTCCACCAGGAGCCAGTGCAGCTGGTATAGCACCGGGTGAATGTGATCTTGCAGCGAGGACCCCGTAAGGAGTCTCGCTGCAGCATTCTGCACCCGCTGGAGTTCCTGGGTCAGTCTCAAGGGCAGCCCCACTTAGAGCGAGTTACATTAATCCAGTCTGGAGGTGACCGTCGTGTGGATCACAGTGGCTAGGTCAGGGCGAGAGAGGTAAGGAGTCAACTTGGAGGAGATGAAAAAATGCCACCTTTGTTATAGCTGCAATCTGCGCCTCCATGGAAAGGGAGGTGTCAAAGATTACACCCAAACTCTTAACGGATGGTGCTGGCACTAATTGCACCCCCACAAGAGATGGGAGTTGCCCCCCCCCAATCCCATATCGTCGGACCCAGCCAAAGGACCTGTCTTCGAAGGATTTAACTTCAACCGGCTCCCACGTAACCATCCAGCCATATCCAAGTGCTTCAAAACAGCTTTACTTACCAGGCATGTGATTGAATCTCGCCAGAAAATAGAGACAGTTAAGAAACCCCTATTGCGTAACCTGCCAGTAAACAAATCTGAATGAACGCTCAATAAACAAACCCCCTGGAAGTGACCCTTGAGCCAAACTGGATGCAGAAGGGACTGGAACCTGCGATCCTGGACATTTTGCACTCCAGTCATGCCTCGGTATTGGCATCCTAGCTGGGAGCGGGGCATGGGGGTACAACCACCCCTGGAGACAGACACAGGTCCCCCCCCCCCCCACATTCCTTGTGAAGGATTGCGTGGGTTGATTGGGATGGCGGATCGCCGTGATTGCGTCCTTTGTGCTGCGAGCAGAGCACGGGAAAGCGAAACTCGCCTGCAGGAAAAAGCCGACCAGCGTTTGGAAACCCAGCACCAGGCGAGAATAGAAACCGAAAGTACCATGTCCTATAAGGAGCGGCCGGCGGAGTCGCCTAGCCCAGTGGCAAACGAAGCAATCGGTAAGAACGGAGTATTGCTCCTGCCTCCAGGAAAAGACAAAACTTCCAAGAGCAACGAGAGAGATTGCTTGGCTTTAGCTTTGTCTTTTTGAGCAACAGCCACGATCGCCCTTCCCCACGTGTAGACGGGGCGGTCCTCCTGGCCGAGCGAAGAGACCCTGGACGGCAGAATGGAAGCGGCGGCCCCCTCCCGCGACGAGGCCATCCTGTACCTGATCTGCTGCTTCCGAGGGCGGATCAAGAGCAACATGCGCGTGGCCCCCGTGCTGGACCAGATGCCCTCTTTGCCCCACGAGGAGAAGGACGTCATCCGAGCCGTGGCGGAGCGCCGCGGGGACGTGGAAGCGGCCGAGCAGCTCCTGCGCGCCCTGGAGAAGGACCGTCGCCCGCCGGGCCTGTGCCAGGAATTCTTCGAGGCGCTGTCGAGGGACGGCTTCAGCGCCGCCGACTACGTGGACCCCAGCATGAGCGAGCTGCCCTCGCCTTCCCTCGAGGCCATGGACGACACGGGCAAGTTCCTGGTGAACTTGTTCTCCAGGACTCTCGTGGAGAAGCTGAGAGCCACGCAGGTTGCCGATAAGTGCCAGCTTCTTACTTTCGAGGACGTGGAGCGGGTAGGTAACGCTGCCTGAAACAATTCGTCCGTGATCCAACCCCCCTCCCACTCAAGAGAGAGAGAGAGAGGTATTTGGGTATATATCATAGGATCACAGAATTGCAGAGCTGGAAGGAACCATGGGGGTCTAGTCTAACCCCCTGAAGTGCAGGAATCTTTTGCCCAAAGTGGGGCTTGAACCCTGAGATCCAGAGTCTCACGTTCTATACCGACTGAGCTCGCTCTCTCATCCATTCACATGTTTAGGGTAAGGTTAGAGGGCCCATCCCCACATTAAGATCAGGTTAAAGGTAAAGGGACCCCTGACCATTAGGTCCAGTCGTGGCCGACTCTGGGGTTGCGGCACTCATCTTGCTTTATTGGCCGAGGGAGCTGGCATGACTAAGCCACTTCTGGCGAACCAGAGCAGCGCACGGAAATGCCGTTTACCTTCCCGCCAGAATGGTACCTATTTATCTACTTGCACTTTGACGTGCTTTCGAACTGCTAGGTTGGCAGGAGCAGGGACCGAGCAACGGGAGCTCACCCCATCGTGGGGATTCGAACTGCCGAGCTTCTGATCGGCAAATCCTAGGCTCTGTGGTTTAACCCACAGCGCCACCCATGTCACTTTAAACATTCATTGTCAAGGGGGATTTATTCGTTCGTGGTGGTGGTTTTTTTGTACTTGCTTTTATTGTGCGTTTTGTGCTTTCATCTTGAATTTTTATGTTGTGAACCACCCTGAGATTTACAGGTTGAAGGGCTGTATAATTAATAAACTAACTAACAAACAAACAAACAAACCATTCTGTGGAATCGACTGGCTAAAGGCTTTCCTTGGACTGCACCACTTGAAGCTGGTGGCGGCAGGGTGGAATTGCAGGTTTTATTGCTACCTAGCGTTGCTGTGTTGTTTTTCCATACAGTCGTACCTTGGAAGTCAAACGGAATTTGTTCTGGAAGTCCATTTGACTTCCAAAACTTTCGGAAACCAAAGCGCGGCTTCTGATTGGCTGCAGGAAGTTCCTGCAGCTAATCGGAAGCCACGGAAGCCCTGTCGGATGTTCAGGTTCCAAAGAATGTTTGCTAACTGGAACAGTCACTTCCCGGTTAGTTCAGGAGCCAAAACATTTGACTCTCAAGGTGTTCAAGAGCCAAGGTACAACTCTATTTGGGAAATAGGCATTCTACAGACAAATATTCAGGGCAGTCTGTCTCCTGACAAGTTATTTTTCTACCTGGAAGGATTCTTCCCCACCTGCACTGAACATTCTGTCCCTATCGTAGTCCTGGAATAGTTTTACATTTTGATTCACACTTAGAAACACTCCATTTCTCACAGGTAGCTTGAATAATGGGTGTGACAAGTTCCTTTCCCAGAAGAAACTGTGAACATGAAATGCATCGTTACTGGTCCAGGTTGTACTGCTGCCCACGGAAATTGCACTTTTGAAAATACAGGACATGAGCCCCTTTCTCACTAATGGTTATACCAGCCTGGGGTCCTCCATATCATATGGACTGCAACTCCCACCAGCCCCAGGCACCGCGGCCATTCTTGCCAGAGTTGATGGGAACCGTAGTACATAGGAGCAAGAGAGGACCAAACTATGGAAGGCTGGTTTGCACACACCCAGCTTCCCATGGAAATACTTTTAATCTAGTATTTTCTCTGCAGGGCAATAAAGGAACCTGTTTTATAGGTACAGTCGTACCTTGGTTCTTGAACACCTTGGTACTCAGACGTTTTGGCTCCCGAACGCGAATATTTTTCGGAAGCTGAACCAACGCGGCTTTAGCTTGAGTGCAGGAAGCTCCTGCAGCCAACTGGAAGCTGCACCTTGGTTTGCGAATGGTTTCAGGAGTTGAATGCACTTCCGGAACGGATTAACGTCAACAACCAAGGTATGACTGTACTATGATACATCTTACAGAAGTACCAGTGTGAGTATTCCTTCCCTCCCTTTTCTTTTAACCCAGATCAGAGCCGAAAATGGAGCAACAGGGAATGCAGCAGCAGTGAGGGTGCTGCTGAGCAGAGTAGTGCAGAAGAAAGAGTGGCTGTCACCGTTTCTGCAGGCCCTGCGTGACTCTGGGCATGAAGATGCCGCAGATATCCTAAGTGGACATAAAGAGGGTAAGAAAAATGATCTTATAGTTTTGAATAGGTATAGTGCTTAGCCTTCGCTTTGTACATGAAGGGTCTGCAGTTCTCTGGGGAAACAGAAACATAGGGCTTGCCCACACTTAACCTTTCTCTTGCATTTTCCAGACTCGGTCTGCACTTGAAAGCTCTGTGTCCAAGCCCCCATTTCTTTCTCTCTCTTTTTGTTCCGAAGTTTTCCCTGTGAAAACCCACTCTTTAAAGCTGAATTGGAGCAAATGGGAATCCACAGAAAACTCAAATTGGCACTTGCTCTGATTTGAGTGCCAAAGAGCAGGCTTTTGCGTGGAAAGTTATCGTGCAAAAAAGGAGAGCATTTGGACACAGAGCTTTAAAGTGTTGACTTCTGCCTGGAAAGAGCGGGACAGAAGGTGTGAATAAGCACATGCTGGGAACTGCATATGTGTAAATTTTGACATGAAAGCTGCAGTCCGAATGTACGTACACATCACATGTTAAAAACTGTTGAACTCAGCGAAACTTACTTCTGAGGAGATGTGCACAGGAACATGCTGAAAGCAACAATATAAAGCACGCTTATACAAGTTGAAGCAGTCGTGGAATCCTGGGAACAACTGCCCAAGATGGTAGACCAAGACATGACTTTACCTGATTTTTGGCATGACAGATCCAAACTCAAAAATTACACCATCCATTTAAACATCACAGTATGTATTGGTTTCTAAAAATGCCGGGCAGCACCAGGCACTTCCAACTAGTGCTTAATAAAACTCATTAAATACATTAAAAAAGCAAACAAACATGCCTACTCTCCCTCCTACAGCACCTTGGTCGGAATTCACCTTAGGGAAAATGATAGAAGATCTGGGCACAGCTCTTCCAATACCTTGCTTCATATTTGAGTTTAAAACATGACATTGGTCTACCTTATGGTTTATCTCCCTGCCTTGTTGTGTCCCCACGTTGTCTGTTTTGCTCACCTGCGTATGGGGGCTGATCTCCGATGTTGCTAAATAACATTTTGTTTCGTGTGAACAGAGCAAATAGTCAACGGGATGCCTGCAGGTGAGACTATGGGCACTGAGGAACCTCAGGTACCTGAGAATCCAAAGCAGGGTGCTGAGTTGGGGAGCAGCTTCACCCGTGAGGAGAATGCCTCAGAAGAATCCTGTGGAGGGAGTTCTGCAGTTTCAGGTAACCTGTCAGCTCGGCTTTTTTAAACAAAGTTTATTTATTTACCCTATTTTTCGCTCTACAAGACGCACCCGACCATAAGACGCACCTAGTTTTAGAGGAGGAGAACAAGAAGAAAAAAATTGCCTCCCTCTCTGCGCAGCGCCTCTTCAGCGAAGCGGGAGGAGAAATGGAGCCCCTTCCATTTCTCCTCCCGCTTCGCTGAAGAGGCGCTGCGCAGAGAGGGAAAGCTGTGCAGCACCTCTCCAGCGAAGCGAAGCCAGGAGAGGAAGAGGGGTCAGTGCGCACCAATCCCTCTTGCTCTCCTGGCTTCAGGGATAGTCACTGAAGCCATGGAGCCTGCATTCGCTCCATAAGATGCACAAACATTTCTCCTTACTTTTTAGGAGGGGGAAAGTGCGTCTTATAGAGTGAAAAATACGGTACTTGGTTGCAGCAAGGGAGCTGCCCAGTAGTGGAGCTCCCAAAGCACATTAAAACATATTGGGTGGAATTGTGGTCCTCAAGCTGCAAAAGGTTCCCCATCTGTCCTTAAAAAATTGTGGTGGTAGGAGCTTTTTGCTCATGTCCAGACTCCTTAATACTCCCCCCCCCCCCAGTGGGTCCACCCACACTGCAACACAGGAGAGAATTAATAGATCTCAGCTTAGCCTGCCCAGGTTTTCACTCCATCTTTATGGCAACTATGCTCTGTCTGGTTCAGGAGTCAAAACCTATCAGGATGGCGACATTTGTTTTCAGACTTGCTCTCTTGCACTCTTTTTGTAAGCGCATCATTGACCAGTAGGTGGCACCCTTAGCAATTCGTTGTTAGGAAAGTGTGGTTGCTTTACTGCACAATTTGATGCATGTTTACTCAGATGCAAGCCCTGCAGTGGCAAATAATGCTTACCCCCTAGTAAAATGTGCTTAGGATTGCAGTCTTAGGCAAATATTTTCTTGCATTAATGGCTTATGTAGTCTGATCAGGTCGCATTGTGACCTGTGTTTAATTCTAGATATGGCATTCAAGGTTGTGTCCCAAGTATTAAGCAAGAATTTCAGAGCTGGTAAATCTAATCAGGCTAGGACAATATAAGCATTTTGAGCACATGGAAAGGTTCAGGTTTGCTTCAGCTGAAGCATCTAAGATAGCCTGAGCTGTGTGCTTTGCTGAAAATGAGGTTAGAGGGAGACATTCTGGTCTATCAAAATGCGAAGCACATTAACCTATGATAGAAGTAACTGCATATCACAAAATATTTACACCATTTCTGAATTGTGTCTGCCAGATTCTGACGTCAGTTTGCTGGATGCAAGCATCAATGATGTGAGCGAGAGTGTCGCGCGGTGCAGCCTCGCCAACGGTGATTCAGGTCTGACTTTCTCCACGGAACTCTATTTAAAATGCGAAACATTTACACTATCTGTTGAGGGATGATATTCTTGAATCGACTGTTCCAGGATATTTAGCCTAGATTTAAAACTACTTAATTTTATTTAATGGTGACCATTGAGTCTTTTATATGTTTTATGCGTCTAATATGTCTGGAATACCAATGTTTTATGGATCCCCCCCCCCTTTTCCTTTCTCTTTTATGACTTTACTGTCTAAATTATGCCGACAAAGGCTGGATGAGTGAGCATTTAAGCCAAATCATTGTAGGCTGTCGAGGTAGAAACCGTGGCATTCGTCTGTCTAGCGTTGTGAGCAAGATCTATCAAAATGAATACGTGAGATCAGAACTGCTTGAGGATCAGAGAGAAAGAGAGTGTGGATTCTGTTTCTCCTTCCTGCCCCAAGATTTGCTGCTTGATGGAATGGAGGATTTTCCCTCCTTCCCCTGTTGTGCAAGAAACAAGAGGTCCGAGACCAGACGACCATCTTCGTCTTAGCACTGTTTTGTACCAAAAGGGAAGGGCAGCACCCAGCCATTGGCCCAAAGCCCAGTAGCTGATGGCAGCTTGTTTGCTCTTCCCAGTAAGGAGCCCATCGCAAGTGCCAGCTGCCCTGTGGGTTGCATTCGAAAGGCGCTCGTAACCTAGAGGATGTTTATAGCAGGCTCGGAGGAAAGCTGTAATTTGGGCAGCAGGGTGCGCGTGTTCTTCCCTCCCAACTCAAGACGTAAAATTGTAAATATTTGTGTGCGACATCCAAAGCCTTGGAGACAGACAGGATGCAAATATCAATTTAAGGAAGGGCAATTTGTAATTCTTTGTAATTCAGCACAGCTCTTAGGATCCTTCAGTTTCTTGGACGAATTAATGTTATTAATACTTAGTAGTTCTGTTTGTATTGGGCCCACCCAATTTTTTTGATAAATTAATATCCCTCCCTTCCTCCCAGGATGCTAGACTAGATGGGCCATGGGCCCATCTTAGGTCCTTATGGTTAGAAAGTTGGAAATAAGACCCGGGAGGCCAGACTTCAAATCCCCACACGGTCATGAAGGTCCCTGGGTGACCAGTCACTCGCTCTCAACCTAACCAACCTCACAGGGTTGTTGTGCGGATAAAATGGAGAGGTGAATAGCCATTGTCAGGTGCTGTTGCGGTTGCTCGAGAGTAACCAGGCAAGACTCCGACCTGTGTTTTACAGGCTTTATTTTGGTGCAAAACTAATTACAGTGAAGAGTCCCAAAGCTCACGTCTGGTTCAGTCGCTAGCAGAATTCGGGAGTGGTCTTTTTTTGTACCTCCCCCAACATAAAAGTTTCGTTACCCCCAACCGTTTCCGCCCCTCTCTGCGTCTCAGACTACTGTGCAGGATGGGCGATGGCAAGGGCGTGCTTCCCTTGCTCAGGAGCGGTGTTAAGGCTCCCACCAGCATCCTCTGGTCCTTGCACCTCTTCTCCACTCGAGGTGGGGCTTTCCTCCTCCCCGGAAGAGGAACTGCTTCGCAAGATTTTTGGAGACTCCCCGTAACCAACTGCCCTTCTGTTTCTCGCCTCTGAGCCGATGGCAGTTCCCTGACAGCCATGTATGCCGACTTGAGCTCCTTTGAGAAAAAGGTGGCATATAAATGCAATAAACAAACACTATCTCCCCTCCACCCTGTATCTAATGATCAGAGACTGAATCAGGAGACCTTGAGGGAAATGAACTAGGTGAAAATAACCCTCTTCTCTGCCTTAAGGCTTGCCTCGCCCACTGTCCCCACCCTAGGCTTTTTCTCTGCAGAGAGTGGTAGTTGTACAATGCTTTCTTAGATGCTAATTTCCCATTGCTCTCTTCTTCCACTTGGAGAGATTTCCATTAGCAGATCTTATCCAAGCCTCACTTGAGTTCTGTTAGCTTAGTTGGGCTTTCTGGAGAATTCCCCATAGAAAAAGATGCAAGACTTCCTTTATACTGCTTACAAATATAACTTTATAGCGTTTTCTGTATGATTTGGCCACTAATGATGATATCATCAGAAAGAAGGTATCTTTTCCAAATATCATCAGCTACTCTTTGAATTTTTCCCCTACCCTTTGAGTCTGTGTTTCCTTTGGCTCCATCCACTTAGCACAGGGGCCGGCAAAGTTTTTGTGGCTTGGGCCGGTTCACAGTCCCACAGACGCAGCGGTGGGCCAGAGTGTGTGCACACGCATGCGCAAACGCTATTTCCGGTGCGGAGGAGGCGTGCGCAGCTTCCCACTGGCTGCAGGAGCTTCCTGCAGCCAATGGGAAGCTGCCCAGCGTCACAGAAGGCGGTCCCTGCTCTGCTCCATGCCGGTTTAGCGCAGCGCACAGGAGCTGACTGAGCAAGCGGCGGGGGTCCATGGGCCAGTTAAATGACCCTCTGGTTTAGCATATCGTAAAATTTTGGCAGTAGGCTTTTTGTGCTTTTCAATCCATATAGTGTCTTTTAAAATGCAGTTGTCTCTGTTTATTTGACCTCTCCCCCATAGGTCTCCAGAGTAAAATATATTATATGGTGAAACAGAAAACAATCCTGGCCCCTGAATATTATCATATGGATATAATTCTAGTCAGTAACAGGCCACATTCTTTTGACGAGATCATAAAACATCAAGCAATCCTAAATTCAGTTGCTTTTACTATTGTTACTCATTAAATTGTATACCACTGAATGCAAAGATGGTTTACTAATCATAAAAAATGAATTGAATAACATGATTAGAATACAGAATAATTTAAAAGACACCATAATTAAAATGCACAATAGAACCACTTCATTAAAATGTTTAAATATGAACAACCATGATTAATATTTGAATTGCTCCTGCTCACCTGCCCAAAATTACCCTCATGTGGTTGGCTGGGCTTGTTCGGGATATGACCCTTGAGCTGAAAAAGGTTCCCACCTATGGTGTACAGGATTGGAGCCTTAAATTGTGCATCCCAAGAATGAATTGACACCAGCTGTGATGCCCAAAGGAAACTCTAGTAGCCCGTCAACCATATATTGTGGCCTGACAGGTGTTTGCACAAACATTTTCTGCTGTTGTGGGGAGAAGGCAGGAGTTACCTTTGGTCAAAAAACATGGGCGTCTCTGGCTTACACCTAAATCTGCATGGCAGAAATTATAGAGGAGTGGTCTCTCTTACCTGCAGATGATGCTGAGGATGAAGAGACAAGAGCTTCACCAGAGCCAGAGCTGACTCTCAGAGACTACCAGATGGAGGTCGCCGAACCAGCCCTGGAAGGGAAGAATATTGTCCTGTGCCTCCCTACAGGCAGTGGCAAGACCCGAGTAGCCGTCTACATTGCCAAAAACCACTTGGATAAGAGAATGGAAGCCGGAGAGCATGCAAAAGTTATCGTGCTTGTCAACAAGGTACGCTGTCCAGAGGTTCTCAAACTGGGTCCCATGAACTACTAGTGGTCTGTGATGTTAGGAGGTCCTCAAAAAGCTTGCAAAACCCTTGAGAATATCTGTACCTGGCCCTGTGCTCGATGTACTTTTTTCTGACAGTTAAGATCGAAATTGTCTTTGAACCAGGGCTGGGTTATCAAACAGGCTAATAAGACCCTAGTCCAGGGTTTCCCAATCTTGGGTCTCCAGCTGTTTTAGACTACAACTCCCATCATCCCTAGCTACAGGACCAGTGGTCAGAGATGATGAGAGTTGTAGTCCAAAAACAGCTGGAGACCCAAGTTTCGGAAACCCTGCCCTAGTCTTAAGGCCAATCATTTTCTTAAAAATGATGTTGATGTGGTCTCTCCTTAAAGCATTACCAGAAAGTTGTAAAATTGTGCCTGCTCTTGGATCTGTAGAGCAAAAACAAATGCATATTAAGCGGTACACCAAGGTGCCCAACAAAACTTCAAGCAGACCAACGGGGTGGGGAGACAATTTTGAGAACCGCTATGCTATCTGCTTATGTGAGTCATGCAAGCACAGAACTGTAGGATGGCAGGCATTTTGGTTTCAAAATAACGAAATCCTTCATTCTGAGAGGAAGCACAGTTCATATTCCTGCCTTGCAGGGGGTTGGACTAGATCAGGGGTCAGCAACCTTTTTCAGCCGGGGGCCGGTCCACTGTCCCTCTGACCTTGTGGGGGGCCGGACTATATTTTTTGGGGGAAATGAATGAATTCCTATGCCCCACAAATAACCCAGAGATGCATTTTAAATAAAAGGACACATTCTACTCATGTAAAAACACACTGATTCCCGGACTGTCCGTGGGCTGGATTTAGAAGGCGATTGGGCCGGATCCAGCCCCCGGGCCTTAGGTTGCCTACACATGGACTAGATGATCTTCAGAATCCCTTCCAACTCTACAATTCTGTGATTCGTGTTAGTGGGGTAAGCTTGCATAACCTTTGGCCAAAACTCCTTAGCGTGCTTTGGATGCTATTGTGTAGTTCGCAAATGCACAAAGAGCTTAAATAAAGGTCATTATTACAGTAGGGGCTTAGTTGTATCCCCAACTCTTGGCTGGAAACCTTTTCCTAGGTGCCATTGGTGGAGCAGCATTTCCGGAAAGAATTTCACCCCTTCCTGAAGCATCGGTATCGCGTCATTGGGCTGAGCGGTGCCTCTCAGCTGAAAATTTCCTTCCCTGCAGTTGTCAGGGATTACGATGTCATTATCTGCACAGCTCAGATCCTTGAGAATGCATTGCAAAATGCAGACCAGGACGAAGAAGAGGGAGTTCAGTTAAAAGGTATTTATTGTGGATAACCGTGTGCCTGTTCGTGGTTCTGAGGCCCTAAACACATTTTGTTTGTGTGCCTTTAGAAACATGCTTAAAACAGACACTTAGATTTTGGAAGAAAAGAAGCCGCTAGGTCTCAAATTGGGACATGCTGCTTATGGAATACTTTAATCATCATCAATAACAATTTCATTATTTATACCCAGCCACTCTGGGAGGCTTCCAACACACGAAAACATAATAAAAGGTCAAACATTAAAAACTTCCCACTACAGAACTGCCTTCAGATGTCTTATAAAAGTTCTGTAGTTATTTATCTCCTTGTCATCTGATGGGAAGGCATTCCACAGGGAGGGCACCACTGCCAAGAAGGCCCTTTGCCTGGTTTCCTATAGCTTCACTTCTCCACTTTTTTCAAAAGAACTTCTGAGTAGACATGGTTAGGATTGTGCACAGTGCATCATGTCTCTCAGGGCCAAACTATGCAGACTGCCAATGTGGACTGGGTTTATTGCAAGCAACCAGTTGTGTGTGTGTGTATTCCAATGGAAATGGGTGCCCTAATCCCAAACAAAAGTTGTAATCCTTCCTGGGACTTTATGGTGAATGGTATGACACCTTATTGGTAAGACATATGGTATATGGTAAGACACCTTATTAAACAAATAAATGTTTTCCCTCAGAGTTCTCCCTGATCATCATTGATGAATGCCATCACACTCAGAAGGAAGCGGTGTATAACGGTATCATGCGCCAATACTTAAAAGAGAAGAGGGACAATGAGAAGCAAAGGAAAGAGGGAAAGGAGTGTTCTCCACAAGCTCAGGTTCTGGGGCTGACAGCTTCACCTGGCGTCGGAGGTGCGAAAAATGCGGCAAAGGCTGAGCAGCATATTTTGAAAGTAAGTCACCGTAGACTTGGAAGGTCAAGTCTGGATCCAAACCAATAGGGGGGGTGTCAGAGGCTTAATGCTGTCCAGCTGGCATAGATAAGACTCCGGGCTCCCAGCCAGTTCCAAACTATTTGATTTATTTGACAAAGTTCAAACGTACATCTTCAGCGTTTCAATTAGCGTCCGTCCCGTTGTTGCGCAGTTGCCGCCTCTTATCTTTCTTCTTCCTTTTCCGTACCCAGCATGCAAGTCTGCAGAAACTCCTCCCCTGACTTCCTCTGTGTACAGAATGACTTGTTCCAGGCTCATCCTCCTCCCCCTCTACGTCAGACCCACTGTCAGACGACAGTGCTGCTGATAATCTCTTTAGGCTCTCTATAACTGCTGGTTTCTGTCCTTTCATCTTTTCCCGTTTGCCTTTCCCTGACAGGGGGAGTGGGGCAGATTGATACAGAAAAATTCAATCTCATATTTTATCTCACAAAAATGAGTCAAATAATATTTTTTTTGGCTTGATGCATGGCATAACTAATCAATATTATAATAGCAATCAAAAGAACCATTAAAGTTAGACGATAATAAGAATGTAATGACTTCGGTTTTAAAAAAGGGGTTTTTATCATTCTGCCCCACCTACGGGGCACTTTGATACAAAGTGTAAATTGTATGAGAATGGTGATTATTTGCAAAAATTTAATGAAAAAACCATTTTTAATTGTGAGAGATCATAATCAGCCTTACAATTTGTTACTTAAAATCTAAATTACGTATCAAAACTAACAGTGTTTCACACACATCATAGACTTTATGGCAGGTTTTCTTAACAAAACATCAAAACTTATGTTAATCTTTCCTCAAACACCTATCCATTAAAAAAAAACTTTGGAAAAACTTAAGAAGTATAAGAACTCACATTAGATAGTCAAAAATAGTAATTTAAACAAAATGCTTATAAAAAATAAGATAATTACTTAACATTTAGCTTCTATTGCACATTATATCCACTTAAGTCCATAGAAAAAGTATAAAGAGATGATGTTTGAGATGTGCCCATTGGGAAATTTGGTTTTGGCAACGGCAAAACAACATCCTTGAAATCAACGCTTGCCTTATCTTCTACATTGGGGAAGACAAACATACAAGATCCTGGTTTTTTTCCTGAGATATGACACATGATAATCAGTCATACTATATTTAGAAATGACTTCGGCCACATAGAAAACAACAGTTTTTTTCTTTTCAAATTTAATGAGTTTAGAGATTTCATGCAAATTTGTATATTGGGGCACTATTGTACACTAGCGGGGCACTTTTATATGTATCAATCTGCCCCGTGTCTTAGTGTATCAAAGTGCCCCAACGGACATTTTCAGAAAAACTAACAATTATTAATAAAACCATTGAATTTATTTAAAAATCACGTGTAATCCTGATTACTGAGTGGAATAACTTACCATCGGTATTTTTAAATCTTAACTAAATGATGTAAAACAGTGTTGGAACACTTTTACATTTCGCATAATTTTTTAGTTGGCCGAACTAAAAACATACCTACTCTCGTCAAACACCAACAGCTAACTGGCGGGCAGCGCGGTTGCAAGTGTTGTACTCACACATGTAAAGACACGTTTTAGTGATGTCGCGACACGATTAACATTTCTCGATATCGAAATATTGTTGGTGTATCAATGTGCCCCACTTCCCCCTATATTGTTGAATTAGGATTTGACTGCTTTCTTTAATTTATTGTTGGTTGGTGTGTTGTTGTTGTTGTTGTTTTTAAAAATCAATCAATAACAACAACATTAATTTGCCTATTTGCAAAAGCGGAGATGGGAGGATTTGGAAAAGGCCAACTGCGAATGAGAAAACCAGAGGATGAGGAAGCCAGAAATCAAAGCCACAACCATAAATCTATATTTTGGATTGGGCAAAACATTGTTACTGAAGCCAAAAAACCCACTATGCACATATTTATTCATGGCTGGGCACCCTTATTAATCATCTGAGGTAGTGAAAGCTTAATTAGAAAATATATGTTAAGATTGATTTCATGGGGAGAAATGTTACGTCTTTAGGCAGCATTACTCACAAAATGCACGTGCCATGTCTGTTATAACCTTCCTGCTTCCAGATTTGTGCCAATCTCGATGCAGATGGAATTATGACAGTTCAAGAACATGCCCTACAGCTGAAGGATCAGGTGAAAGAACCCTCCAAGAAGTTTGAGATTGCAGACAACAAGAGAAAGGTATGGATTTTTGTTGCGGCTTTTTCTCGTTGAATTTCTTTCTTTCTTCTCTGCTTTTGCCTCTTCATAATAAATCTGGCGCTTCAGAAGCGAGCCCACCTTGAAGCAAGGCGCTTCATGGGCTATGGGATTCAACTTTGGGTCTATCCAAGTCTGCTTCTTTCTCTCCCCCCCTCCACCCCACCCCACCCCAAACGGAACCATCTACGTATAACTTGTTTCCTTTTGGGCCAGAATTGAATTGGGTGGAATCTGAGGGCATGAATCCTGCCACATTTCAGATGGATAGCCATAGTGGTTTTCCCACAAGGACAGGCATTACAGTTTTAGAGTGGGTAAGAAAGGCATTCCCCCTCATGTGCACCCTCAGTCAAACAGCCACCACAACAAAGCAAGACGAAATCAGTGAACCTATGTTTCTGTGGGCCACAAAATAACAAGCAGACGTATGTATCCGTGGGCCACTGAAAACCATCTACAGTGGTACCTCGGGTTACATACACTTCAGGTTACACACTCTGCTAACCCAGAAATAGTGCTTCAGGTTAAGAACTTTGCTTCAGGATGAGAACAGAAATCGGGCTCCAGCGGCACGGCAGCAGCAGGAGGCCCCATTAGCTAAAGTGGTGCTTCAGGTTAAGAACAGTTTCAGATTAAGAACGGACCTCCGGAACGAATTAAGTACTTAACCTGAGGTATCACTGTAGGGGACTTTGTATGACCTGCAGTTTGTGTCCTTGCGTTATCATGGAAGCAAGATTTCATTTCAGCTGGAGGTTTCCATCTGTTTTGATATGCACACTATAAAAGAGAGAAGCAGGGGCGTCTTACCCATAGAGGCTAGTGGTGCGGGGCACCAAGTTCTGGAGGGCACCAGGGAAGATGCGGAGGCCGGCATCAGCTCGCCGCCCTTGCCCGCCTCCGCCATGCCGCATCAAATAATAATAATAATAATAATAATAATAATAATAATATATTATTTATACCCCGCCCATCTGGCTGAGTTTCCTCAGCCACTCTGGGCGGCTCCCAATCAAATGTTAAAAACAGCACAGCATTAAATATTAAAAACTTCCCTGAACAGGGCTGTCTTCAGATGTCTTTTAAAGATAGAATAGCTGCTTATTTCCTTCACATCTGAAGAGAGGGTGTTCCACAGGGTGGGTGCCACTACCGAGAAGGCCTTCTCTCTGGTTCCCTGTAATCTCACTTCTCGCAATGAGGGAACCGCCAGAAGGCCCTCAGTGATGGATCTCGGCCTCTGGGCAGAATGATGGAGGTGGAGACGCTCCTTCAGGTATACAGGACCGAGGCCATTTAGGGCTTTAAAGGTCAGCACCAACATTTTGAATTGTGCTCGGAAATGTACTGGGAGTCAATGCAGATCTCCCAGTACGTCAAAGCAGCGCCGCACCCGGAGCCTCCGTGCACGAAGCGGCCAGCTGAGCCGGGAGGCGCCACGTCCAGCCTCCACCTCTTCCCCGCCGAAGGAGCCACCCTCCAGCCACTGCCCGCCTCCTCCAGCCCCGCCTTCCCTAAAAAACTCTGGGGGGTGGGGGGTGGGCGGAGGGAGCTTTGCACCACAGCACCGGATATGCTTAAAACAGCCCTGGAGAGAAGTGTTTGTATATGAAAGGCTTCCTTTTTTCAAAAAGCTTGGGAGAGCTTTCCACACTGCAATCTGCCTTCTTCTCTTTCCATGCACCCAGCACCCAGGAAATACAAAACACCTTATTGTCAATTTAGCTTCCTCCCTACAACAGGCCCTAAGTTTTATGTAGAAGGGCTTAAGCAACTGCTAACCTGCTCCTTCTTCACTCCCTTTGTTGGACTCCCAATTCACAGCAGTCCTGGCTAGCATAGCCTTTGGTAGGGGATGATGGGACTTGTAACCAAAAAAATATCTGGAGGACATCATGCTGGCTGCCCATGTTCTCGCTTCTAAATGGGGAAGGAATTAAACTTCAGATAATGACTTTATGACCCTGGTTTTAACATTTTCCTGGGAGAAACTAAATGGAGATGGGAGCCAGCGGCACCTCAACTCCACACCACCATAAATGGATCTGCCAGTCCTGTTGCCTGCCACTGGCGACGCTTTCTCTGCACCTCTGTTGTATCCAGGCTGGCAACCTGGGGGCCATTTTCATGAGCTGCATAGGCATAACCATTCGTTGCTTGGTAATTGGCTTGCTGTGAAGTAATTGGGCCATTTTGTTCATGTCTAGGGGAGTATGTACTTGTTTATATAAATATTCTCTCTCGTTGATGTAAAACTGAAGGAATTTGTATCCCTTGTTGATGTTGGCAGAGTATCCCTTCGCTCATTACTGAGTGAGTGCCCATGTTTTTCATTTTTAGGATCCGTTCAGAGAGAAACTCATAAACATAATGACAGGGATCCAGACCTATTGTCAATTCAACCCAAGGGCTGAGTATGGATCTCAGACCTATGAACAGTGGGTGATTCAAGAGGAGAAGAAAGGTAACCATGTTTTTAAGTGTTTTGTAATGTTTTGCCATGTCGGTTGTCCAAGACTCTCCCAGACATCTGTCTGCTGGTTTGGTAAAATTTGTTTCCCCCGCCCCTCCTGCCTAGCTGCCAAAGAAGAACATCGCAAGCAGCGGGTCTGTGCAGAGCATTTGAAGAAATACAACGATGCCTTGCTAATTAATGACACCATCCGAATGATTGATGCATATAAGCATCTCAAAAGCTTCTACAAGGAAGAAAAGAGTAAGAAGAAGGCAGTGAATGAACACAATGAGGATCAGCCAGGAGCATCAAAACCAGATGAAACTGATGCATTTCTTATAGATTTGTTTTATGGTAAGCATGAGACCCTTGGCAAATTGCCATATATTCTTCCACTAACCTCTGTGCAAATGCAAATAAGAACCAAAATCCGACCATTGTAGCCTGAACATAGTGGCTGACAGGGACACAGTGATGACATCAGAAGTTTACATCTGTGGGACTCCTTTTCTTTAGCATTCTAGGTTATTGCGGCCTGCCTTTCACTTCCAGCAGAGATGGAAAGCCCAAATGTTGCTTGATTTACTAATCCCGTTACCCTCGCCCAGCATTGCCAGCAGATGAAGGGAGTTCTCTGGAGCAGGAGCAGGTGTGGGTGCTTACATGACCTCCCATAACAGGAGTTGCTACAGTTTACCAGAAGAGAGAGGGGAAGGGGTGAACTCAGTATGGTGCAAATGCATGGACTGCAGTGCTGGATTGGTTCCACCAGAGCATTTGAACTGCACCAACCTTGCCACTGTCTCTCCCTCCCAGCAGCCACAGGGACTTCAGGGCCTGGAAGTCCCATACGGGTTGATGCCTGTCCCACTGACCATTGCTTTTCTGGAAGGCCATAGATTTCCCACCCATGGCTTACATAGTAAGGGGAATATCAGTTAAAGCACATCCTTGCCACCTTTCCCCCTTAATTGTGACGCACAAACACACACCCTTTTTTATTAAAGCTTAATTGTTCCTTAATTAGCAGTTTGCAGCTAATTGGTGTGATGGAGAAGCAGATTGATCAAGCAATAAAATGGCAGGACCAGATTCAGAAATTAGCATCTGACTGGTCTTGCCCATCAGCCTGCCTTTCTTTTTTCCATTGTTTGCTAATGAAATCTTTCAAGTTTCACTCAGTATCATTTATTGCTTATTTGGTGAATTGTATCCCACCTTTCTACCCAATGGTGCTCAAGGTGGTGACAAGTATGAAGCTTTTATTAAGTATGATGGCATTACTTACTTTTATTTTTGCACAGACTAAATATCTGTACTAGCATTTCTGTGATGCAACGAAGCCACCGTGATCCTATATTGAACGTTGGTATTTGCTATGTGCTATAGGCTATAAATCACATATACCCAACAGGTTACCCTCCAGAGGTTGTTGGACCCCCAACTCTGATCACCCCCAGCCAACATGGCCAATGGTCTGGGCAGATGGGAGTTGTAGTCCAATAACACCTGGGGAGTGACAAGTTAGGTTCAGTGTTTTATTCATTTATGCCTGTTCGTTTTTGTAGCGAAAGAGAAGGAGCTGAAGCAGTTAGCCAGTGAAGCAAAATACGAAAATGAAAAGCTGACCAAGCTGCGTAGAACATTAATGGAAGAATTCACAAAGACATCTGAGCCCAGAGGAATCATTTTCACAAAGACTCGGCAAAGTGCTGTTGCTCTCCATCAGTGGATTGAAGAGGACCCAAAATTTGAGGACGTTAAAGTGAAATCTCACTATCTTATTGGTGCCGGGCACAATAGTGAGTTTAAGCCCATGACTCAGGTAAAGAATGAAGGTTAAATATGATATCATATTTTTCTTTACCACACAGTTGGGAGGGAACAGATTCTCTGATAGGTGGAGTAGGAATCCTTGCCTGTTCTTATCCTGACTATTTGATTTGGTGAGTACTTGAATAAACCCCAAGGAATAAGTGGTAATAAATCCAAAAAGTGATATTCTTGGAGAAAGTTATTTAAGATTAGCATCTTACTCGCTTCATTTTTCTCCTATAATCTGGTGTCACTTCCAAAATAGAGAGGGCAGCTCCTACAAGGATATGCCGAGCCTTTTGTTTATCATGTTCCTTCTGCCACAAACAAGCCCAAAATCCAATTTTTGTTTCCTCACTTTGTGCTTTTTCTATTTAAAAAGCAAGGGCAGCCAGAGCAGCAAAGAGAAGGAGTGTGACGTAACACGAGGGTTCAAGGAAGGCTGCCTCGTGGCCTACAAAGTCCCCTCAGGCCCAGAAGCTAAAATAGCACTCCCAGTAAAGAAGTGAGAAGATGCCAGGCAGTGCGGCACTAGCACATTTTGTGCTAGGACCTCTAGCTGTGCAAATAGCATCCTTGGCGAAGAAGTGCAAGGATGCCAGGGGAGGAGAAAATGCAGCAGGTGAGCAGTTCTTGCCCACCAAAGTCTACTCTAAGCCTTCGGGGAGAGATGGCCAATAAGAAGAATGCGGCGAGACTTGGGGAAGGGTCCTTTGGTTCTGACTCCTCCCTCTCGCCTATTATTGATGGGGGAAAGTGGCATTCACAGCTTTTCAGTGAATAAATAGATTCCAATGGAGAACATTCAGGATAGGTAGCTAGTTGGAAGAAAGGGCTGGATATGCCACCATGCCTCCTCTGATTTATCCACTTCCAGCGTTTAGTACCGAGAGGCTTGTTGTAGAAGGAAACCCAAAGAAAGGCCATGCAAATCTAGAGATGTTCCTCTAACATCTAAGCTATTCTAGAAAGAGGAAGATTCTACTTAGCACTTCCAAGCCGTCAAGTAGGGTGAAAGGACAGAGGACCATGTTTAAGAGCAGATCTCATGTGAAATCTGCAAGAAGCTACTTGGAATTTTACTAGTATAGTATCTTTTTGAGGTGGGTTGTGTGTGAAACTGTATTTGTGTCTCCTGTCCATCAAAGCCGGACCCCCTACTGTAGAGAACCAGTATTATCCATTCAAAGCTTTTGAGAAAGTTTATGCCCTGTGTTATGGTTGCTGAAAGTTGGGCTCCTTTGTAAATTGGTTCAGAAGCAATGTTGGGTATGTAAGCGCAGAAACCTTATGCGCAACTCACCAAACCCCCATGACTTGCTCATTAGCTGTCGAATGCATTTTTCCTTCCATTAATGAACATGTTTGTGATGTGTTTCCACAGAATGAACAAAAGGAAGTCATTGAAAAATTTCGTGCTGGAAAAGTCACCCTCCTTATTGCTACTACTGTGGCAGAAGAAGGCCTGGATATCCCAGAATGTAACATAGTTATCCGCTATGGCCTTGTTACCAATGAAATAGCTATGATGCAGGTATGCCCCATTTGTATGTTTAGATTTCTTTTCTGCCTGATCACCCTAGAGAGTATTATTAAAACAAAATACCACCTAAAATCACTTTTTTAAAAAAGCAGCAGTATAAAAATAGGTAAAAGCACATAATAATAATTTAATAATAATAATTTATTATTTATACCCCGCCCATCCGACTGGGTTTAAGAGCAACTCAAACAAAAATTCATGGGGTTCAAGCACATGAAACAGCCCAATCTTACGGGTTTTTCTGTTTCATCTCCTGCAGAGAAAATGGCGTTCCATTCAGAAAATGCCCATTTTGTGCATGTATTTTACACAGATAAATACATTAGCAGGGTTTTAGGATTACTTGTAATTTTGTTATGAATGGACAATAGGTAATTTAAATGATTTTCAAAGTTAACAATGGACATTGATAAATAATGGAACACTGCTAAATAATGAAACCAAGGAAGGGACATGGGGAAGTCAATTTGTTTTGTACTATTTTGATTTTGTATTGATGTCGTTTTTATTTTTGTTTTGTTTTGGGGGAAAATTAATAAATTATTATCAGAAAATGCCCATTTTGGGGTTGCTGCCCTATGATATTCTGTAGGGCAAGGGTGCCTTGAGTAGAATTTCCTCGGACGATTTATCTTACAGGTCTACACAGGTGCAGGCAGTCTTTCAGATAACCTGATCCCAAGTTATTTAGGACTTTATATGCTAACAATAAAGCCTTGAACAAGGCCAGGGAGCGGTGATTGGCAGCCGGCACAGTTCCTTTAGCACAGGTGTAATATGTGCACCTTTGTGGGCTTCCTTACAAGCCTTGGCCATAGGGTGTAGTTTGGTCTTTGGATTGCTTTAGAGCGGAAACTGGATAAATGTGGAAGATGTTCTTTGCTCAGAGTTATTATGCTTCTGAATCCAAGGTTCTAGAGCAGGGGTAGGCAACCTAAGGCCCGGGGGCCGGATGCAGCCCAATCGCCTTCTCAATCCGGCCCACGGATGGTCCGGGAATCAGCGTGTTTTTACATGAGTAGAATGTGTGCTTTTATTTAAAATGCATCTCTGGGTTATTTGTGGAGCATAGGAATTCGTTCATTTCCCCCCCTAAAAATATAGTCTAGCCCACCACATGGTCTGAGGAACAGTGGACCGGCCCACGGCTGAAAAATGTTCTAGAGGGAGTCCTGTTGTCTTGTAGGCTTATTACTTGTAGGCTTTTGGTGAGCATCTTGCTAACCTGCTGGAAACGAGATTTGTAGCTTGGTCCAGGATCGCTGCTCACCCCTCGGAAGGCAGGAGACACACCCCGACTCCAGCTTGTATGTATACCTAAACGTGCCCTGTATTTATTTATCTATGTGCCTTGTCTCTTCCAGGCTCGTGGACGAGCTCGAGCGGACGAGAGCACCTATGTGCTCGTGGCGTCGGGGGAATCGGGAGCTGTGGAACGTGAAAGCGTCAACATGTTCCGTGAGAAAATGATGCACAAAGCAATCGAACGTGTCCAGGCGATGCCCAGAGAAGAGTATAGACGTAAGGTAAATGGCCCATACCGTAGCTAAGGCTGCTCTGGTTCTAAAAAGAGCAGCCACGTTGGTCTTTAACTTGCAAAAGTATGTTGGGAGGGAGCCTCGTGGCTGTCCCTCCTTGCACATCACTGCCACATGCAGATCCTTTGGCAAGGAAGAGCCCCACCCACCCACCCTCCTTTATAATACAGGTTACAGACTCTGTTAACCCAGAAATAGTACCTCGGGTTAAGAACTTTGCTTCAGGATGAGAACAGAAATCGTGCTCCGGTGGCGCGGCGGCAGCAGGAGGCCCCATTAGCTAAAGTGGTGCTTCAGGTTAAGAACCGTTTCAGGTTAAGAACGGACCTCCAGAACGAATTAAGTTCTTAACCTGAGGTACCACTGTACCAGCAACAGGTCGCCTTCTCAAATACAGTGGTATTTGGGTTACATATGCTTCAGGTTACATACGCTTCAGGTTACAGACTCCGCTAACCCAGAAATAGAACCTCGGGTTAAGAACTTTGCTTCAGGATGAGAACAGAAATCGTGTTCCAGTGGCGCAGCTAAAGTGGTGCTTCAGGTTAAGAACACTTTCAGGTTAAGAACAGACCTCCAGAACGAATTACCGTATTTTTCGCTCTATAAGACGCACCAGACCACAAGACGCACCTAGTTTTTGGAGGAGGAAAACAAGAAAAAAAATATTCTGAATCCCAGAAGCCAGAACAGCAAGAGGGATCGCTGCGCAGCAAAAGCAGCGCTCCCTCTTGCTGTTCTGGCTTCTGGGATAGCTGCGCAGCCTGCATTCGCTCCATAAGACGCACACACATTTCCCCTTACTTTTTAGGAGGGAAAAAGTGAGTCTTATAGAGCAAAAAATACGGTAAGTACTTAACCCGAGGTACCACTGTAAAGGAAAGCTCTTGGCTGATGTGTGAGGCCAGTGGATTGGGGTTCTTTGCTCCCCCACTTCCCTAGAACTGACTGCTTCAGCTGGCATCAAATGGATCTGAGAGGACCAGATGGGTAAAAGAGTAAGAGGAGATCCGGAAAGATCTGTGGCCTTGCGCGTGAAGCCACCCAGTTTGCTTCATGGCCCCCGGGTCCTAGTCCGACACTCAAACCCCTCCTTTATAAAAGTTCACTTACTTTTACCAACCTATGATAAGAGGACTGCAACAAGATAAAGCTTTGAATGTGGGGCAGGGCAAATGGTGTGCAAAGCCTAAGTGGCGGTGTTACTATCAGTGTGGTGTTTCTCTTTATTTTACTTCAGTGGTTCTCTTAATCTTTGGCTGATTTATATTCCATAGAGAATATTGCCTGGCGCCTTCATTATACACCTTTAGGCGCCAGGAAAAGATGATGCTTTTTAACCAGGCCTTTGGCTGATCTGATTTACATCCTATGCCCTTTTAAAAAAAATGGGGGGGGGCAACTATTGGGTTGTTGTTTTTATTTTCATTATGTATTTTGCGGTTTTATATCTTGATTTTATTCTGTGAACCACCTTGAGACCCCTGGGTATAGGGCGGTATCATAATAATGCCTTTTAAATGTGTCTGCAGGAAGGGAGAGCTATTGTTTTGCTGTCTTGTTTTACGTATTTACTTGTTTTTATCCTGTGTTTTATTCTGTGAGCTGCCCTGAGATCTTATGATGAAGGGTAGTATATAAATCTGATTTTATTATTATTTATTATTATTATTTATTATTATTATTTATTAATCTTAGTGTATCTGCCCCATTTACATATAAAGCCTCAGGTGGGTATCTCTCATCTTGGCTCTGCTACAGTGAGAATGCAAAGTTAAATAAGGCTGAGGGAAAGATTCTCATCCCCTGCCTTATACACAGATGGACCAGTTTAGTTTAGCCTTGAGAAAAGCAGATGGAGCGAATGTACCCACATATTTTTGGTTCAAACATTCTTAGTTGTAAAAAAATAGAAGGGTGCATTTTTCTTTTCTTTTTTAGTTTAAAATAATTGCATGTTACTAACGGCTTGTAGATTTGATGTTTTGTGATTGCTTGTATTATGTAGTGCTGCTGCTAATTTCTGTTTCAGATGTCATATTGTCTTAAATCTTTTATTTTGTGTTGGAACTTGCTTTGGGATTGCATCCATGGCGAAAAGCAGAGTCTACACATTTTAAAAATAAATAGAAATAAAATAGATCAATGTTAACCTGTAAAGCGGCCTAAGAATATGGAGGGAAAGGGAAGAGTCATTACCTGTTGTGGCAAATTATAAACTAAATAAGATAAATAGTTCAAAGTAAGCCAATATAATAGAGGTGGTTGTTTTAGTACTGTGGTTATTTGGTTAATAGGCAGAAAAACAAGAGTGGTTTTTATTATTTATTTAGGGAAGCTTTTAATGTTTGATGTATTACTGTATTTTAATATTTGGTTGGAAGCCGCCCAGAGTGGCTAGGGAAGCCCAGCCAGATGGGCGGGGTATAAGTAAGAAATTATTATTATTAATTATTATTAAATGTCTCTTGAATCGGTTTCCTAACATGAAGTGTTCAGGTTCACCTCAGACTTGTGACTTCTTTTTGGAGGGGGGGGTAGGCTGATGACTTCATATGCACTTTGTTCCTTCATTAGATACGAGACTTTCAGCTGCAAAGCAAGATGGAGGCAAAAATGAAAGAAAAGAAAGAACAGTCAAAGAAATGCAAGGAACAACCATCCTTGATCAAGTTCCTCTGCAAAAACTGTACCAAGCTGACCTGTTCAGGAGAAGACATACAAGTCATTGAAGACATGCATCATGTCAATGTCAAAACGGAATTTGCGTAAGTGTCCTGCTCAGGGCTCTCGGTAGAGAAGCCTTTGTAATTTATTATTTATACCCCGCCCATCTGGCTGAGTCTCCCCAGCCACTCTGGGTGGCTTACAATCAAGTGTTAAAAACAGTACAGCATTAAATATTAAAAACTTCCCTGAACAGGGCTGCCTTCAGATGTCTTTTAAAGATAGGATAGCTGCTTATTTCCTTCACATCTGAAGGGAGGGTGTTCCACAGGGTGGGCGCCACTACCGAGAAGGCCCTCTCTCTGGTTCCCTGTAACCTCACTTCTCGCAATGAGGGAACCACCAGAAGGCCCTCGGCGCTGGATCTCAGTGTCCGGGCTGAACGATGGGGGTGGAGACGCTCCTTCAGGTATACTGGACCAAGGCCGTTTAGGGCTTTAAAGGTCAGCACCAACACTTTGAATTGTGCTCGGAAACGTACTGGGAGCCAATGCAGATCTCTCAGGACCGGTGTTATGTGGTCCCGGCGGCCACTCCCAGTCACCAGTCTTGCTGCCGCATTCTGGATTATTATTTAGGCAGCTGAGAGCAGGAGGAATGTCCAGAAGTGGAAAGGGGTGGAACACACCTTCCCTTGCCTCCCTGACCTTTCATTGCTGTGACCTGTATTATCCTAATTCTTACTTATCTATCATTTTAGGGACCTTTATATTAAAAGAGAAAACAAGACTCTGCAAGCAAAAGCAGCGGATTATCAAACCAATTGGGAAATTATCTGCAAAGATTGTGGACAAGTAAGTGTCTTGTTATGGGCTTGTAAATTTTGGTTGCCTTAATAATCAGCGATTGTTTTACTCAGTTGTCATCTTTTCCTTATGGATTCCTTCATTTATTTCCCAGGTTTGGGGAAATATGATGGTGTTCCGAGGCCTAGACCTGCCTTGCTTGCAAATAAAAAATTTTGTGGTTTCGTTCAACGACAAGAAAACTTCTGTCAAAAAGCTCTTCAAAAGATGGGGCGAGCTGCCCATCAAGTTTCCAGATTTCAGTTATGCGGATCATTGCATTTCCAGTGATGATGATTAAGAAGGCTTCAGAGAGAGAGAGACTCTACGGCATGTGGAGATGCTAAGATTGAACACTCAGGTTCTGAATAGGGAAAAGTTTACCTGAGCATGTTTATGACTTGAGGACCACAGCACCAAGCAACGGCTTGTATGCATGGCAAGAGCTTTCTTTTCGCATCAAATTCTGAGTAGAGTCAGTTCATGCGTTCAGCTGTGAGTCACAGAGTGGGAAGGAATAGTTGCGTGATGCCCACACTTGTATAAATTAGCTCAACAATGTGGAATTGCCAAGTGCAGTTGAAAGCTTCTGGGGAGGGTCATTTTGCTTGGGAGTTTGCATTCGACCCTGCAGTGGCTGTCTAGGGTGGACCAACATCATCAGACCATGGGGAGCCATGTCTCTAATCAGCAAACAGCATTAAATAAAACCCATGTTACCAATTATTCTATTGCCTAATACACAGCTGATGCTATATTCAAGTTCAATAAAAGCACATTTCCTAAATTGATTTGTGATCAAACTTTAACAAAAGAGGCAAAGTCTGCTGATGTTTTTCTGAGTCTAGTGTCTTGTTTATGTTACAAATATATATGTATTTCAGCTACAAAATGTTTTGCACTTTAGTACAGTGGTGCCTCGCAAGACAAAATTAATCCGTTCTGCGAGTTTCTTCGTCTTGCGGATTTTTTCGTCTTGCGAAGCACGGATGCACCCTGGTACTGTATTATAATGGGATAGCGGGCAAAGCACAAAGCGGGTCGCTCCCCAGCAGGAGGAGTTTCCCCAGCCTGGAGGATCTGTTGCCGGGAAGAGGCAAAGACACCCCTCCCACCTCCCCATGAAAACAGCCCCCCTTCCTCTGTCGCCAAGCCTTGCCGCGTCTTCGCTCCGCCAAACCGCGTCCCACATCAAAGCCCCAGCCCGCTCCTCTCCCTCTCTCTCCATGAGGTGCCAAAGGAAGTTTGAGCCCAGGAACCGAGGGCGGACGCACGACGCGAGCCGCGCGGACTCTCCCTTGCTCCCCCCGTTACCTTGCGCCACGCCGCCGGGCTCCCCACAGTCTCGGCAGCTGCTCCCGGCTTCTTCCCACCCCCGCAAAGGCGCCTTCGCGGCCGCCCAAGCACAGTGGATGCCTCCTCCTCCTCCTCCTTTGTCCCGCCTCCTCCTGCCTTCGCGCAGTTAGAGCAAAATGGAGCAGCCACGTGGGGAGGGGGAGAGAGAGAGAGGCAGAGGCAGAGGCGGCACAGAGACCCAGCCAGATCCGCTGGATCCCAGCTCACCTGCCTCCTCTGTGCCCTCTCCAGAAGAGGATCCCTCTGGAAAAGGTAGGTCGCTTCCCTGCTCGCTCCCTGCCAGCCCAGTTCCCGCTTCAAAAGGAAACAAACTCGCAAGACGTTCCGTCTTGCGAAGCAAGCCCATAGAGAAATTCGTCTTACGAGCACCTCAAAAACCGCAAAACCCTTTCGTCTTGCGAGTTTTTCATCTTCCGAGGCATTCGTCTTGCGGGGCACCACTGTACTGGGCAGCTTGTTGCTCAATGTTCCTGTTAAATAAAAATAAAATAAAAAATAGGCCATTGGTGACTTTCTGTTCTCTCTCTTTTAAACTGTTTTTGACTGCAATCCCAATCCCATTTAACAGGTAATAAACACCCATTTAACTCACTGGGACTTATTTCTGAGTAGACACCTATAGGACTGCACTTGTTGGTTTTTTGACTTAAGTCATGCATGGGGAATCTGGCTGTGCTGCTGTTTGCTGAATCTACTACTCCCATCAGCCCTATAAAGCATAGCCAGTGGCATGGCATGATGGGAGTTGTAGTTCAGAAACAGCTGGCAGGTCAGAGGTTCCCCACACCTCTAAAAGTAAAAGGATGTATTCTCAGAAGGAAAAAGAGTATGGATTTATACATTAGGAAGCCTGGGGCACAGGTGAGCGGCATTCTTGGGGAAATTGTATATTTATAACATCTTGGATAAAAGAGAAAGTATTGTTAAACAGGTTCTTAATATTACCATAAAGAAGCAAAGTGAAAGGGCAAGTATCTTAGCACTTGTATGTATGTGGATTGTATTCACTGTGTGATACATCTACACTAGCTGTTTAATTTGGAGTGGGCATCATTCATTCCATTAAAAAAAAAAAATCAGATTTTTATAGAGAATTCAGATTACATTGTCTCTTCTGGTATTTTTCATGTTGCTTTCTTGTCTTTCTGGAATAGGATTTTTGTCTTAAAGCACAATTATATTGTGAACCTGCCCAGTGTAGATTTGCAAAGAATTATTGAGGCTTTTAAGGCCACTGTCACTTTAATTAGTAGTATAATTGTTGTGTCATTAGTTCCTACACCAAAAAGGACCCCGATTTGCATAAGATATGCATACGGTAAAAAAAGGTAAAGGTAAAAGACTCCTGGCAGTTAAGTCCAGTCGTGAACTACTCTGGGGTTGCGGCGCTCATCTCACTTTACAGGCCGAGGGAGCCAGCACTTGTCCGTAGACAGTTTTTCCGAGTCATGTGGCCAGCATGACTAAGCCGCTTCTGGCTCAACGGAACACCGAAACCAGAGCAGTGCACGGAAATGCTGTTTTTTACCTTCCCGCCAGAGTGGTACCTATTTATCTACTTGTACTTTTTTTGGCGTGCTTTCGAACTGCTAGGTTGGCAGGAGCTGGGACTGAGCAACAGGAGCTCACTCCATTGCGTGGATTCAAACCGCCGACCTTCTGACCGGCAAGCCCAAGAGGCTCAGTGATTTAGACCACAGCGCCACCCGCGTCCTATGTATATGGTAATGTACATTAATAGATGCAACTGCACGTTGTAATTTAAATAGAAATACATTGTCATGGGGGGGGAATACTTTGGCCACCTCATGAGAAGAGAAGACTCCCTGGAAAAGACCCTGATGTTGGGAAAGATGGAGGGCACAAGGAGAAGGGGACGACAGGGGACAAGATGGCTGGACAGTGTTCTCGAAGCTACCAACATGAGTTTAACCAAACTGCGGGAGGCCGTGGAAGACAGGAGTACCTGGCATGCTCTGGTCCATGGAGTCACGAAGAGTCGGACACGACTAAACGACTAAACCAACAACAAGAGGGGAAAACACCAAGTGGCTTGGATGCCTGCTCAGTCTGCTGGCAGGGTGCTGCTCCAGGCTCCTCTATATTTTTATGCTTCCTTTTCTTTCTTTCTTTCTTTCTTTCTTTCTTTCTTTCTTTCTTTCTTTCTTTCTTTTTCAACAAAAATAACAAACAACAAACAACCACAAACAAAGAAAATTATACACAACAACAATATCAAATCCATAAAATGGGATTCTCCTGTGACTTCCCTCCCCTTGTTCCTTAAATTCCCTTTTCAACTGCATGTCATTTCTACTCCAAATTGGGGGTTTTGCCTCAAATTTCCTATATTCTGAAATTACACGTGTTCTTAAAATCCTGTTTAAATGTATTAACCTGTTTACAATACTTTTGCAAATACATAATAAACATTTACCATGCTTTTTAAAAAATTCTTATCATCTTGGTTCCTTATCTTTAAACCAGACTTGTCCAGAGCAACCCACGAACAGAGGACACCTTCAGATAGAGGGGAGAACAGGACTGTCCTCTGCAAAGGAGGATGGCCAATCTTAGTGTAGTAATTCCATCCATTCGTTGCTACTAACTTAAGTCCTTCTTATGCAATTGGCTTTCCTTTGGATTCGGGCCTACCTCTGTAATGCAAGGCAGAGCTGCTATTTTTTAAATATATTTTAAAGAGGCAAGACAACTGGGGGGGGGGGGGAGGCTGGTTCACCAACAGGCCTGTGAGAAGCCTCCCTGCCAAAAAACAAACAAACTCAGAGAACCTACCTGCTTTGCTCAGTATGGTGGTGAAGGAAAGGAGGTCGTCTTCTCTTCCAAGGCCTTCCTGTGAGCAGATGTTGGATAAAATTGCTCCTCAGTTGCAGGAGGTAAGGGAAAATGGCAATCTTGCACCGAGGTAGACTTCTAGTTAACACGTGCGCAGTTTGGGTGGCAATTTTACACGTGGACTCAAGTCTCTGCTACTTTTAAGACTCTTAAAATGCTTGCAGATCCAAGAGCATGGCAAGTTGTCGTTGCTGTTGAATTTGCTTGCAACTGCTCTGTTTTGCATTAAGCTGGTCCCTGGTTCAAATCTCGTCTCAGCCAGAGATATCTCTTTAATTAGCTAGATTCTCTTCCCCAGCCACAATACTGTGAAAATAACATTGGCCTACCATGTTGTACACGGGCACAGTGAACTCTCTGTACTCTTTAAGACCAGGGGTCAGCAACCTTTCTCAGCCGTGGGCCAGTCCAGCGTCTCTCAGACTATGTGGTGGGCTGGACTATATTTTGTCGGGGTGGGGAATGAACGAATTCCTATGCCCCACAAATAACCCAGAGATGCATTTTAAATAAAAGGACACATTCTACTCGTGTAAAACCACCAGGCAGGCCCCAAAAATAACCCAGAGATGCATTTTAAATAAAAGGACACATTCTACTCATGTAAAAACACACTGATTCCCGAACCGTCCGCGGGCCAGATTGAGAAGGCGACTGGGCTGCATCTGGCTCACGGGCCTTAGGTTGCCTACCCCTGCTTAAGGCCCTTGCTTGCATACCTTCCTTGGGACTAAAATAAATCCTGCTACTGGCTTGTGTTTAAAGCCCTACCAAGAAGCAGTGTAAAACCCTCATGCATAACCGATAACCTGTGGGAAGCCTGAAGGCAGGAATTAAGATCCATTTGGTGACGTGCCTTGCAGAGTTCCTGTAGGGATTACTAAGCTAACATATATGAAGTACTTTTGAACGCCTGAAATGAGTTATATAAATCCTACATGGACATCGAACCAGCTCCTTCCTTACGCAAGGATTTATTTCTAAACGAGGGGATGTAATTTGCCTAACTTTGGCATTTAGCTGGGTAATGGAATGAGTTTTAATTCAGTTGATCAATTTAGGCTGCAATCCTTTTCTGGAAGCAAGACCCACTGAATTCAACAGGACTTCATTCAGTGTAGACACTATAAGGGCTGGAACTGTAAATCAGCAGGTATTTTCATGTTAATCAACAAAAGTCCCAATATTTCCCCCCGCAACTTTATTATTTATACTCCGCTATACCCGCAGGTGTCAGGGCAGTTCACAATGTATGAGCAGTTGTTCACAACATATGTATGCACATGTCACAGTATAATGCCATTTTAAATGGGGACCGTGTATCTTGTCTAAGAGTAGTTTCGTTTGTTTTTTAAATGCTGCTTATTAAAATAATAGAAAGTAATTTAGAATTTACTTTTCAATTGAATAGAAATTTAAGCAAAATAGTAAAAAAAAGAAAAGAAATAGTAATTTTAACCAAAAAAAAAAAAAAAAGCCTGTTTAATTAGAAATGTATTTTCAATCAAAATTACTGATTTTTAATTGAGGAATCAACGAAACATTTAGCGTTATGGCAATCATTCTGTCAGTGCCATAATTTCTGCTTGCCAGATGGAATAGAACATCTCTCCCCCTCCCTACACCCTGTTCTGGAGGGGTTCTCTCAACTACTCTGAGCCATTTGGGCTTGGGGGGGTGAGCCCCAGTACGCTAGCAGAATTCTTCATGTGACTTTCCGCTAGTGGGACTCATTAATTGAATCTGCCGCCAAGGGTAGGACTCAAATGCAGTTCTACCAGAGAAGACTGGCATTAATAAGTCAGTTCCCTTACATTAATAAGAGCCCATTCGTTTCAATAGGTGTACTCTTGAGTAGGATGTGTTTATTTGCTGCCCATTATTGAGGCAACAGCTTAGGCAGGAAACGGTACATGCTAAACTGTATATGCACATAATTTCAATTTGGCCTTTCCTTTTTATGGCGTAAGTGAAACACGTAACACCGGAACAGACTTTTGTCAACGTGTGTTGGTTGCATCAGCACACTTTCGGAAGGTGCTTGCAGCTGCGCCAAGTGGCCACTGGAGTCCGCTGTAGTGCTTACCAAGTGCTGTGCAGACTCTGCTCATCCGCTCTCTCCAACCATATCCAGCAAGGAGAGAGGAACCTGGGAACAGTAGAGGGATATTTCAAAGAAATCAGTAGGCTTCAGTACTGGTTCCTGATCCTGCTGTGGTGGTAACATGTACCTCTTTCTACGCCCTGTGGGGAATAGCCTGTCACTGAAATTCTACTCTATTGATCCAGAGTAGATTCCGACGTATAGTGAGCAGAGTAGAAACTTAAACACGTTGCAGGACTCCCGAAAAATAGACCAGAGGCAATTGTATTTCATTCAGCAGAGCTTTACTGCTACGGAAGGCAAATGAGCATAATGGTCACAAATCCAATACACTCAGGATTGGCACTGTCCATAAGAAATCCAGTTGCTGCAGATTTAAATTTACAATAACTTATAATTAAGTCTAAACCTTAACACTAAGCATACTATGTACAGAACACCACACCAGAAGGAAAAGAGAGAGAAAACCCAGGCTCCTTCTGGCCTCTTATTATAGCATGACCTTGACAGAAGAGAGAAGAGAACCAGTTTAAGCCAATTGTACTTAGCTTCTCTGAAGGAATAACCCAAAGATCATGAACCTCCTGGTTGCTTGTTTCTTTCACACAGAGAAGCTTCCAGAACCGTCTTGAATTAAGTAGAATACGAAAAAGCTCTACACATCGGATCGATACGTTTTGTACCAAGAAATGCAAACTGACATAGCCAGAGCTCAGTGGTATCTCTAAGCAGGCCTGGGAATGTTTCTTGTCCAAAAAAAACCCTAGATAGCTGCTACCAGTCAGTGTGGCCAATTCTCAGCTAGGTGTACCAGTGATCTAACTCAGTATAAGGCAACTTCCTGTGCTTCCTAACCATGATGCTACAAAATTCATACAGCTCTACTCCATCTCTGCTAGCGGGGGGATGGCAGCAGTTCCCTTACCCCAAGTTATTTGAAGGGTTTGTTTATGTTGGCTCTAGACTTCCTTTCATTCCAAAACATTCCGACTTAACAATGGAAACTTCTAACCAATGAAATGAACACAAACCACAATATGTTAAATTCCCCCAAGGATCTAGGCTCCACACTTTTAACTATTGTTTACCACCATCCGGTTCTTCTAAGACTCAGGCTTTCCATACTGAACTTGTAAATCTACAGAAACCGCTAGTCCATCCAGCTCTGGTGTGAGGAACCTTTGGTCCCCCAGATGTTGCTGAACTACAACTCCCACAATCCCGGGCCAAGGCTCATGCTTTCTGGGGCAGATGAGAGATAGTTCAACAACATCTGGAGACACACCAGTTCCCCATCCCTGGCCTATTCTTTGGGGCAGTGACTCCTTAGGAACCTGGGCAGAGACCTTTCTTTCTTACAGAGACATCAGAAATTACACATATATGTGTAAAGCATGTTCTCACCATGTAAGAAAGGGAGAAAAGAAAAGAAATCATTGTAAGGCTTTCACCCAACTAAAGAAATCTTTGTCAATTAATTGTATACATTTTATTCAATCCATTGGTTGATTAAATCTGTAGAAATTTTCAAAAGAGAAAAGAATAGTTCTAAAGAAAAACCAAAATGTTTTTAGATTATGTGTCTTTGTCAGAGCAGCGACCTTCTTACAAAAGTCATTCACCAGTCACTCTCACCCCAATGACTTTTTTAAGATAGCATTTTGCCAGCCACTATTTTTTATACGTACTTGTATTGCCAATAATTGCCTGTTTAATCCAGGCATCTTTGTAATCAACTAATTCTTTTACAATAGATTAATTTCAGCCACAATCACAACTACAATTCTATACCCACTTACCTGGGAGTAAATCTCATTGGACTCCATAGGACTTCTGTGTAGACATGTGTAAGTTAATGCTTTAAACACTGCAGCCTTAATTTTTTTTAACCCTCATTTGGTTTAGTGAGTTTTCTTCAATGGACGTGCAATATCTTGGTATTAATGCTTCCATCCAGCAGCACACAGGCCATTGCTGGTTTTTTGAAGCAATCGCTCCTCACCTAGAAAAGAGGATGAAGAAGCAGAAAGCCAAGACAATGGAGGTGAGCATGCTTTTTATTGACCACATGAGCAAATCACACCACAGCTAAGTTTCCCCCCCATCACTAACTTTTTTCCCTTGGCAAGGCTGTGGTTCCTTTGATTGCCACAGGGAGGCAGAAATTCAACAAGCTGAACTTTATCAGTGTATTTCTGCACTGGCCTGAAATTCTACCTGTTGAATCTCTGCCGTGCAGCTCTTAAAGGCATAGGAGGTTCTTCAGCAGAAAAGAAAAGAAAAAGTGATGAGCCCCGTTGTTCTCACGTCATACAATTCATTGAAGGCTTTCTGCCAAGATCTCCCCAAACACAGAAGCTGTCATGGAAGAAAATTGTCTGGGCCATTCATTGTTCAAATATAAAGTGTATCCTTTAGACCAGCTTCTATCTCCAGCATCTGCTGGAGAAGATCTTGTGTTTGCTGACTGTTAGTAGGCTTGGTGGCCAGGTGTAAGGTAGCTCTTTCCTCCTGCTGCTATTTTACATGAAAAGTGCAACAAGGAGAAAATGGTTCCGGTGAAAAGGCACTTGGCTCATACTCAATCTCACAAAGCTCTCCCAGTTTCTTAGCTCTGGTGTCCTTTCAGCGAAAGCTGCAAGCTGGGTGTGACAATCTTGCTAACATTTGAATGCTCTGATCCACTTCCAATCTGAGGTCATCAGCTGAGAATGTTATTAAATGCTGTTTGGCAGACCTAACCAGAAAAGGTTGGGGCTTAAGTTTCTGTGTTCAGTATGTTGAAGGGAAGTCTAGAAATCTAGAAAGGAGGGGGACACAGTCTTTGATACACAAACAATATCAGTGTTATTAACTAAGGTACCAACAGCGGAATCCTACTTAGCATGTTTCTTCAGAAGTAAATTCCACTGAATGCAATCTTCTTTAGCTTAGTGTGCTTAGGATTGCAGCATGAAGGATAGTTGGCTGCTGGCCCAACTGCCCAGTACATCTTGGCCTTTTGCACAAAGCAATAAGCACAATTTCTCCATCAGTACAGTCCTGTGCATTCTAAGAGGCAAGGTGCCCCTTAATTTTTCTCCTGCTCCCTTTATACATTAAATACTCTGCATGTTTTATGTAGAAGTGCTTAATGGGGCTTACGCCAAAATAAATGCGTGCAGGTATGCTTGTGTGCATAGGATTGTAGGTTAAAGGTTGAAGCAATGTGTACAAAAACACAAATACTAGAGTAAGGTATACATGTGTATGTATCAGAGAAAATGACACACACAGAGATACTTGCTGGCAGAGACGTAGCATGGGGGAGGGGCTGCCGGGGCAATGGCCCTGGGCACATTTTTCTGGGATGATCCCTCCTCGCAAAGCAGCTTGGAGCAGGTGTCGCTCCAGTGGTGGCAAGAACTGGGCTGGCGCAGCGGGCTCCGTTCACCCTCCACTTCCCATGCCCGCCTGCCCCGGGCACCAGCAAACCACGCTACGCCACTGCTTTTGGGGGGGTTGACAGGAGTTATAGTTCAGCAACATTTGGAAAACAGAATATGAGAGGACCGGACATGTTCAAATAACTTTCCTGCAAAAGTACAGTGGTGCCTCGCAAGACGAAATTAATTCGTTCCACGAGTTTTTTCGTCTAGCGAATTTTTCGTCTTGCGAAGCACGGTTTCCCATAGGAATGCATTGAAATTCAATTAATGCGTTCCTATGGTCAAAAAAAGTCCAATCAAAGCCAAATTTGGTACAACAATAGTTTATTAACTGCTCTTTAAAGTCACACATACTTTAAAGAGCATATCAAAAATTGAAGGAACAATAAATTAAGTTTCTAAACATGACAGGAAAAACATTTAAAAATCAAAAAGGGTACATTACATTTTCTAAGACTCTGGGGACCACTCGAAGAAGGTTCCTCTTCCACTCTTTGCTTCTTGCTGAGGAACCTGTCCATGGTCTGCTGCTTCATCCGCCTTTTCAGCAGCTCCCTGAGAGGCAACATGACCGTCGTATCAAAAGTGTTCGCTTGGTCATGTGCCACGTGCTTGTTCGGGTGGTGCCGCTCTGCAAAGCCTGCACCACCTTCCACTTCTGGCAAATGTCCCTCAGTTCTTTGGAGGACGGCCGTTCCTCAGTTGCTTCCTCCTCTTCCAGCGAGGCCTGCTCCTGCGCAACCTCTGACTGCAGTTCAACCAGCTCCTGGGTGGTCAGCTCGTGGTCGTGCTCCTCCACCAGCTCGCAGACGTCCTCCTCTGTGACCTCCAGGCCCATGGTCCTCCCCAAGGCAACAATGTCCTGCACCACTGTTGACTCTGGTGCATCAGAGTCACTTGGTGCCACACAGTCCGGCCACAGGCTGCGCCAGCACAATTCAAATTTCTCTGGCTGATCCCGTTCCAGGCCGTGGTGATCATCTTCAAGCAGGTGACGATGTCGAAGTGGTCCTTCCAGAATTCCCGCAGGGTGATGGTGGTGCAATCAGTCACCTCGAAGCATCGCCTGAAAAGCTCCTTGGTGTAGAGTTTTTTGAAATTGGCGATGACCTGCTGATCCATCGGCTGGAGCAGTGGCGTGGTGTTAGGCAGCAGGAACATGATGTTGATGAAGCTGAACTCCTCCAGCAAGTCCACCTCAAGGCCTTTAGGATGAGCAGGAGCATTGTCCATCAGAAGCAAAGCCTTCAGCGGCAGGTCGTTGTCCAGCAGGTACTGTTTGACAGCAGGGCCAAAAGCAAGATTGACCCAGTCCACAAACAGCACACGTGTGACCCAAGCCTTGCTGTTGGATCGCCACATGACACTCAGCCGCTCCTTGTCGACCTTGTGTTTCTTGAAGGCCCGTGGGTTCTCCGAGTGGTACACCAGCAGGGGCTTGATCTTCAGGTCACCGCTTGCGTTGGCACAGAAGAGCAGGGTCAGACGGTCCTTCATGGGCTTGTGGCCAGGCAACTTGGCCTCCTCCTGTGTGAGGAAAGTCCTTTTGGGCATCCTCTTCCAAAACAGCCCGGTCTCGTCACAGTTGAAGACCTGCTGTGGAACGTAGCCCTCCGTCTTCACAACCTCCAGGAACTCCAAGGCAAAGTCTTCAGCCGCAGGAACATCAGAACTGGCAGCCTCTCCATGCCTGACCACGCTGTGGATTCCAGATCTTGCCTTGAACTGGTCAAACCAGCCTCTGCTTGCCTTGAAGACTTCTGGCTCGCCTGAGGTTCCTGGCTGTTCCCGGATGAGGTCTGCGTGCAAGGCCTTGGCCTTCTCACAAATGACGGCCTCAGTCACTGTGTCCCCTGCACGCTGCTTCTCTTCTAACCAGATGAGCAGCAACTTCTCGACCTCCTCCAGAACAGCTGGGTGGTTCTTCACGATCCTGGTGACTCCCTTGGCTGCATCAGTCGCAAGGATCTTCTCCCTCATCTTCAGGATGGTCCCGATGGTCGATGGGTTCCTGCCGTACTCCCTGGCGAGGTCCGTCACACGCATTCCACCGTCATGCTTCCGGATGATCTCCTTCTTCATTTCCAGTGTCACCTTCTCCTTCTTCCTCTCGCCGGCCTCCGCAGCAGCAGCAGTCTTCTTGGGTCCCATGGCAGCACAGCTGTTACCTTCGTAAACTCAGAAAAAGGAAAAAAAAATCAGCAATTCAAACCCAGAACCAAGTCCTTGAATTCCAAACACCCAACCCAAAATCCAAAACCCCCCAAAAAAGTTTTAAAAGTTTAACTTACGAAATGGCTGCAAATCACCAAAGTCTTCAAAATCCTCAAATGGCTGCAAAAGAAGTTTTGGGAAAGCTTTAAAAATCACCAAAGTCTTCAAAAACCTCAACTGTTTCCCCAGCCCCTCCCCAACTGTTGCAAACCCCTCCCCAACTGTTGCAAACCCCTCCTCAACTGTTCCCCCATCCACCCAGCACACAGAAATTCAAAACCCAGAATTTTTTTCAAAAAAAAAAAAATGGCCCAATGGTCACAGAAAACCATAAAAATTCAAAAAAACCCCACACAAGCTCCCAGATTCTTGCAAACCCCTCCTCAACTGTTCCCCCATCCACCCAGCACACAGAAATTCAAACCCAGATTTTTTTTTCAAAAAAAAATAAACATGGCCCAATGGTCACAGAAAATCATAAAAATGCAGAAAAAAACCACACAAGCTCCCAGATTCTTGCAAACCCCTCCCCAGCTGTTCCCCCAGCCACCCAGCACACAGAAATTCAAAACCAAGAAAATTTTTTCAAAAAAAAAAATGGCCCAATGGTCACAGAAAATCATAAAAATTCAAAAAAAAAAAAACCACACAAGCTCCCAAATTCTTGCAAACCCCTCCTCAACTGTTCCCCCATCCACCCAGCACACAGAAATTCAAACCCAGACTTTTTTTTCAAAAAAAAAATAAACATGGCCCAATGGTCACAGAAAATCATAAAAATGCAGAAAAAAACCACACAAGCTCCCAGATTCTTGCAAACCTCTCCCCAACACCAAGTCCTTGAATTCTAAACACCCCAACCCAAAATCCAAAAACCCAAAAAAGTTTTAAAAGTTTAACTTACCAAACAGCTGCAAAAGAAGTTTTGGAAAAGCTTCAAAAATCCAGCAAACTCTTTAAAAAGCTCAAAAAGGCCACCACACCGCGTGCAATGTGTTGCTCCTCGAAGTCGTCACAACTGCACCTCTTCCAGCAATGCACCCTGGGTATTAACGGTTTTACGAAAAAGGAAACAAACTTGCAAGACGTTTTCGTCTTGCGAAGCAAGCCCATAGGGAAATTCGTCTTGCGAAGCAACTCGAAAACGAAAAAACCTTTCGTCTTGCGAGTTTTTCGTCTTGCGAGGCGTTCGTCTTGCGGGGCACCACTGTATTGGAACGAATGCTCAGTAAATGGGCTGTCGGCAAGAGCCCTATCTTCACCTTTAAAGAGTCACTCCCAACAGCTGCCATCTTCCTTTTCATAAGGAAAGCTTTGTGCCAGCAAATCGAGAAGAACGCCTGGTTAATAGCTTGTCTGGAAGAGGCAAATTGTTTCAGTTTCCTTTGAAAAAACACAGTGCTAATCAAAGAGCTGTTTGGGGTCTTTGATGAGGACATAGGAGGCTGCCTAATGGCAGGTCATATTATTTCTCCATCCAGTCCAGTATTGTCTGCTCAGGCTGACAGTGGCTCTCCTGGCATCTTGGGCAGAAGTTTTTCACCTTGTGTGATTACCTGCTATCTTTTAATTGGAGGTGCTGGAAGTTGACCTCCTTGCATGTAAAGCATGGGCCCTACCAAAGAGCTGCAGTATAAATCACACTCGTGTGTGTGTGTGTGTGTGTGTGTGTGTGCGCATACAAAACCCCCAACTATATTTACATATGTAGATCCACAGATTCTCCACTTCTTCCTTAATTTGTTGTTGTATTATGAGTGCACCATCTTGCTTTTGAAAACGTTTCCTACTTCAAGTATTGCCAAAACGCACTGTAAATACTTCTCAGGGTGAAACAGCACATCTCCAATCTGCTGTTGAGTCACAGGACCCACAAACTCTTCATGTAAGCATCGTTAAGTTATGGTTTACATGAACAGCACTGATACAGCCAAAGGCCCGCTGCAGCCACCCACAGTTCATTTCAGGGCTGAGAACGCCCTCAAAAATCTGTTTCCTATTTTATGGAAAAACCTCTGAAATTTGGCATGGATTTTGAAAGCACATAAAGAAAACTGTCTGAGGCTTGGCCTCCGTTTGAGAAAGCTGACGCTGCTTTTGCAAACTGCTCTCAGAGATCCAGTGACTGGCATCCAGAAGACGGAAGGAGAACAAAAAAATCTTCCTTAAGAGAACAAGCGGGAGAATGAAGGTCTGTAAAAAATAATAAAGTGATACATAAATAGGTCTGGATTTTGGAGGGCTTTGAAAACTTTTTGTTCTGTTGCTCGGCTGTGAGAAAATACCAGAGGCAGAAGGCACGCTCTCAGTAGGAAAAAGAAACTGAAAAAGCATATGGCTCGAGACATATTTGAAGGAGACTTCAGCTGTTGGCATACAATATGCTGCTGAAATCCTATAGTTTTGCTTTGGGAGGAGGGGAATGGACTACAACAAAAGTCTTGAGAACTGTCGTTTCTGTAACTGATTTCTATTCTACAGATCCAGCTGAAAATCTTAGTTGGAGTGATCTCATGTCTTTTCCTGTCTTTGTTCATTATGTGTGCTGTATTAATTCCTCCGAAAGGTAAGAATTTTCATTCCTGGAAAATACAAAAACCTATGTCCATAAATGTGTCTGCAGGCAGAATTATTTTCGGCAGGGCTTAACATGCATGTAACTTTGAGTAAGTTTGCACCCTAGCTTTTCTTTCTTTCTTTTTAAGCTACAGCTAACTAGTTTAACAATAGGGGGGAAATCCATTTGCTGTCTTCTTGCCAGCACTACTGTGGGTTACCTAAGGTATAGGGATTTGGGGCTGCCATTATCTATACCCTGGAAAAATACAGATGCCTGCATGTGTCGATGCAAGGAATCTTTTCAAGTGAAAAGTCTAGTTGCATTGCCATTGGTGCGCATCACTGGTAATACATTTTGACAAGGCTACAAACAGTGTTTGGAACGGCCATCTACCTGTTAGCATGCATTTCCGAACTCATGACATTTATGGCTTGTTTTCCTCCTATCCGTTGCTTTGGATCAGGTTACTGATAATCCTGGGTACATACAGTGTGCAAGCACTTGAGTCTGATAGGGTTTCCTTATGGGATCTGGCATCTTCCTGTATGTACACGTGAAGTCAGGCCTATCCAACAGTCACTCAGAGATTCAACATTAGTCATGCTCAGCTTATACCCACCGAAATGAATGCTCCTAAGTCAACTGATCTTAACTAATGAGTGACAGATACCACCCCATGACTGTCGTAACAGAAAGCCTCTCAAAAATAGAAAAGAAAAAGCTCATCCTCACTTTTTTAAAAAAAGAGAAGAATCAATGTTTCCTTTCTTTCATCAGGATAAAATAATGGGAATGTGTATCAGTTATTTTTGTTGCTGTGCATATTGTGCGGGGAGGGCAGTCCATCCTCCGTTAGTTCCATGTTTATATAAAACAGAAAATATCCTCTATTAATTCTGTGTGTGGTAGAAAACCAATTATTCAGCAAACCTTAAATGCTACCTTCAACAGCTTTACCAAAAGGTCCCTTAAGCTACTATGGCTGACAGAAGAGCTGAGAGATACTTAGCCTGAACTTTTGACAGGAAAAGCATATGAAAAACAGGGCAGATATTAATGAATTTTATTGCTGATGGGAGGCTAACATTTTACAGCATATAAAACGTTCATAGCTAGTAATCTTGACAGCCATTTATTTCTACTAGCAGTAGATAGCTTTTGGCACTTGGGTGCATATTTTTAGGGCTCAACTTATGTCAGTGATTGTGAGTTGTTTCAAACTGCTTTTAATATTAGATTTTAACATAACTAGCCCTGAGACCTTAGGATGACAGGGAGGTGAGGTAATTAATAATGATAATATGATTAATATTTTATCTCTGTAATCAGCTGGGACTTAATTAGACTGGCCTTCATCTGTGCTTAGCCCCAGTAACCTTGTATTCAGAACAGATAACACAAGAGACAAGACTGCCTTGAACACATACAAAATGGCTTTTCCTTCACAATGAAGAGCTATTCCTGCATAATATATCTAAGGACTGGGAATAAGAGATTCCAGGACAAGAAGTTCCAGCTTAAGCTTAGGGGCAACTTCTGTCTTCAGACAGCTTCTGTCCTTAGGCCCTTTTTCTCAGCCAAGTGGACCCTTTGCCTCAGGCCTCAAAGCTGGACCATTGTGAAGTCAAAGTCAAAGTTTATTTGTTGTTGCGACCATCTTAGTCAATTCAAGTGACCATTGTGAACATTTCTAGTACTGATTTCCCTCAGCAAACAAAATGTTCATGAACATTCCATGATACCACAACAGTTCATCCAGTGTGTAGGCAGGTACTAGAGCAGGAATGGGGAATATCAGGCCCCCCCGGGCCTCCAAATTTCTTCACCAGGCTCTTCATCAGACCACTCCCCTCACCTGGCACCTCAAGTGCTTTTCTCTGGCTGGAACGTGTCGTTGAACTGCGATAATGTTTCTTTCTTGCCAGGATGAGCAAAAGAGAGAAGTGTCTGTAGAAATCTCTGATTGCTGTGAGGAACACCTGTTGCTTCACCTGCTCTACCTTCTGGTCCCACTTCACCGCTAGCAGGTGGTTCTCAGAAGGTTGACCATAAGGGAGTGTGGTCTTCAGGTTGAAAAAGATTCCTCACCCCTGTGTGCAATGATCCACTACAGCTACCACCATGTCCTTCAGTACATTGCAATATAGATTATATCGCAAATATGCTGTCCATCCTGAAGAAAAGTATGATCCCTGCAAGAGTCAGATGAAGACCATGTAGCCCTCCAGATGTTGATAGTCTCCAGCTGCCATCAGCCCCAGCCAGAATGAGCAATGGTGAGGACAGATGGGAGTTTTAGCTCAACAACATCTGGAGGGTCACAGGCTCCCCAGCCCTGAGCTACATAAATAGGTGACAAATGTCCTGTGAATAGACCTTATAACTACAAATCATGTAAGTTCCTAATACTGTGGAGTAACTTTTAGGCATTCTGGTAGAATTGCTGACAGTAGCATTTAAGATTCCCACTGCCCTCGCACCCAAACAGCATTGTCAAATATCCTTTATACCAGAAATACTATTAATAGCAGGTGCTTTATGTTAATTCTATGCTCACAATAGACATTTTTTAAAGTTTTTTTTTCCTGGAATGTGTGCAGCGAGTCATAAGATTCCTTTCACTTTATGCTGATTAAAATGACACCCTTGTGTTTTAATGAACTGTAGTGTAAGCTTTTTATCCTTGGCTTTTTTGAAGCTCTCAATTAGAAAGTGCCATCTGATGGGAGACGAGCTTCTTCTTCTTTCATGTACATTTATTTTGAAAGATTATTGCTAACTCAGTATTTGCTATGATAGTGATTATTTGTGTGCCTAGACTGGCCTTCGGGTTTATTTATCTTGACAGCTTTCTTCTGCATTTGCGCTGGCGAGGAACAGTGTCAACAGTAGAAGTGACATGTGTGTTCTAGAGTAACTAATAGTTACATAGAAGAAGAAAAACAAGCATTATCTTTCCTTTTCCTTTTTAAATATTGATCTGTTAAAGTAAACGTGGTGAAATGTTTCATCAGGAGTCTGAATATATGACCTTGAGGGAAGTCCCTAAGTGAGGGAGTTATGGAGGAGCGAGTATCACCAGATACAATGACCAGATATGTTTCTCCTCTGAGCACCTACTGAAATGGTGGTCATCTCAAATCTCCTTATTTACTACTGCAGCGTCACGAAGTTTTTGAAAATAGATTTGAACACATAGCTACAGAAAACAAGATATTTGTTTCTGAGAAATTGCTTGCTCAGAAACAACTTAAGGCTTGTGGTAGGTATTGTTCTCACTAGGCCAGGTTAAAAACAGACACATTTTGCAAAGATGTGCTAGCTTTTTGTTTAGCTGACTTAGAGGACAGACTGAGCTCAGCCGTTCTACTAGCAGAAGCCAGTGCAAAGACTCCTGCTAATGCAACAATGCTTTCCCCAGGACCCGCCCAAGACATTTTGGCAACTGAGGCGAACGACAAAATGCCCCCTGCCCAACAGGGAACAAGGGGTGAGTGAAGTATACATCAGGAACAAGCAAAGAATAAAGATCTACATCAACAGCAAGCTGGGGGAGGAATCAAATCAATCTTACCCAATGGTTGAAGTAGGAATCAAAGGCCTTTGTGAAGGGGGAGGGAGCGAAGGTGCCTGATCTGAATCATTCTGGGTGGGTGCAGAGCCTAGCAGACCCCCTTTCCTCCTTAAGGTGGGAGGAGACTAGCAGCGCCTCTCATTCTCCAAGAGGCTGCTATAGAGGCGGCATGGGGGGGGGGAACTGCCAAGGGGCAGCAGATTCAGCCTCCAGTTAGTGTGGTGCAGCCATTACTGGCACTGCTCCAGCGGGCAATACATTCCTTGCAGGCTAGACCTGCTGCCCCTGTAGATCCTGCCACCCAAGGCAGTCGCCTCACCTTCCCTCATGGGTGGGCCAGCCCTGCATTCCTTCTGCTGCTCCCCTTACTTACCCCCCCCCATGCCTCCCAGCCCCAGATCTGCTCTGGACAGTCAGGGGAACCCCCAGAACAACACCCAGGGGGTAGGAGAGGGGAGATCATTCTGTTGGGCAAACAGAAATGCTTGCGCTGATGGAACGATCTCCTTGACACTAACCAGAATTCCAGGGATTACTCTCTGATGAATCAATTTAAAACACACACAAACACACAAGTATGTAAAATCATCTGTGGGTAAATCAAGGACAGAAATGCAACAGGAAACGATTGCAAAGTTAGCATTTGCAGGAAACACTCGTATGAGGCTTGTACAACTGTGTTTTTCAGCTGTTCTCTTTCTAATCCTTCATAAGTATGTTACAGTGAATGTGCTCCACATAGGGTAACCAAGATGGAATGGCATGTTGACTCTTTGATCTGAGCCAACAGAGCTTAATGACAATAAATTATGATGAATGCCTAAAATTGGTGAATTTCTGCAGTCTGAATTTTATTCCAAAATATTTTTTGTGAATTTCATTCACTCATTTCATTCATTCACTCATTTCATTTGATTTCATTTCATCCCCCCCCCTCCTTCTTTGGGATGTCCCCTTCACTGCCAGCAGTTTCATTTGGGTGGTTGTTCAGTGTCAGCATTTACTGGCATACGCCTGAAATTTTTGGACATTCACAAAATCAGTCTTGGATTGTTAAAGTCTGCCAAGTTTTGGCCATTCACATGGACGTGTTTTAAAAATAAATACAGTTTGAGAGATACAGCTAGGGCTGATATAAGTCTGGAATTTCCCAGATATAGCAAGGATTCATCCATCAAAAATGATGTCCTGGCAGAATTTTCAAAAAGGGGGGGAAATGTCTGAGAAAACACATGCATATGGCAGCCTATATAGGAGTGCTGATTTAGGGGTGATTTTCAAAAAACAACAACAGAGGGAACCTACTTCTTTTTTAGATTTTCCAAAGAAGCGCAACAACTTTGCCCCACCCCCCAAGAAAAAAGCTCAACAACTTTGCCCCCGCCAAAAAAGGCTCAAAATCTTTTGAGTCCGGATTTTCACTTTTTGAAATATGGCAACCCTAAATACACTGAAGAACACAGGAAAGGGACCAATGATTCTAAAACCTAGGACAGAGAGCTTTATTGAACATAGCCCACCTATGTTTGATATGAATGGAAAATGTTGTTTCATTGTTAATTCATTACATGGACTAGTTCAGCTGTGCTGACTGGGGCTGATGGGCACCAGATTGGAGGAGGCTGGAGTGCACCTGCTTAGTTCACGACATAACAAGTGGAATTGACATGTGGGTGTTCCCAGTTATCAGTCAAAATGAAAACTGGCATTCTTCAGAGACATAGAAAACCAGATTCCTGCTGGTCTGAGGAAGACATCTTTTGTGTGAAATGAAGGGTTACTGCATTTCACCCAGCCTGGTACTTTTCAGCGCGGTTGTAAGTGGAAGGGTATGTGTCATATCATCCTACCAGGTCTACAACCTCCCAAACCCTCATATCAGTGGCCAATTCAAAGGAATAAAATTCTAGAAACCATTTGTGCCTCTTGGGCGTGTTGTTATTAAATATCTCATTCCTGTTCTGTTTTTAAAGTTCGAAACAAAGGAAACAATCCTAGACCTTTAACATTAAAAGAATATCTGGATGGAGACTTCAGTTACAAAACACTTTCTCCTTACTGGATTTCGGGTAAGGGACGGCATGATTTGTGGTTCAATGAGTATGTGGTGCTGAAACATCATTTTGGATTTTTTTTTAAAAACAAACAAACTACAAAGCTTGTGTACATTGATGCTTTTGTTTTTGTTTTATGTCTTTTATGGGGGTGTTTTGTTTTTAAATGCTTTAAGCTGCCCTGAGAAACACAAATGCATTGGACGTATGGGGTATGTGGTTTCTAAAACGAAAAAATAAGTGCAGTTAAATGTTCAAGGAATGGGAAAGGGTGAGGTGTATGGGGTTTCATTGTGCCATGTAAGTGCCTTGATATTAACTAGTAATTGCAGACTGAGACAAATAGGATTTGCATAAAATAGGGTGGCAGAAAAAGGGCAGGAAAGAAGGGGGTGGCAGAAAGCATGAAAGAAAAGAGCAGGGCAGAGGGAGAGAGAAAGAGAGAGGGAGGGAGGGAGGTGGCAGAAAGAGAAAGTTTCTACTGTTTCTGTAAAGCAAGCATAATATAGAACCCAGCAGTATAAAATGTGCATCATCTAATCTCTGCCCCTATCTCAGGCTGCGTAATGCCATACATGTAAAACACATGACTTCCCCAAAGAATCCTGGGAAATGTATTTTACCCCCCACATAACTGCAGTTCCCTGCATCCTTAACAAACTACAGTTCCCAGGATTTGAGCTACCTGAGATGGCTCCATCCCCCTCCCACCTAAATTACAGCATCAAAGTATTGTTATTTTACATCCATTTCCAATGCCATTTGCTGTAACAGATGCTGTAGTGAGATGACATTTGTAACCAAGCTTATTGTAATCATTCAGGCTATGTTTTTCCTCCTCCCTCCTAAGGAAATGAATATCTCCATCAGTTCACAGAAGATGATATAATTCTTTACAATGTTGAATATGGGCAGTCACACACACTCCTGTCTAACAGCATACTTGTACGTATTACTGTAATTTTTAAAATTGATCGAAGGGCCATACTTTGGTTTCTAATTCATATCTTTAAATCTTTTAGAAAAAAGTCAATGCCACAAACTATATACTGTCAGCTGACCAGAATTTCATGCTGTTGGAAAGCAACTACTCTAAGGTAAAATGTTTTTCAGCTGAGATTTGTGGGCGGGATCCAGTGCATTTGTTATGTTTGTGTAACTCCCCATTTTTAGTGAACATTGGTCATGTTGTTAGTGAACGATAGAACTGCCCCCCTCCACCCATGTGCTCCCCATGTCCTTCCCAAATCTGCTCCATAGGTTTCAGAGAAATTCGTGGAACAGTCTTGGGGAGGGGGTGCAGGGGAAGAAGATGAGGGAAGCTTCATTGGGAAGCAGAAGTTACAAAGCACTACTTTAGATACAAACCAGGATTTATTCCTTAGCTTACAATCACCCCTGCTTCCCACCACCAATGAATCAGAAGTGGCGGTGATGGGGAGTGGAATTCCTCTTGTGATTCTTCTGTATAAGCAAGCATCTCCTAATTCTGCTGACAAAAGGATCCTTTTGCAATAAACCAGTAGGTGCACTTTTCTCTGTTGTCAGAGAAATTTCCCAGTGGTCCAAGGCAAACACACTTGTGTGATAAGGGCTGAAATGAAGGAGAACATTCTGAACTCTCTCCACATAGAGACACCATGGTTTTTCAAGGGGAGGGGAGGCAGCGTCAATCAAGAAGCCCCATCCTACTCTGCTTTCGTTCCCATTAGCAGTTAGGGAGAGTGGTCATTTTAGGAATTGCTATGCAGCTTTTGTAGATTGTGGGCAACTTATTATTTTTACTACACTGAGAAATACATCAAATGTCTAAAAGATCCTTCCCATGTTGCATTCCATGTGTGGAAATATTTCTTAGTGGAATTGAGGAGGCTTTTAGCTCACCTTTAAAAGAGAATCTATATACTGGTGCTAGGGCAGTGCCATTGTGAAGGTTTGCAGAGCTTTCATAAAGGGAAGCTGTCTTCTGCTAAAAACGTGTTGGGAGGAATACTGTATGTTACTATGTTTCGGCTGTAATAATAACTAATCATGTTATGTCTCTGTTCTAACTTTTTCAGCTCTGGAGGTACTCTTATACAGCATCCTATCACATTTATGATCTTGGAAACAGGTAAGACTGAAAAGGTTTTCTTTTATACTGACCCACGAGTCAATCTGTTCTGTGTTTGCTCTTGGTCTTCTATTTGGATTCCTTTAAGGCATGCTTTTTCCTCTTAGGAGAACAGTGATGGCCACCAACTTTGGGAGGCTTTAAAAGACAAAATCAGGGAGGATAAGGCTGTCAATGGCTACCAGATGCAGTGGCTATGCTCTGCCTCCACAATAATAATAATAATAATAATAATAATAATAATAATAATAATAATTTATTTATACCCCGCCCATCTGGCTGGGTTTCCCCAGCCACTCTGGGCAGCTTCCAACAAAACACTAAAATACAATAACCTATTAAACATTAAAAGCTTCCCTAAACAGGGCTGCCTTCAGATGTCTTCCAAAAGTCTGGTAGTTGTTGTTCTCTTTGACATCTGGTGGGAAGGCGTTCCACAGGGAGGGCGCCACTACTGAGAAGGCCCTCTGCCTGGTCCCCTGTAACTTGGCTTCTCTCAGTGAGGGAACCGCCAGAAGGCCCTTGGCGCTGGACCTCAGTGTCCGGGCAGAACGATGGAGGTGGAGACGTTCCTTCAGTTATACTGGTCAGAGATAGCAATGCTTCTGAATTCCTGTTGCTGGAATCCACAGGAAGGGAGAGTGTGTTCTTGTGCTCAGGTCCTGCTTGAGGGCAGTGGTGCCAACTTGGCCCCCAGATTGTGGGTGTCCAGCGAGCGGCACATGTGGTGTGATGTCATGACATCACTTGCGCCATTGTGTGTACATGCTGCTTGGCCTCTGCCCGCCACCACCACTCACTGCCCTTGCCTCCTCTGGCTCTCCAGTGCAGTGGCAACTGGGCCAGGGCCTCTGCCTCTGCCGTGGGGCCTCAGTTGGTGCTTGCCGCAGATATGCTTGGGCACCCATAATGGGAATTTTGTGGGTGCCTAGGTGCCCCAGGCCCCCCTGAGTTGGCGCCTATGCCTGAGGGGTCCTTTATGGTTGACAACTGTGAGAACAAGGAGCTAGACTAGGTCAGCCACTGCTCTCCTTATGTTCTTCTATTAGTTAATGGACACATTGTTTCCAGTGACATTGCTAAATTATCTGCTTCTAAATGGTTATATCCCATGCTGCACATAGCAAATTCTGCTCACGTAATGGGACTTCCCCTTCCTCTCTTCTCCCTGCGTGCCCTCTGGAGCAGATTCTAAAGGTATGCAAGGAAGGGGAGAGGAAAGTTCTGTTGCACAAGCAGAAGTCTACTGCACTCGCGGAACTCCACCGCAGGATATGACCCAAATACTCTGGGCGTGTGCAGTTTTTAGGCTCCCTTAAATCACAGCACCACCATGGCTACAGGAATACAATGGGGCTTGCCTCTGCTGCCCTGATGCTAAACACATTGACTTGGGAATAAGCTCAGTCAAATTGTTGAAAGAGTCAACGTATTATAATGTAAAAAATAACAAAATGAGTATCTGTAACCATGTACATGCCTAGGTGGCTGCCCCCAACTATAACAAGAAATTAAATAAGAAAAGAAGCACCGGTGTTGGTGGGCTCCATTGTGCCCATGCCCACCTAGGTGCTCACGAGGGTCCTTTTGGTTTGCTGCTGACCATTCTTTGGGGATTCTTTTGGGGAAGCCAGGGGCTTTAAATGAAATCTGACCTTGAAATACCGAGCTTGCCTTTGCATCTTTCATTTCTTTCCCTTTGCAGTGCTTTTGTCAAAGGACACGAGCTTCCACATGACATTCAGTATATAGCCTGGTCACCTGTTGGACACAAATTGGTCAGTAAGCTCACGAAGTGTGAGAATAACGCTTCTATTTTTATGAGATTCATTTGCCTTTAGTGTTTGCGCAGGGATCGTTTTTGCAGGCCTCCTTATCTCTGCTTATCAGCTGTGCTTTAGAATATTGACTCTTAAAAAGATAAACACTCCACAGCTGCCTGGAACTGTGGGTGCTTTAGCACAGAGCCCTGGTAATTGTTGGACCACTTTGTCTTCTCCGAAAACTAGACAAACCCAAGGTACAGGGACCAGGGTGTTAGGGTCTTTTCATTTGCTATTTACCCAAAGACTGTAGTTTCTGACCCTCTTCTGTCTGCCCAGATGCAAAGAGAGCACTAGTGCCTCACTGCAGTTCATTTCAGTAGCTTCCCCATTCTTGGGGTTCATATTTCTTCTGTACCACCATGAACCCACCCTCCCTACTGAGAAAAGCATCAGGAAGAGTGGATTAAGGATTGTGAAGCTAAACTGAGGAGCGTGCCCTCTGCCGGGAGGACCGAGCCCTTAAGATTCGTTGCTTGTGGCCTCCCAAAAACATGGCCATGAATCAGGTCCCTTGTTATGTACCCTCTTAGCCCTGTTAGCCGCAAGTCGATTTCTGCATGCCATGGCACAGAGAGCTGTCCTGTTCCACAAAAACCTAGAGAAGGGTTCCTATTTGTGCCCTTTTTTTTTTAAATAATTTTTATTAACCGACCAATCAAATCACATAAATTCCTAATTACAAAGCCGAATTTTAAATTTTTGTTGAGGGGACCCATATTTCAAGTTTCGGAGGGGGATTCCGATCATCTTCTTGCTACTGCGTTCATATCCAAATCAGTCCAAATAAAGTTCATAATTCTATCCAGTCTTATCTTGCTGTTTCCACATCTCATCTTGTTCGTACATTTTTTCCTTTATGATCTCTTCTGATAATCTTCTTAAGCAGATAAACACCAATTATATCCTGTGTGGATTTTTCCGTTCGACCAATCCTCATATCGTGATGGTTTCCATATATCATCACTTTCATAAATAACATCGCTCTTTCCATCATTAATCTCAGGATCTGTCGTTTTTGAGTCCCACTGAGGAGTCTCACCCACAGTATAAAAACAGCTCTTTTCCTCCTCCCAGACTCAAGTCCTCCAACAGAGCTTACCAATATGGCGACGGTATTTTTAACTGCGTCATTCCAGAGCTCTTAAATTTTCCACGCTCTTCTTAAAACATGCTTTGGTTAGAAAGTTTATCTCCACACAGACGTAAATCCACAGCTTAAGTCATTAAAGCGGCATTTCTGACTTGTGAGGGCGGGGGATTTCTTGTTTTATCATATAGAGGAAAGAAAGAAAAGTTTTTTCCCCTCCCCCATCAGTCCCTTTGCCATAACAAGTCTTGGCTGTCTTCTCATGATTGATTCTTATTCTTCCAACTCGTCTTGTTTATCAGAGAACTCTTCAGTTAGCAGTCTTTACTCCCCCTCCTTCCTTGAAATATGTGCATTCGCTTCTTCCTAATTGTCCCTTTTGAAGTTCTTGCAGCTAGCGGCGCGGATCAGAGACGGCGTCCAGGAGCGCCGAGATCCACAGGGGGGCATTCTGCCTAGTGCCCCCATCCCCTCAAATTTGGGGGTGGTATGGTTACGTGGGAGCCGGTTGAAGCTAAATCCTTCGAAGACAGAGGTCCTGTGGCTGGGACGGGGCGATATGGGATTGGGGGGGCAACTCGCATCTCTTGCGGGGGCACAATTAGTGCCAGCACCGTCCGTTAAGAGTTTGGGTGTAATCTTCGACACCTCCCTTTCCATGGAGGCGCGCTATAACAAAGGCGGCATTTTTCCACCTCCGCCAAGCTCTCGCCCTGACCTAGCCACTGTGATCCACGCGACGGTCACCTCCAGACTGGATTATTGTAACTCGCTCTACGTGGGGCTACCCTTGAGACTGACCCAGAAACTCCAGCGGGTGCAGAATGCTGCAGCGAGACTCCTTACGGGGGCTTCACTGCGAGATCACATTCACCCGGTGCTATACCAGCTGCACTGGCTCCCGGTGGAGTACAGGATCAGGTTTAAGGTGCTGGTTTTAACCTTTAAAGCCCTATACGGCCTAGGACCCTCGTACCTACGGGACCGCCTCTCCTGGTATGCCCCACAGAGAAACTTACGGTCTTTAAACAAAAACATCTTGAAGGTCCCAGGCCACAGAGAAGTTAGGCTGGCCTCAACTAGAGCCAGGGCTTTCTCGGCTGTGGCTCCGATCTGGTGGAACACTCTGTCACAAGAGACCAGGGCCCTGTGGGACTTGACATCTTTCCGCAGGGCCTGCAAGACAGAGCTGTTCCACCAGGCCTTTGGCCAGGGCACAGCCTGACTCCCTCCCTCGGCAATCTTCGCGGAGCTCTGGCCCAATGTTTGCCAGTGGCTTGAATTAACTAATTTTATAATGAATGATTTTAGTGTTGTTTATGCTGTACTTTTGTACTGTTTTATTGTTGTTAGCCGCCCTGAGCCCAGCTTCGGCTGGGGAGGGCGGGATATAAATAAAATTTATTATTATTATTATTATTATTATTATTATTTCCAATTGTTTAAAAATGTTTTAAATATGCTTTTGTTTTATCTTTCCGCTCTGTTGTCTTACCACTTAGGTGTTTGCTGCCCTGGGCTTCTGTGAGAGGAAGGGCAGGAAATAAAGTTGAATAGTAGGGTGGTATCCATTGCTACTCAGAGGAGACCCATTGAAAATAACGGACATGGCCAACTTGGGTGCATTCATTTAAATAGGCCTATGCTGAGTAAAACTTAGCTGGATACAACCATTCTTATTTATCATCCCCAGCCAGCATAGTCACTAGTTAGGGATGGTCGAATCTGCAGTCCAGCAATAGGTTCTTCATTGCATGACATGGATCAGATCTCCAAATACTTGTGTGTGAGTGAAAAGGGCCCCATTCACACAGGAGAGATATACCGTATTTTTCGCTCTATAAGACGCACCAGACCACAAGGCGTACCTAATTTTTGGAGGAGGAAAACAAGAAAAAAAATATTCCAAATCTCAGAAGCCAGAACAACAAGAGGGATTGCTGCGCAGCGAAAGCAGCAATCCCTCTTGCTGTTCTGGCTTCTGGGATAGCTGCGCAGCCTGCATTTGCTCCATAAGACGCACACACATTTCCCCTTACTTTTTAGGAGGGAAAAAGTGAGTCTTATAGAGCAAAAAATACGGTAATTTTATCCTCAACTTGTCAGCCTCTAGCCACACTGAGCATTACTGCAAAGGATTTTCCTTGCAGCCTAGGGGAGTGAAAACTTGCACACCCTCTGTTGTGTAGAAACATAAGTGCCTTCTGCTCTTTGCATCTAATTCCCTGTTTAGATGTGCTACTGTCCTCAATAGCTTTGACTGCATAAAATGATTTTGGGTTTTTTCTTCCCAGGTGTATGTGTATCAGAATAATATCTATTTGAAACAAGGCCCCAGAGAACCTGCTGTTCAAATAACTACAAATGGTTATTGGAATGAAATATTTAATGGAATCCCTGACTGGGTCTACGAAGGTAAACATCAACCTGAAATCAATATTATTGCCATGTGAGGCAAGAGTTGGGCAGCAAAAAGATGTGATGAGCAGCAGCCAAAAGTTGTTCATAGTGCTGTGTTTGTGTAGAAGGCTCATATTTCTCATAAGGAGTCCCTTCCTCAAAACTGCAAAAAGCTAACTGCTAACTACAAGCCAGCATGGTTATTCACCATCATAATTTACTATTTGTCAACAGCTTTGCTCAACGTCTTACAGAAATAACATGCATTCTCACTGTGGTTTCCTAACATCCCGTATCTTGCTTTTTCACATCCTGCCACATATTTCTTTAGGGTAGGGTGGGGGGATATTTCCTTGTTAGTTTCTGCTAGGTTTTAGACCTACCCACTTTTGTACGTTCCTCAGATATCTGTCATAAAACTATCTGTCCAACTTAAGAACTAGTATCGTGTTTATCTGTAATATTAGGACACAATTTCTTCTAATTTGGCTTCTGAAGCACTCCACTGATAAAAGAGACTCTGGCTTGTGGGCTAATAAGGCCCACCAAGCCTCGTCATTTGGTTCGCTTGGCCATTTCAGCCAATATTACCTGTACCCTTCAGTCAAAATTACTCATGTTCTTTATCTCAAGAGTATTTAACATCTATGAATATTTTACATTCTTTGAATTGTCATTCTTGTTGCTCTTATATGTACATCAAGAATTAGAAACAAAAGGCTCCTGCTCACGTTGCTTGCCAACCGCATCTATCTCCTGACTTCATGCAAATCCAATGGGGACTGCATGATGACTGCCTTGCATTTTTATGTATATAGGAAGAAAAAAATATAACCCATACTGTTAACTAACATTCATACACATTTAGCTCTGCAATGTTCTTGGACATAGTTACATTTATTTAGGTGAATAACTAGGGCCTCCCAAACAGGGAACCCTCATAACATAGATCCATCACTGCCAATAAGGCTGGAATAATGCTATGCTTTGTTGCACTAGACTAGCTTAGCAATCGGTATGCCCCATCCTCTCCCCTTCCCTTTTAAACTAGCCATGGCATTTATCCAGGAAAAAATGAGGACAAATCTGTACAGCAGAAACAATGTCTCACGTGTCATTCAAGTTGCAGGCTTATCTCTGGGACAGAGCTGCCTTGCTTGTTTGATGCATAGCAGCTTATCAGATAAATGGGTTCTATGTACACTGGTGTCCTTACAAGATAAAGGTAGCTCATGATCCTCTTTTGTAGTAGAATAACATATATTTAACATGATTTCTCTTAGAGGAAATGCTTGCTGTAAAATATGCACTGTGGTGGTCTCCAAATGCAAAGAATGTGGCATACCTACAGTTTAATGATACTGGAATACCAGTTATTGAATATTCATATTATGGTGAAGATCAATATCCTAGAAAAATAAAGATACCATATCCAAAGGTATGTTTGGGGTTTTGTTGTTTGCTTTGCTTGGCTCTGTTGAATAAGATCTGATCATATTTCAGCGTAGAAATGCTTGGATTTCTAAGGTTTAATTGCTGGATTTTAATGCCTATTATTAAACTAACTATTGGTTTAAGCATTGTATATTTTGATGATGACATAATAAAGGGCCTGGTCCATCGTTTTACCTTTACCATTGGACATACTCAGCCCTTGTCAGGCATCAGGGAATCTGATCCCTACACAGTAGGCTGCCAGGAACAGATAGACGAGGAAAGTCTTAACAATGTCTTTTATTCAATATTCACAGAGATGCTGCCTCTTTGAGTAATGGCATTGTTCCAAGTAATCTCCACACACACCCCAATTGTCAACAGCACCACCCACCTTACGGTAGCCACTTAGGGTGATTTGTCTCCAAGCCCTTTGCTCTCCTACTTTCAATGCTCGCTGGGTTCTGGGAGAAGGAGGGTCTGGAAAGCTTTCTAGTGATAACATGTCAGCCAGCTGCTCTAGCTCTGCCTCCCCTGCCTCCTCCTCTCTCATTATTTCCCAGCTCTGCCCATCATCTATCTCTAAGCTGTGACCTCTCGCAAATCACTGTTGTCAATCTATACTGTCTTCCTCTTCTCTGGAAGGTTCAGGCTGGGTAGGCGGGCTCCACCATTCCTCCTCTGTCCAGTCCCTGACATCCCTTCTGGTAGCATAACTCTCCATGTCCAGGATGGCTGCTGACAGAAAAGGATAGAGACTGGTCGTAAAAGGTTCTTCTGCATGCAGCGAGAGGAGGGGAAGAGGCAGCTAAAGAGTGGATCCTTCCCTTCAGTATTTTGAAAGGGAAGTCAAAGTTGAGCCAGCTAGCCTGGAGAGCTACTGTAAGAACTTCACCACAGCTGTGGGTTGCTTCCAGGGAGAAGCCTATTGTGTGGACAATTCATTTGTGGATGGCAGTTGTGTTGTGGTGAGAGCACAAATGCAACACGTGAATGTGTAAAGTGTGATTCATGGCATGCCTGAGATATTGCTATTTTAAAAAACTGATTTATTATATTGTATCTTTGTATTTACGTTTCCCGTGGTCTTAATGTATTTTCTTTTGTATTAATACAAATCTTGCCAAATAGCAGTATAGAAGTAAAACATATGATGATGATGAAATATATTATAATCTATTTGCTCAGTGCCTACTGTGAACTTTCTTTCCGTAAAGGAACAGGGCTCACATGTATGCTAGCTTTTCTCAAACTTGGGTTCCCATATGTTGTTGGACTACAACTCCCATCATCCCTAATTAGTAGGACCAGTAGTCAGGGGGGATGGGATTTGTAGTCAAGTCCACTTATCCCCTTTTGGGGTGGGGTGGCATTGCAGGATGGCCAGCGCTCCCCCCCCCCCATGATGCAGAGCTGGGGCACCGGGGGCTACTCTTGCTGGAGTGCGAACTTTGGCTCACACTCCCAGCTTGAAATCCAGCTCTGTGCCAGCCTGCCAAATTGGCCAATGGCAGGCTGGCACAGAGGTCAGACCTTCTTGGGAGTGGGCCTGGGGGGAGCAATCAGGCTTCCCTCAATTCCCTGGAGATTATTTTGAACCTGATTATATGTTTTCCTTTGAAGGCTGGGGCTAAAAATCCTACCGTCAGAGTGTTTGTTGTTGATGCTACTTATCCTGAAGCTTTAGGCCCTAAGGAAGTACCAGCTCCAGCAGCGATAGCATCAAGGTAGTATCTTGTGAAACTGATATTTTCTTCTCCATTTCTTTTCTTTTAGCAATAGAATTTTTATTTTAAACAGTTTGACCCTGGGCTCCCCACCACTACCGCCCCTTGCAGATCTGTTCTATGGAAATAGTGTAGATGTTTGCTTTTCATTTTCCACTGCCATCGAAAAACTGCTGGTGATATCCTACTAAGTCAAAAACCCACTGGAATTGATGAACTTATGTTCCCTTTCCCTTTGATTTTAATGGGTCTACTCTGAGGAAGACAAATGTTCGACATTACTCCGACAGGCATAGGGAACATGGGCATAGCAAGGAGGGGCAGCTGTCCCCTTCACCATCAAGTCAATAAATAAAAATACTGAACTAAAAGTAGAAATTGTAGAAAGATTTGGGCAGATTTTTCTGAGCATTTGGGGTCAAAAGAAAGCAATTTAAAACAACTGTTGTCAAGACATTTCATTCCGAATCTGGTAGACAAAGCCAGACAGAGGATGATGACAGGTGCAGGTCCTGTCCCCCCCTCCCCACATAAATCCTGGCTATGCCCATGGTGGGGAACCTTGGGCCAGGAGCTTGCATGAGGCCCTCCAAACCTCTGTCTGGCCCTCAGGTCTTTCCTTAGACCATACACTCCTCTCAGCCACATCCCCTCTCCCCACGCCACACCCTTCAACATACGCTCCTCAAGTGTTTTGACCTCGCTAGAATGTGTTCTTGAACACTGAGAATGCTTCCCCTTAGTCTGGCTGGAGGATCTGTAACTGTGGGATGTGTAAGTGTGGCCTTGAAAGGTTGCCCAGGTCGGAATGAGTCCTTGGTTTGAAAGAGGTCTGGCTTGTCACAGATGTATTATTGAACACGCCATGCTGACCCCTCTCATAGTAAACAGCCCCTTTCTCTCCCCTCTTCTTTTCCAGCGATCACTATGTCACTTGGATTACTTGGGTGAGAGACAACCGAATCTGCGTGCAGTGGCTGAAAAGGATCCAGAACTTTTCCGTGTCAGCCATCTGCGACTACAATGACCGCTCCAGGTCCTGGGACTGCCCACAGGTACTGTTTCCCACCAAGCTAGTATTTTGATAGAAGACTTGCAGAAGTAGCTTCTGTTACCCACTGGTGAGCATTCACGGTCAGTGTATTACTTTTGTGCAAAAGTGTGTGCGGGGGAGGACACCCAGCCTTTATTGGGTCCCAAGCCCCGCCCACCTGGCCCGGCCGGATTGGCCAGGATTCAAATCAACAGGTGGCGGGAAAGCCTGCCCATCTCCAGCGGCTGGCCTGGGAATTCCCCAATGGCCGACTGCCTAGCCCCAGCATTACTCCTGAGGGGAAGGAGCCGGACATGATGGGCCACAACAGCCGCCCACCCTGTCACCAGGTAAGCAGCCAGTCATAGTCCTTTTGTGCAAAAGTGGGGGGAAGGGAAAAGTTTTCCAAACACTGGGTTGGACCCCATGCTCTTGTGATTGGGGCTTTGCGAACAGACAGTTCCCACTAATTGCTAGGGGCGATTTTCAGCAATTTCTCCTGAAGCCCAAGGAAGGGCGGTAACTCACTGACAAGTTCCGGGTTCAGTCCCTGGCATCACCAGGGAAGACTAGGAAAGACTTAGTGCCTGAAACCCAGGAGAGTCACTGCCAGTCTGAGCTAGATGAACCCTCGGTCCGACTCGGGGCTCATCCATACCGTGGTTTCATGTGGGTAGGAAGCTTCTGGGATCTCCATTAATTCTTCGTTGTCCATATTACATTCTCCAAATCGCAGCTTTCCCACACTTTCCCCTCCCCCATTCCAGATTTTCTTCTGTAAAGGTACCCCTGACCATTGGGTCCAGTCGCGAATGACTCTGGGGTTGCAGTGCCCATCTCACTCTAAAGGCCGAGGGAGCCAGTGTTTGTCCACAGACAGCTTCCAGGTCATGTGACCAGCATGACTAAGTCGCTTCTGGCGAAACCAGAGCAGCGCACAGAAACACCGTTTACCTTCCCGCTGGAGTGGTACCTATTTATCTATTTGCACTTTGACGTGCTTACGAACTGATAGGTGGGCAGGAGTTCTTCTGTAAGGGATACCCTAAAAAGGAGTATCTACCACTGACCTACAGGCAGGGCTGTTTTCAGCCAGAATGGCACCATTGCCATTATAAGAGAACACGGGAAGCCTTCATGGTGAGTTTTGGAACCTCTTTTTCTGGAAAAATCGCACTGCCTAAGGGCTATGGCCCTGCCCTTATATTCTTACACCTACTAACGGGGTTACTGTACTTGAATTCTCTTTGCCTTATTCATACCATCATTGGCAGTGGCCCTGCTGATCTACACGGAACACAGAGTCAGGTTTCAGACTGCCAAATTATGCTCACTGGACTTGGAACCAGCATCGTGGCAATGTCAGGTCCAAACTCCAGGATAATTGCACTTCTCAGCATGTCCTTGCCTGATGAGAGTCACTGCTGAAACCCCCGCCACGTTCTGTTTATCAAGTGCTTTTTACCATATCAATCTGTGCACCAATGGTTAGTTAACAGGAGTGCGAGCAGATGGGAGAACTCCATTAAGCAATGTTTGCTGAAAAGATCTCTAGGGGAATATATTTCCATCTCTTACTTTGTTTTCCGATTAAACCGGAAGTAATAATGCGTAAGAAATGTGGACTACTTCATATACTGGAAGATAATAAAAATGCAGTGGGAAAACAGTGTGAGGAGACTCAGAGCTGTGCGCTGAACTTCATGTTTATGTTCAGCAAATATGTCCCAATGAATAAAAATTAAATGCAGGCAAGAATTTGTGCGGTCAGCCAGAAATGCCCACCAAACTCAACTTTTTGAACGTGAAATAGAAGTTAAATTGGGATCACTTATAGAAATTAAAACATGGACATGATTCTGTTCGCCCCCCGCACTTGAATTAAACTGTAGCTATGCCTAATTGTATACAGGGCCAGAGGCACCTAGTTAATGGAAGGTGTTGTGCAGGAAAATGCATCAGAGGAAGACGCAATATGTTAATCTGCTTGCCCCATTATGCTTTCCAACTATCAATCATGTAAGCAATGTTTTCAACTATCTTGCTAATATGCTTGGGAGAAACCTCTGGAAACAGACTGTACTCCTTTGCCAAGAAACTCTCTGTGTTGTGTGTCTGTGTGTTATTTTAACATAGTTTCCATGCAGGAGGTGAAAAACCCTCTACTTGCTTCCTTTCTGGATTCATATTTGCAGTATTTCCATACACCACACTCTGTCAGGGACTGGGCAGAGGAGGGGGAGGAATGGTGGATACTGCCTCCTCAGCCTGAACCTTCCAGAGAAGAAGGAGACAGTACAGATTTACAGCAGGAGTTTGTGTGTCGAGGACCCGCCACCCACATGGAGATAAATAAGACACAAGGGCACATGTATTTTGGGTTAATGGGCTAAAATAAGGCCACAACTTTATTGGCTACAGCATGTGAGAGGCATTGGCATTGGATCAAACAATCTATACCTGACCCCACCCCGCTCAGTGGGGTCAATCGAGGGTTAACAGCCAATGGGAGGAGCTTGTTGATGCAAATGCAACTGAAAGCTTCCCCAGACGTCATCAGGGGTCATGCCATGGCCCTAGCCACCAGCAGGGCATCGGACGGGATCCACGACTGCTGGATTTCTTTAACGGAATACCCAAACAAGGGGAGGGGTAGGTGATGGCCACAATCTTCCCTCCAACACACCACACATATTCCAATGCCTAACCGCCAATACCCAATAAGTTGTGACGATTTGCTACAAGGTAGGCGAAAACCAAGAGGCTGGTGCCAATTTGCCAAATGGATAAAATTCCTACTTGGGCAACCAAGGCAACCAACCAAAGCCCATAGCAAGGTCAACAGAAACATAGAAATGACCTAAAGGGAAGGAGGGCAGGTGATCTGAAGAAAACAGGATCCAGTGCTGCCGCAGCCGCTTAAGCGCGGCTAAACCCTGCCCACGAGCCAGCCCTATTGGCTGGCTAATAGGCTTGGCGTGGCACCTGGGAGAAGGCTGATGCAGGGGGCCGAATACGCTCTCTTGCTGATGCAGGAGTCGGTTCCCGCTCACAACTCCTCCCCTCTGGAAGGAGGAAAGGTCTTGTGAAAGGTCCCAGCTCAGAGGCTGCAGAGGATAGAAGCTGGGAAATATTGGGAGAGGAAGAAGAAGCACCAGGGGAGAGACAGCTGACAGACTCAATGTCTTTAGAAAGCATTCCAGACCCTCCCCCTCCCAGAACCCGGCGGGCATTGAAAGTAGGAGAACAGAAAGCTCAGAGGCAGAAAGCACAGATCAGCCAATGTAGGGATGGTGTATAATAGGAGAGACTGAGGGGGTGTGACTTTACTCGGAGCAATGCCATTAGAGGCACCTTTTCTAGGCCTCTCTCTGTGAATATTGAATAAAAGACTTGGTAAGAACTCTCCTTGTTTATCTAATTCTTGGCTGCCTACCGTGGCAGATTCCCTGAAGCCTGACACTATCTGTCCAATGAATTTGATGAGGCATTGGGCCTCTGGTGGCCCCCATGTTAGAATCCCTCTTATCTACCTCCAATTTATTTCTGTTTGTGCACAAGAAAGAATAGGTAGGCTCACTGCCAGAAAAGGACAACGTCACAAGTGTGGTGGTATCCTTCCAATGAGTGTTGGCGATCACCACCATTATGTAATTGCCCACAATTGGCTCAGTGTTGCAAAGCATTGTGGGCAATTATAATTCTGGCCACCCAAAACTCATCAGGGCTCCAGGGCACTGGTGGATCCTTGGCAACTCCTTGAGAGTAGCACCTGCTGGCACCCACTTTGACTGTTTTTTTTATTTCTCTTATGTGATGTAAATGCAAACAAACAGCTCTAGCTAGTGGACATAAATCTGGGAGGTTCCTTCCCCTCTTAATAAAATGATTGACGGAATTGGGTGTTCAGGATAGTTACAATAGTTCAACCTATTGATAGTACAATAGTTGACAGAGAAGTCATAACTCTGCCACTGAGCTGCAACATGGTGGATTTTTAAAAATGGAAAATAATTCCTTCAGAGAGCAAATGTACTGAAAACATTCCACAGGGATCCAGACTGTGGGAAAAAATGTTTCATCAACAGCATTTAAATAAATCTAAGAGAAAATAAACATGTTATGTATATGTATAAATGAGTTGTATGCAACACTCAGCCGTAGCCTACTATTACTTCATTTTCATATTGCAATTAGAGTGCTAAACATCTGAGCCATACATTAATTTTGGCAGGTCACTGAGCACTTTGAAGTGATTCATAAGCCAATGTTTAAACACACTAAAAGACTTTTAGAATATCAGCGTGTAATTGTATTGATCTGTAATAGCACACCATCAGGTTTTATACATAACATTCCAATCAAACAGTTGAACGAAGCTGGAAGAAACAATCAGAGAACTATGGGGATGTTTTGGAGATGCCTTCAAAAATGAACAGTACCTATTGCTCAGCAGGGGCAAGTTGTTGGTGGTGTTGTGTCTAAAAAAAAAGTTCCACAAGACTAAAGCAGAACTAGGGATGTCAGGGAAGTCAGACAGGAACAGAAACTGCCAATGTTCACTTATTCATCTCATGTTCAACGAATTGTTGTTCCTTTTGGTCTGCAAATGATACACAATTGATTGCTTTTCTTTCCCAATCTGCATTGTGTTTCCTTTGCTCTGAAATGAAACTCAACCTTTGCGCTGAAAAGAATGGTGTGGAGTAATGGAATTCATTGTCTTAAATGCCACCACGTTTGGACAGTGAGACGAATAATGCAGGTTGTTTTTTTTCTGGAAGCCGGTAAAAAGGATGTCTTCATTTCTCCACTGCAGGGAGACTGTTAACACCAAGGAAAATGACTAAACCAGTGCTTGTTTTACAGGGTCCAGACTGAAAATTGTACTCCTTTAAATGAAGTTCTTTCACTTATGCCACACATCCTCACACAGTTGCCTTTGTTCTTATTTTGCAGAAGCAGCAACATATAGAAGAAAGTCACACAGGATGGGCTGGTGGAGTACGATTTTTATTATCTTTACACTTCTGATTTTGTTGAAATATTGTAACAGTGCAATCCTAGCAATGTCTATTTTGAAGAACATCCCGTTGAATTCAATGGATCTTCCGCCCAGTTAAGTTGGGTTAGGATTGTAGCCTTGTTTCCTATCTGCGCAGAACACTTTTGCTTTTCACAGTTATTAATCCATGCACTTAACACAAATTTCATTCCAACTCAAAAACTGTTTTTGTTTACTTGTAACAAGCACAGATGGTCTTTTAAATGGAAATGAAACATCTCGGGGAGGGGGGAAAGTAGAAGTCGAAGAAGAACGGAGGATGTATTTGCATATTGCAGCTATATGAAAATATAAATTCTCAGCGTAATAATGGTACAATTCTCATGTTCACATATGCGGTTTCTCATTTGTATTTACTTCTTCTTACCATAAAGCACTTCTAAAGGGACCAAGTGAATTTCCCCATTGATCATATTAGATTATACTTTTTGTCATTGGCATAACAAGAATAAAGGCAACCAACTACACCCTAAACAATGTGCTCACACATTTTGCTTTTAAGTAAAAATAACCTAATATGAACAAGACCACTTATTCCATGCAGTTTTACCTGACTGAAAAGGTATTCGCTTCTTTGTCATCTACAGTTGATTTTATTTTGTTTCTGTTTTTTTTGGTTTTTTTGCCTCAGTTCTTTGTTTCAGCACCTTCTTTCACTTCAGACGGCATTTCTTACTACAAAATATTTAGTGACAAGGATGGTTACAAACATATTCATTACGTCAAAGACTCGGTGGTATGTCAAGCAATTTAATTTTCAATTTTCACATACTCTGCAGTACAGTTGCCATAAATAAGACACCTGACTTTACATGTATTTCCCCCCCCCCTTTTTTTTAGGAAAAAGCTGTCCAAATCACTAGTGGAAAGTGGGAGGCAATATACATTTACAGAGTCACAGATGACGCCATGTAAGCATTCTTCCAAGAACAGAGGGTTGGTTATGTCACCTGTCAATGGAAATTTACGTTCAATGCAAGAATGATTTTCTCCCTCAGACAAATAGCAGAACCCCATGTTGAGAGGTTGGGCATCTGCAAGGGCTTTTTCAGATAACAAGACAAAATGGATTCCCCATTATGGTTATTGTCTGGAAAGCTCATGATGTTGGGTTGAACCCGTGCTTCAAGGGCAGACAGACTGCTTTTTTTAGGCATGTTACTAGAGGTATCTAATAATGTAACCAGGGAGATAGCCACATTTTATATGTTGCTTAAATAGTATTGGTGTTTAATGATGATGATGATGATGATATTTTATATGCCACCCATTTATATTCCCCAGCCACTCTGCTTCCAGCAAATTAAAACATCAAACACAGTAAAACACCCAACTTCAAAATCTTCCCTATACAGGGCTGCCTTCAGACGTCTTCTAAAAGTCAGATAGTTGTTTTATCTTTTTGACATCTGACAGGAGGCTGTTCCACAGGGCAGGCGCCACTACCGAGAAGGTCTTCAGTATATTATATATTCTGGCACATCACAAACCTTTTGGTTCCAATTCAACGGTGAGGTCACACAGCTTCTGAGACTTAATGCATACAGGAGCAGTTACAAAAGCAGCAGTCCATTTTTCAGGAGGAGAAAATGGAACGGGAATAAATCTACTCCACCCCACATTCCTCCTCTCTGATTGGGGCAGGGGAGCAGCCTGTGAGCATAAAACCTATTAGGTACCTAGTTCCTAATTCAAGTAGAGATATGTCCATAGAATCCTATTGACCAGAGGGGGGCATATGGCCCCTAATTCTGTCAGAGCACCTGACTTTTAAAAATCAAATATCCTCTTTGTCTAGTCTAACTCTCAGAATAATTTCAGTTCTGTGCATACTTACCTCTGAGAAACGCCCCACTGAATACACTGTGGTGTGCTTCTGGCTACAGGACTGCACTAACAATAACACAGACCTGTAACATAACATTCCTGCCTCTGAACAATCTTAACTATACATTTTTTAAAAAAAGTTGATTGCAATACTTGAAGTGTAGCACAATTATCCCAAAAAAGTTTTAATATCACATATGTGTATATGGACATATTAGCCTTGATCCAGGTATTTTGCTATCAGTAGGCTCGAGGGAACTTGCAAAAGTACAGCAAATCTTTAGGAAAACACCTTAAGGGGAAGAACCCCTTATAACAGCCTACTGAGGACTGAGCGTGCTCCGTGGTCACGGAATGCTGACATGCTGTTGGGAAAGGGGGAATGGCTAGCTTGTTGGAACCCTGACCAGGAGCGCTGCACGCTGCAACATTTTGTTGTAGGTTCTACTTGTTGAATGTCTAATGGCAACCAACACTTCATGATCTCCTTGCTCTATTAAAGCATGCTTTATTTAACAACATACATTGCCTTTCAGATTCTATTCAAGCAACGAATTTGAAGGCTATCCAGGAAGAAGAAATATTTACAAGTAAGTCATCATCAAACATTTTGCACTGTTGTTCGTTTGGTTTCTGAGACATGCCCAGTAAGTTATTTCCGAACACTGTGTTGCACCGCATGCAGCAAGAATGTGTTACAGTTTCCATGCCTGCTTCTGCATTCTAGATCGAGGCTGAAGTTTTGCTTTTGTTTTTAAATTCCGCTGTTTTACAGAATTAACAGAAGAAATCCCGGGACAAGACAGTGCATTACTTGTTATTTAAGAAAAGAAAGATGCCAGTACTATGCAGCAAGTTTCAGTTACAATGCCAACTATTATGCTTTGCTCTGTTACGGTATGTGAAATGTGTGGAACTATTACATCCTCATTGTTCTCTCAGGAACCCATCAGGTATTTCTGCTTCAAAGCACCTTATTAATAAATGGAACATTACAGGTGCCGTTATATGTATACTTAACTGAGTAAAAGCCCCAGGGAGCAAAAGAACACTTATTTCAGTGTGAATTTGCACAGGGCTTCATAATTAATTACATTTATTGCAAACCTTTCCTCAAGTTGGCACACATGGGTCTCAAACAAGCCCCATTTTTTATCCTCACAACAGTCCTGTGAGGTTAACCAAGTTCAAAGAATGTAATTGGCCCAGTGAGCTTTATGGCCAAGTGGGAATTTGAGTAAGTCCTGGTTGAATTCAGTAGGGCTTAATCTCAGAGGAGTTAGGACTGCAGCCTTTGTCTAACACTACCATGCCGGCTCTCCATGCTTTGAAGAGATCTAGAAGATTTTGAACTAGGATATTCCAAGCTTTGAATTAGGATATTGTGTGCCTTTAGATCTCAGTTCTGCCATGAAATCCTTAGGTAGCCATTTTTTGTCTCAATCCTGCCCCCCGCCCCTTGTAATTTTGAAGATAATATTACTGGCCTACTTTACAAGGTTGTTGTAATGATTGCAGCTGAATGCTCAAAAGCACTCTATAAATGGTTGCAGTGTTGATGGGAAGTTGTAACACTGAAATCAATTCTGCATTTTCAAACTTAAAGCACAGTTGGGAATGAAATTGCTTCCTAACTTTGTTCACAAATTCTGAATATCAGTAACTGATCCACAAAGTTGGTGCTAGATCCATTTTCTAAGCGTTACATAACCCAATTCTAGGCAAGTTTATTTGGCTGTAGGTCCCATCAAGTTCAGTGGGACTTAATCACCCAAATAAGTGAAGCTGGCCCTGCCATTAGGCAAAGGAAGGCACTCACCTCAGGCAGCAGATACTAGACGGCAGGGACCAGCAATAAACCACTGTGTGTATGTACCTTCTAAGCCAGGCATAGGCAAACTCAGCCCTCCAGATGTTTTGAGACTACAATTCCCATCATCCCTGACCACTGGTCCTGTTAGCTAGGGATGATGGGAGATGTTGTCCCAAAACACCTGGAGGGCCGAGTTTGCCTATGCCTGTTCTAAGCGATCCTGTATCCTTTAGATGTGATGGAGGATGCTTCCACATCACCAGTGTTGCAGTAAGTTTCAACTCCCAGTCTGGTCAGTTTCCATGCATGGAATGGGAGCGGGGCACCATCTTGTTGTTTGCCTCAAAATGTAGCAAAATGCCTTGAGCCAGCCCCACGAGAAAGTGTGCATAAAACAGCAACCTGAATCCTTGTGGGGGTAGAATGTTTTGGGTGGGGGCAGTAGACTGAGGTCTGCTAACCAACACTGCAACTTTGTTGGCACAAGGGACTTCTGAGTATGCAACAGAACCGCCCCATCCTCTTCTGTCCCCTTAAGCAGCCCCTCACAGGGCATGACCTCCAGATTGGCTCCAGAGTGTTGGAGAGCCTTCCAGAACAGATTCTGGGGGACGCAGGGAGGACAGAGAGAAGTCCCATTGCTGTACCAGTGAACCTCTGCTGGTGCAGCAATGGATACAAATCTGAGAACTGGTTGAACGCCCCACTTCCCCTGAAATTCTACAGACCCTGAGATATGAGGCAACATGTCATTGTCTTCCCTTCTTTGTGAGAAACTAGCCTGCTTTCACTTTTCAGAGTTTCAGTATGCTTCTTGTGTGGAATCTTGTCTCCACACTTTGCATTGGGAAGGAGTGGGGCAGCTTATAATGACAGCAGTATATAATTTTTTTCATAAATGGTTCTGTTAACAGACTAAATTACTAGTAGGAAAATTTAAGATCATGCATATAAGGGCTAGAACAATCTAATTCATTACATGATTGTTTAAACTGTAAAAGCTTGGAGGTTTGACCTCCAAGGCACTGTAATTCACTTTCAGTCCTCCTAACCAGAGAAGGCAGAAACAAATTGCCGACACGAAAGAAGGCTGTAGCCTTCCATTATTTTAATGAGTAGCTCTTGGCATGTCAAGTTTTAAGTTGTTATGAGCCATGTGACGTTTTATTTGATGGAGTCGGCGAAGGGGGAAAGATCCATCCAGAGGGTTTCTGTGTTAATTTCTGAAATAAGCTCAACCAGGTTTGCTCTCATGGAACCGTATCCAAAAGCATCACAAAGTCTAACCAAAATGACTCATTTGGTGTTTAATGAAGCGTAGAGATCAAGCGTTAAGTAGTAGATCTGGATGTGTACAGGTTGATGGATGAGTACGGAACACATGAAACTGCTCACAAGGCAGAAATATCGCCATGACGGTAGCCATGGGATCATGCTAAGGAGAAAATAGCTACTCCGATCAGTGTTTTATGATCTGGACCGGATGCTCAAGCGTGCAAATAATAGAGTTCCCCCCTTGCTAAGCAAAGAACCAAACATAACAAAATGATAATGCCTTTCAATCATCCTTGCCAAGGATGTTATCGCACAGGAAATGTGCTCACCTTGAGAAATGAGTTCCGACAACTTCTCCGGATCCTTTTGTGCATGGGTAATTTGGGGCACAGCTTATGTAACTATTAGCTGGGCATCACTTCATCTGCGAGAGCAAAGAGATTCTCTGAAATATGTAAAGGTTAACATTTCTTTGTTTCCCCAGCAGCGCTTCTGGCACAGGTGCCGTTTATGCCAACGTGACACCAAACATAGTTATTCAGCCACTCTTGCTATGCACTGCGCTATCGTTTAATACCAATAGCAATCATGGCATTTACAGGGTTAAAGTAAGAGGCAGGCTCCTGGTTTGGAGGTGCCTATGATTTAAAGGTGCAACGAAATAAGAGGGGGAGAAGCGGGGGGGGGGGCGGGGGAAAGATTGTCAACAAATATGTTTGCAGGACTCCTTTGTGTGAGAATGCAAGTGAGGAAATGGTCATTTCAGGGCCCAGTAGAGTTGTATGATGTCAGCACTGTGAATTTGGCATTGGAGCCGCAGGGAGATGAGGAAGGAGAATGTAACTCTTCCCCTCCACACATAGTCCTGTCAAAAAATCTTCTCTTTCCAAAGCTGCAATCATCAGGAGGGATAGCAATGGAGGTTGTGGTCCTAATGAAAATTGAAGCCGTGTGTGTGTGTGTGTGTGTGTGTGATTTTTGTCAGGACCACATGGGGTTAACCCCCCCCCCAGCTCACTTATATAAAGAGCAGCTGCAGGGAAGTCCAAACACCACAGGGAGATAGATAGATAGATGATAGATAGATAGATAGATAGATAGATAGATAGATAGATAGATAGATAGATGATAGACAGACAGATAGATAGATAGATAGATAGATAGATAGATAGAGTTTAGGTTCACATTTTGGCTCTGGAGCCTCACTAGAGAAGAGCCGTACTGATACCCTTATACCAGTATCTTAACTTCTACATCTTCTTTTACTGTTTGTCCTTTCTCCCATCCCTGGAGAAGCCTAGAAATCGTAGTTTGTAAAGTGCTAAGAAAGAATGCTAGGAACCATTTCACTCCTGGGAACTAATAAATAAAATAAATAAACCTTTATTGTCACTACACCACCTGTGTGCAGTGAAATTAAACGAACCCCCACACCCCACATACATTTGCACTCTGTGTGCTTGTCGGAAATCAATTGCACCACTATTTTTCCCCGTGCGGCAGGACATCTTCCTCCTTCTGTTGCTTCCTACAGCTCCCTACACACACACACACACAGAGAGAGAGAGAGAGAGAGAGAGAGAGAGAGAGAGTGTTATGTAGGGGTTGTGGTGGTGAGGGACCTTTCAGAACAGATTTCAAAAGAGTTACTGAAGATTGCAGGACCCTCCAGAATGCATGCAATATAGCTGGATGTGGCAGGAAGGAAGAATTGATTAACGTTGCCGTGTGTGTGTGTGTGTGTGTGTGTGTGTGTGTAAATATAAGTGCTTTCTGCTGGTGTACATATAAATACTGCCACCCTAACACCCAAAGCTCCTTAGCATCTTACATATTAATACTGTCTGTGATGAATAAAAGAGGAACATGTTACATGCAAGTATCTAGCCAACAAAATTTGTGCTATTTTCAGAAGTAATAATTCTGGGGTGGTGGGTGGGGGTTTTTTTTTTTGCAGTTCTTGTTTCTTTCAATGTCAATTCTCTTTTTCTTCCAATCCCCATCGCAGGTCCAGGCATTCCCATTTCTACTATTTATGAGAGCAGATATGACAGAGGTATCTTTCACTATGCATGTTTGTGTACCCTGTTGATTGGTTTAAATTTAGATCCACGGTGTACAATTAAAGCACATTTAAAGCAAAGAATCATGGGAACTGTAGTTTACGCATCCCAGAGCAACAAGTCCCAGCACCCTTTAACAAGCAACAGTTCCCAGGATTCTTTAGGGGCAGCCTTAATGTGCTTTTAAACCTACTGAAATCCTATGCACTCTTACCCATGACTAAGTCCCTATTACAATCAAATATAGGAACAGGCTATAAAGCTAAAGATGAAGACATTTCGAGTTTGATCTCAAAGCATTTTTAGTACATTCACAGGCAGAAAATCTGATTAGATACAGTACATGTGCTCTGCCTGTTTTATATACCTGGCATTTGTTAAGAATTTTTTAAAAAGCATTCATTAAACAAACGTTCTACCCACCTGCCTTCTTTTTCCCTTCACTGTTTATTCTGCTTCAAGTGTTATAGTAATTAACATTATAGCATGCAATCAGCATGTGTAGAAACATTTCTTCTGGGCAGAATGAGCACGTGCGTTGATGGGGGATGGCATCGCATGTGCAGACCTTCGCCTATTCATTTCAATAGCATGCATCAGTTCAGTTCAGATATTGAAACAGACATGTGCAGGGTGGGGTGGAAGCTGACACCATGATACCATCTCCTTGCATATTTGCTCTACCCAGAACTGATGGCCCATGGTGAAGAAAGGCCAGGGTTTCATACACAGCCAGATATATAAGCAGCCAGTTGTGGATTTTCCAGATACTTTCTACCGGCCATCCGCTTTATTATGGTCATTCGTCTTGTGCATTTTGTCTTTCTCCCTCTTTGAGGATCAGGCTGTACATTAGCCCCTGTTAGAAGACAGGCGGGTGGCCTATTTGCCTGCCTTTAAACTTATTTGCCTGCCTTTAAACTTAGGGGACGCGGGTGGCGCTGTGGGTTAAACCACAGAGCCTAGGGTTTGCCGATCAGAAGGTTGGCGGTTCGAATCCCCACAACGGGGTGAGCTCCCATTGCTCGGTCCCTGCTCCTGTCAACCTAGCAATTCGAAAGCACGTCAAAGTGCAAGTAGATAAATAGGTACCACTCTGGCGGGAAGGTAAATGGCGTTTCTGTGCGCTGCTCTGGTTCGCCAGAAGCGGCTTAGTCATGCTGGCCACATGACCTGGAAGCTGTACGCCAGCTCCCTTGGCCAGTAAAGCGAGATGAGCGCTGCAACCCCAGAGTCGGTCACGACTAGACCTAATGGTCAGGGGTCCCTTTACCTTTACCTTAAACTTATACTAGAAAAATGTAACCTGTGCCGTTAATAAAGATAGAGCAACTTGTGCAGCACGTTGGCGATAAATATTCACACAGTTGTTCAAAAATAATTTTACACCATTTATTAAATATGTGAGAAAGACAATTACTTACAAAGTGCCATGAAAACTTACAAACGACCTAAAATAAAGTGAACTTGCAATATCAGATTTTACTAGGTTCTTACAAATTCTTGATTCAGTTTTTCGTTTTTTCTTGTTTTTTAAATAAGTTCAAGAAGATTCAAGAAAAGGGTAAGTTCAGCGTTGTTCCCAGTAGCTGTGAGGTGCTGATGAGGCAGCGTACGAAGTAATAAAGAAGGCAGGGTGATTTGTTGACGGATAGCACACTCCCTGAGCATAGTTTTCTGACATGAGACAACTGAAGAAGGCCAGAAAACTGTGCTCAGGGAGTGTGCTATTCACCAACCCCAACAAATCAGCCCCATCGGGGGCGAAACAGCAGCCTCCCAACTGCATGGATTGCTAGGGCAAAATGGGGATAGAACGCTGACACCCTGTCTTCTTCTCACAGCTACCAGGAACAACATTGAACTTACCCTTTTCTTGAATCTTCTTGAACTTGTTTAAAAAAACAATTAAAAAAACAAAAAACTGAGTCAAGAATTTGTAAGAACCTAGTAAAATCTGATGTTGCAAGTTCACTTTATTTTAGTTCGTTTGTAAGTTTTCATGGCACTTTGTAAGTACAGTAATTGTCTCTTTCTCACATATTTGATAAATGGTGTAAAATTATTTTTGAACAACTGTGTGAATATTTGTCGCCAACATGCTGTACGAGTTGCGCTGCCTTTAAACTTATATCAGTCTAAGCATTGCCCTGCCTGCAAAACTAAGTCAGTTGTTAAGTTTTCTGGTATTTCCTGTTCATGATTACACTGGAAATCTTCTGGTATTTCATGACCAGGAAGTGGTTTCCCTAAGTGCTGGGTAAGGGGGAGAGTTTTACTGTCAATGTAATCTAGCTGTAACTGTTTTGCTATGTATGTGCTAGCACTGTCTGGTGTTATCTTAGGTCATACATCTGTAGCATAGGGCAATCTAAAATTATATACAGATCCTCGGGGGCGGGGAAGTGAGCTCCTTTAACTAATCAATTGATGGAACACATTAAACATTTCAGGTACTTAATCCTATTACTTCATTACTTAATAGATTTTTGAACGTTTTCTTTCAAAGACTACCACTTCCGTCTCCCAGCTCTTCTACATAACACATCTCTTTCCTGCTCAAACCCCAGAGAGCAAGTATAGGCAAGTCCCAGATGTCTTGGGACTACAACTCCCATCATCCCTGACCACTGGTCCTGTTAGCTAGGGATGATGGGAGTTGTAGTCCCAAAACACCTGGAGGGCTGAGTTTGCCTATGCCTGCCAGAGAGGGTTTAAAAACACTCTGTCAAGCACTACAACCCAGCAATAAATCCCAACTCAGCAATAGATGTTATCATAGATCCAAGGAGGTATAGTCCCAGCAAATATTTTCCTATTTTCTCCTCCATAGAAGAGAACACTCTGTTACTGCTAAAACCACACAGATGCTTGCTATTTGCATACAGGATATTCACTTATACACATGACCTTAGCAGATTTGACATGTATTCTCTATTTGTGTCCTGTCACGTAATAATTAGATTGCAACCATACTCGGTTGTTCTTGTACCGTTTCTAAAAATTATTTTAGCTTTCTTTTTTGAGGATATGTCTGCAAAATGTCATAGGACCAACTTGGAAGGAGGTTCAGAAATCAGCAATGATGCTAACAAGAACGCTAACCAATGGCAAATGTATTGTGAATCTAAATTTTCATCTATGTAGAAATTCGAATTTTGGAAGACAATAGGGATTTGGAATCTTCTCTGCAAAAGATCAGCATGCCTACCACAGATTTTGACAAACTTGAAGTGGATGGTATAAGTAAGTACAATCGACTATGTATCCTCCCCTTTTGCTTTTACATTATGCGTGACAAGGGAAGTAGTGGCTATGGTAGGTATTTAAAGGCTTCATGTTTGGTAACTGTGGTCCTTTCCAGACTGCCAAGGATTCAAGGATTCAATCACCTACCAGAAATGCAAGTTGGTGCAATTGAAGTGGATTAAAGCATTCTGTCACCCTGACTCAACAAACCCACTTTTTTTCTTTTTTAAAGAGACTTCTTGCAATTGAGAAAGTGATGGGAAATTGCACTGAAAAGTGTGGGATGTAGGAAGATGTATAACCACAGTACAAGCAAAACAGGATGAATGCTCTTTGTCATATACTTTCCCTGCAAAGAAATCAGAACGAATGTTTAGTAATAAGTAGACATAGGGTTCATACACACATCTGCTTGTGCCCTGACTAGAAAGCATGGGTTCGACCATTTTCTCCCTTGCCCTGCTCCTTCCTAAGAGAAAACCCGCTCTTTAGAGATAGATTGGAACAAATGGCAATCTGGGGAAAGCCCAAATTGCTGTTTGTTCCGACTGAGCCTTAAAGAGTGGTTTTATCTAGGGGAAAGAGGAAGTGTGGAGAAGCCCATAGTCTAACCCCCACATAAGCTTTGTGCAGGCAAATCAGGGTAAATGACGCATAAGCAGGCCATCTGAAGGAGCCCCATAGCTGCACAGAAATATGGCAGTTTGCCACCTTGAGCAGTGCAAGACGCCTAACGTGACTGGAATGCTGTGCACAGTCCTGATTGCCCCACACCCAGAATGATATTGTAGGAAATGGCAGCCAAAACTATCAAGAGGCTAGAGCAGCTCCCTTGTGAAGAAAGGCCTTTTTAATTTAGAAAAACAACAACTGGCAGGAAGGGGGCATGGTGGAGGTATGTAGAATGATGCCTATTGTGGAGAAAGTGGACACAGAGACATCTTTTCTCCCTCATAGTACTAGAACTTGAAGGAAAGGTCACTCTATGAAACTTAATGCACCAGTGATTCGGAAGAGACCTCCCCACCCCAAACTACTTCTTCACAAAATGCACAATTCCTTTGCAGAATTCGCTATCACGAGATGCACGATGGATCTTCTTCATTCGCTATTTGTAATCCCCTCTCTCCCTCTCCCTCTCTCTTCAGCCTTGTGGTACAAAATGGTGCTCCCTCCACGGTTTGATAAATCCAAGAAGTATCCCCTTCTCATACAGGTGTATGTAAAATTGTGTTTATTTATCATTGCTTGCTTCCTTTCTTTAACATAACTTTGCTTTATTTGGGTGTCCCTTAACAATTATTGTCAAATACGCTCACGGCTAGTGACCATAGAGTAGTAAAATATCTTTAAGTTATAAGATCAGGCCTGGTGAACCTCAGGTCTGAGGGCCACTTTTATTTGGTCCTTGGGACTCTACTTCCCAAGCTACATCTCTGCCCAAGGCTAAGCCCCTCACCAGCCTTGCTCTGCGTCTACCTCAAGTGCTTTTGCCTGGTTGGAAGGTGTTTCTGAAGTGTGATAATGCCAGTTGTCTGCCTGGATAGAGAATGGGAGGGTGGGAACCTCAGTTGTTTTCCATCCCTTGACTATAGCCTCCTATATACTCACTTTCCTCCCCTGCCCCCACCCTCTGTCATGCATTCCCCAGCAGGTTCCTACAAGGGAATGTGACTGGGGCTGATGGGAGCTGGAGTAATCTGGAGCGCCCCGGGTCCCCCAGCCCTGTGTTAGGCAATGCAGTGTGACAAAACACCTTACCTAGTAACAATATATTATGTACCACAATATAGAAACAAAAAGGAAGGCAACGTGCCCAAGCCCTCTCAGGTGTGAACCTGAGCAATACCATTTTGCCTAGGCTCTGTATTTGTCAAAGATTTATTTTTTTTGGCCACCATTTCCTTTTGCTTTTTTCTTTAATAAAAGGGAGTGTTTTGTAGTCCATTGTGCTGAATTTGAGATTCTGTGAATTTTCGCTGCAGGTACGGAGGACCTTGCAGTCAAAGCGTGAAACACACGTTTGGGGTTAGCTGGACGACCTACCTTGCGAGCAAAGAAGAGATTGTGGTGGCTTTCGTGGATGGAAGGGGGACGGCCTTCCAAGGAGATGAAATGTTATACGCGGTCTATCGGAAACTTGGGGTTTATGAAGTTGACGATCAGATCTCAGCTGTAAGGTAAGGGAAAGAGTGCAGTTCTGCAAACCTACAGTGCAAGCCTCTAGGAGAAAGGACTTTGTGGCTTCTTTTTTTCTTTTTTTTTAAAAGATATTTATTAAGATTTTCAGAATATTACAAAACATAAAAAGAAAAAAGAAAAATACAAAGTAAAAATAGTTAAAAACAATTCCTTCCTTCCGTTACTTAGCCTTCATTTGCTTATTTCCAGGACCTCCTCGCACCTCCCTTTTTTGTATTCCAGTTCGGTTGTTAGTTCAACAAATCCCTCCCCTCTTTATGTATCCTAATCATTAATCATAAAATATTGTAATTTTAAATTTTTACATATTAATAAACCATTTTTTCATGTTCCCTTATAACATTTCAGCTAAAGACCACTTAGTTTCTGTCCAACATCATTCTAACATTCATTAATTTTGCAATATTTCTGTAGATAGTCTTTAAACTTCTTCCAATCTTCTTCCATCGACTCTTCTCCCTGGTCTCGGATTCTGCCAGTCATTTCCGCCAATTCCATATAGTCCATCTGTGTGGCTTCTGTATAGTGCCGATATAGCTCTCGTTGCTAGACAAATGTGGCATCTTAAATATTAGATGCATATAGTCCAGCATCCTATTCTCTCAGTGGCCAACTAGATACCCATGGGAAGCCCACAAACAGAATCTGAGAGCAACAACATTCTCCCCACCTGCGCTTCCTAGCAACTGATGTTCACTGGTATACAGCAGTGGAGGTAGCACATAGGAGCTGAAAGTAATAGATTCTCCAGGAATAAGTAGCTCTATTCTCCATGAATTTGTCTGAATTTTCTTAATTATCATGCTAGTTCAAATTTCATTCTCTTCTGGGAACATTACAAAGAACACCTTGAATTTAGATATACTAACAAACATCAGGGTGTTCTTTTCATGCATGAGGTACTTGGTCACTTGTTTGCGGATGCAGCAATGTTTTTTGCTTGTTCCCACACTCATCATCCGTTATCACCGAGCAAATAATCCCATTTTGGCAAAATGAGCATTACTTGATGAAAGAGGTTGCTTCTGGACCCAGCTTTCCCACTGAAGTGGGGCCTAGAAGCAGCTGTGACTGTTACAACAGCAGTGGTCATTCCTGGATTGGGAGAGCTTGACCAAAGTAGTTCAGGCATTGGTGACTTCAGTAATGATTTCCTGCAATGCACTGTATGTGGGGCTTCCGTCGCACTTTACCCAGAAACAGCAGTTAGGGCAGAATGCTGCAGCACTGATGCTGACAGGAGTGAGACCCTATTAGCATATAACAGCTCAACTCAGAGATTTTCACTGCTTGCCGATTTGTTACTGGGCCAAGTTCAAGGTTTTACCATTGGTATATAAAGCCCTTAATGGTTTGGGACAAGTTTACTTGCAATATTACCTTACAACATATACGTACATTCGACCACTTCAGTCTGCGGAAGTGGCCCTGCTACAGGGTGCCACGTATTACTAATTCTGCAGTTGAAACAAATCAGTCTTTTACACCTTGGAACTCCCTGCCTGTTGATACCTTTATTCTGCTCTTCTCGTTGCCCGCCTAGACATGTAGTAATTGCATCTGTTTTAGCTTATTGTTGATCTTAATTGTTTATCAGTTTTTGAATGTTTTTAACTGTCTTTTATAAACCATTTAATATTATGTCTTATCTTATTGGTGAACCTCTTTGAATTTTTTATTTTATTTTATTTTTTACAATCCGTTGGTAAAAGGGCTTTGCAAATGATGTAGGGTTGCTTGTGAATGGCAGAGTCGGAAATAGAACCCATGAACTCTGGTCTCCAACACCTGTGATCTATATACCTGATAACATGCCTATCTAAACAGGTTTTATCTCTCCTGTCCTCTTTCTGCTTATTGACTCTTCCATTTCCTCTTCATATCAAGAATCATGTTGCTTTAACCTCACTTTAAAAAAACAACCAGCAACAAAGATTGACACAGATGAGACGTTACACTATTTTGAGCCCCACAGCCATCACTTACTTGCTTTTCTATTGCACTGCGCAAGAACGCCTTGTTTTATAGTAACCATAAAACTTATGAATTGGCTTTAATTGCTCTAAAGTGTTCAGATACAACAGAAGATGTGGCGGGTGCCCATCCAACTAGGTTAAGCTAAAACCAAGCTGTTCTTCTGTTCGTTCATTCATTCATTTAATTTGGGAAATTTATAGACAACTAAACATTAGCAGATATCGTAATGGTGTGCAACATTAAAAATACAAGAGAGACTGGAAACATTTCCCCCCCAAAAAACAGAAAAATCTGAGACTGCCCACATCTGTTGGCAGTCTGCTGTAAAAAGTTTGTGTGTGTGTGTGGAACTGGTTCAGCTTGCTGCAAAATAAAAATAAAAGGAAAAATATATCTGAAACCATGCATTCAATTGACTTCAGTTGTTGGGGCCCAGTGTGCATTCAGTGTGGTTTGCACTAGAATGGTGGCAGCTTTTCAGCTCCAAATCTGCAAGCAAACAGGTAACTGCAAAGGCCAAGAACTCGGACAGAGAATGCTGTGGCAAGAGAAATTTGCTGAGTCTCTCCACCTGTTCTGAATTGCCCACGTGCTCTGTGGGGGCTCCTCCTCAGGGAGGTTGATGAGGTTCCTGGTGTGAAAATGGCCTTGTTTGTTTTTCTTTGAAATTTGGCTTCCTCAAGTTTTTATTTTGTAATAATAATTTAAAACAGCAAGCCGCAGACTGGGGAATAGTAAACAGCTGCTTGACCTACTTGTTTCTGCCGTTCTGTCATTTCCTTTTCTTCTTTAACCACTTGCCCTCTCATAGCTTGTCTTTAGCTATTATTATTTTTTACATTTTTCATGGAACTGGCTGCTGCTTTAAGAGAATGTGTCAAATCAACCCCCTTTGGCACCTGCCCACAACTCCATTTAGATATAGCACACTACACCATGGTCTTAGGAATGCAATCTGCAGTCATTTTGGTTCTCTTCAAGCTCAAAAACTACAGACGAAATCACTAGGATTCAAAAACAATAGCAAAGGCTATTGATGAAAATAACAATACAATATGTTGCAATGTTGATACATAAAAGCACATGTGGAATAAGCTCGTATTGTAGCCAAAAATAGACTGACAATACAGAATTACCCTCTGAGGTGGAATCTGGAATGAATGCACTAGAGTTGTTGTCTAGTTCTCTGCATTGTATATTGTTTTTGTTGCTTTCTCAAAACCAACTTAGAAATGAAGACATTCTTGTGGTTGGCAGCTGGAGAAAACCCCCCTAGATTATCTGATGTAAATAATCCCAAGTAATTTAGCCGGCAAAACTCTCCAAAATATTGTTTATTGGTTCTCCAGAAGCTGTAATGCAAAATACTGTAATTTGCTTTAAGTTGCCAGCTATCTTCCCTGTCTGAGCTCTCTTTAAGTAGCTTTCAGCCTGCATTTATGTTCCTCATTCTTTTAGCTAGAGAGCTACAAATATGCACAATGCTTTCCCCTTGTTCATTACTGAGTTACTCAGAGGAAAAGTTTTAGTCTTGTGCAAATCAGCTGTGTAGGATTGCTGGGAGAGACTAAGTTGCCTAAAGCCATTCATAATAGATGGGTCAGGTTTTCAGCTTGGGATTCTCCTCACGGTAGCCACTGTCCTGCGCTGGAAAATACCAGAGCAAAAGGGTTTCGAGCATGTCCTAAGATGGGTGGATATTTGGGGTCTGTTTATTACAAGGGTGGGCAACATGAAGTCTTTGTCTTAATTTCATGTGTGTGGCTAGGAGGTGAAAAGAGAGGTGACAAAAAGAGAGGAAAGTGAGTGGCAGAAAGAGAGGACTTTTCATGAAGACTTTAAAAAACAATAATAATTACAAACTCATGTTGAAATATCAAGCTATTTAGAGCTTTATAGGTCATAACTACTGATTTGAATTATTAATGGTATAAGGCTTGATTGATTTTGAATCAGGCTTTGGATAATAATAATAATAATAATAATAATAAATTTTATTTATATCCCGCCCTCCCCAGCCAAAGCCAGGCTCAGGGCGGCTAACAACAAATAAATAATCAAACAATTAAATAGTCCAACATTCTAAAACATTTCATTATAAAAATTAATTAAAATCAAATTAATGGCAACCGTTGAGCAAAGTTCTGTGTAGGTTGCCGGAGGTGGGAGTCAGGCTGGGCCCTGACCAAAGGCCTGGTGGAACAACTCTGTCTTGCAGGCCTTGCGGAAAGATGTCAGGTCCCGCAGGGCCCTAGTCTCTTGTGACAGAGCGTTCCACCAGATTGGAGCCGCAGCCGAGAAAGCCCTGGCTCTAGTTGAGGCCAGCCTAACCTCTCTGAGGCCTGGGACCTTCAGGATGTTTTTATTTGCAGACCGTAGGTTCCTCTGTGGGGCATACCAGGAGAGGCGGTCCCGTAGGTACGAGGGTCCTAGGCCGTATAGGGCTTTAAAGGTTAAAACCAGCACCTTAAACCTGATCCTGTACTCCACCGGGAGCCAGTGCAGCTGGTATAGTACCGGATGAATGTGATCTCGCAGCGAAGACCCCATAAGGAGTCTCGCCGCGGCATTCTGCACCCGCTGGAGTTTCTGGGTCAGTCTCAAGGGCAGCCCCACGTAGAGCGAGTTACAATAATCCAGTCTGGAGGTGACCGTCGCGTGGATCACAGTGGCTAGGTCAGGGCGAGAGAGATAAGGGGCCAACTGCTTAGCTTGGCGGAGATGAAAAAATGCCGCCTTTGTTATAGCTGTAATCTGCGCCTCCATAGAGAGGGAGGTATCGAAGATTACACCCAAACTCTTAACGGACGGTGCTGGCACTAATTGCACCCCGCAAGAGATGGGAGTTGCCCCCAATCCCATATCGTCCCGTCCCAGCCAGAGGACCTCTGTCTTCGAAGGATTTAACTTCAACCGGCTTCCGCGTAACCATCCAGCCACAGCTTCCAAACATCTGGTCAGTGTGTCTGGGGCCGAGTCAGGATGGCCATCCATCAACAGATAGAGTTGGGTGTCATCGGCATACTGATGGCAACCCAGCCCAAAACTCCGGACAAGCTGGGCGAGGGGGCGCGTAAAGATGTTAAAAAGCATCGGGGAGAGTATCGCACCCTGAGGCACTCCACACACCAAGGAGTGGCGGGATGACACTTCCCCCCCAAGCGCCACCCTCTGTCCCCGACCGGAGAGAAACGAGCGCAGCCATTGAAGGACTGTGCCCTGGATCCCCACGTCGGCAAGGCGGTGGTCCAGGAGTTCGTGATCAACCATGTCGAAGGCTGCTGACAGATCTAGAAGAATCAGCAGCCCCGACCCGCCTCGATCCAGCTGCCTACGGAGATCATCTGTTAGGGCGACCAGAGCCGTCTCGGTCCCATGACCAGCGCGGAAGCCAGACTGGAATGGATCTAGAGCCGATGTTTCATCCAGAAACCTACCAAGCTGTTCAGCAACCGCTCTCTCAATCACCTTACCCAGGAATGGAAGATTCGAAACCGGGCGGTAATTGGATAGATCTAAGGGATCTAATGATGTTTTCTTTAAGAGCGGGCGCACCACTGCCTCCTTCAATTCCCCTGGAAATATCCCGGTGCCTAGGGACAAATTGATGATATCCCCCAGGGGGGCCCGCACCTCGTCTGGACACGCTCTAATCAGCCAAGACGGGCACGGGTCAAGAGGACAGGTGGTGGGCTTTCCAGCTCGGAGGAGTCTGTCCACATCGGCTGGGGATATCCGATCAAAGTGGTCCAATACTGGACCCGAGGACAGTCGAGGGGCCTCCAGTTCCTTTATTGTATCCAAATTGGCAGGGAGGTCATGGCGGAGCAACAGGACCTTCTCCGCAAAAAAGCTTCGCAAACGCCTCACAGCTATGTGTCAGATTGTTATTTAAATTTGGCTGTCCTTCAAGGGACGTTAAAGACCTAATTATACTAAATAATTGCGCCGGGCGAGAGCTAGCGGATGCAATGGAGGCCGAGAAGTAAGACTTCTTAGCGGCCTTCACCGCCATCTCATAGGTTTTCATAAAAACCCTATAAGATGTTCTTGAGGCTCCGTCACGGGCACCCCGCCATACTCGCTCTAGCCGTCTGAGGTCCCGCTTCATTTTCCGAAGCTCCTCGGTAAACCAGGGAGCCCGGTTTCTGCGGAGTCGCAGAGGGCGCTTAGGTGCGATCTCATCTATGGCTGCCAGGAGCTGGGTATTCCAGCCCTCAACAAGCTCAGTCAATGAGTCGCCAGGGGGAGCAAGGTCCCGCAAGGCTTGACGGAATCTATCAGGGTCCATCAGCCTCTGCGGGCGAGCCCAAATCGGCTCGCCACCTAAGCAGGGTGGGGGTGGAAAGTCAATATGCTTTGATAATTTCCATGTTAAATTACCATCATCACAGTACCTTGCTCTTCATGAAAACTGAGTCAGTATTTGAAATTGAGTACACCAAGTATTTTATAGCATAACTTTCTTGCAAGCGTATGCGACAAGAGGAGTAGATCAGTTCTAAGATAACCAGGGTTCCTCATCACATCCAAACATAGCGAGCCCCAGTTTGATCCTGGCTTGTATGAATTTAAGATGCAACGGGGGAATTCTGGTTAGTTTAAATTAAAACCAGAAGCTTTCAGTCTCCTCCTCCTGCAGCACAGCAGAAGACGACGGGGAAGAGTACTGAGCCTCCCCATAATGCCCTAAACTATTGTGTCATGTTACTATCCAAAGTGTCCCATTGTGTGCAGCACTGCTAGTTTCAAACCCCAGTTTAAATCATAGAGCGTATGAACTCATTAGAGCAATAACCATAATTTTCTGCTGCATAACAACAACAACAAATCTTAATGGAACCCCAAAATATTCAAAAACAAAAGCTATTTAATCACCTTTGTTTTTTGAACTAACGAAACATCATTTTCCCCCCTTTTGAACAGAAAGTTTATAGACATGGGATTTATTGACGAAAAAAGGATAGCCATATGGGGATGGGTATGTATACTTTTTTTAAAAAGCTTGTTTAACCTTGTTCTGCTTACAGCTCCTTTTGTAAATGCCTTGGTGAAGCACATGGAGGTTTCTTATGCATGGGCCCCCCTTTGTTCATCCTTCTCCATGGGACATCTAGACTGTTGCATGTCTGTAATATATTCTAGATTTAATCACCACCCCAGCTGTGTCAACACTCTCCTTCCTCTGGGCTTGATTCTTTATGAGATTCTGAGATAATGCTGAACCATAGTTTAGCATTATGAGAATGAGCATAGATGAGGTTTGTGATCACATGCTTTCCCTTCCTCCTCTGGTGTGGCTGACAGCTTTGAAAGCTTTTTGCTTCCATTTTAGACATCATGATGGCCAAACCTGGGCAAACTGTAATCTAAATGTGCTTCATGCATCTAAACCAGGGGTCAGCAACCCGCGGCTCCGGAGCTGCATGTGGCTCTTTTACACCTTTGCGGGGCGGATACTAGCGAGGGGAGGAGGCGCATTGTGTGCCCCGATACTCCCCACTGTTTTAAATGTCGCAATGGTTTTGTGGCTCCCAGTTGTTTTTTCTTCGGTCCAAGTGGCTCTTTTTGTCTTAAAGGTTGCAGACCCCTGAAAACATATCATCTCTTTTTGTCAAGGACTTCTGCTTGAGCAATGGAACTTCATCTCTCTCTCCCTCTCCCCCTGCACATCTGTTCCAGAGGGTTGGAGGGGAAACCCAAAACAGAATGGGTCCGAGTGGTTTTCTGTTTCCCTGCCACTTTCCCTGGGAAAACCTACTCTTTAGCTCTGAATCGGAACAAACGTCAATCTGCAGAGAACCCGATTGTCACTTGCTCTGATTCAGCAGTGAAGATTGGGTTTTCCCGGGGGAAAGTGGTGGAACAAGCACAAGTCTGGATGAGCCTATTATGATTTAATGGCAGTTTGTTAAACCTAGGATGAACAATTCCCCATCACGATCCAGTACAGAGCCTGAAGACTTAAGTCAGTTGCTGGCCAACAATTAATTTCAAGTCTCTGATGATTTCCATTTTGTTAACGTTACTTAGTCTCTGATTATCTCCCAAGAAGTGTTACGGTCTCACTCTCTTCAGCTGTGCTCTTTCGCCAGGAAAAATTATCTTAGGTCTGTCACTGCTTGTTTTTCCTGTTTTTCTTCCTTGGCCTGGATTCCCATAAGAGCAGCTTGCCCAGAAGCACAATACAGGACAGAGTAAACTTGTTGGTATTGGATATGTTGGAGGTCAAACTATTTTATTTTATTGTTTTGATGCCGAGTGCTTATATTAACAAACTTTGATTTATTTTATTTATTGGGCTGATGGCCAACGTTGACATAGCTATAGGCGTCCTCTTCTAGCAGGGTGTGATTGAATGATGCTATGGATAAGGTATTCTGAAGTTGGGCTTAGTATCTGGGAAATAGTGGGTGGGAAACAGTGGTGGGTGTACATGCTGTGTTTGCTAAGCTCACCCAGTCCCGAGAAAACCCAAGGGAAAGTAGCATAAATAACATAGGAAGAACATGTTTCTTTCCCCCGGGAAAGTTCATAAAATACAGTGGTACCTTCGGTTACATACGCTTCAGGTTACAGACGCTTCAGGTTACAGACTCCGCTAACCCAGAAATAGTACCTCAGGTTAAGAACTTTGCTTCAGGATGAGAACAGAAATTGTGCTCCGGTGGTGCAGTGGCAGTGGGAGGCCCCATTAGCTAAAATGGTCTTCAGGTTAAGAACAGACCTCCGGAACGAATTAAGTTCTTAACCCGAGGTACCACTGTAATTTGTCTTTTATGACTGACATTGCCATTTGTGTGTCAAAGCTTCTCTCTCTGCCCATCTCCCCTCCATTTTGCTCTCGTTTCTTGGCATTTTAGTTTTTTGGCCCATGGGAAGGAATTGTCTTTTAAGTTTTAATTCTTTAGAGCACGTTGATTATCTTTGGGCACTTCAAAAACCGTGGAACATCCTCTAAGGCAAGTTCTGCTCAGTGGATATTCCCATCAGCTGGTGGCGCTGTGGTCTAAACCACTGAGCCTCTTGGGCTCACCAATCAGAAGGTCAGAGGTTCAAATCCCCATGACGGGGTGAGCTCCCGTTGCTCTGTCCCAGTTCCTGCCAACCTAGCAATTCAAAAGCACACCAGTGCAAGTAGATAAATAGGTACCACTGTGACATGAAGGTAAGCAGCATTTCTGTGCGCTCTGGCTCACAGTGGCCACATGACCCGGAAAGCTGTCTGTGAACAAACACCGGCTCCCTCAGCCTGAAAGTGAGATGAGCGCTGCAACACCATAGTCGCCTTTGACGGGGCTTAACCGTCCAGGGGTCCATTACCTTTTTTACCTTTTACCCATCAGCTGAAGGATGGAAGGGAGAAGTGATGCTTACAGATTTCCCCCTTCAGTCCCTTGTGCCCTGCAAAAATAATAATAATAATAATTCTTACTGGTCCCCTTCTTGCTCTTTCCAGATGCTAAGCCCTCTGTCTCTCTGAGTCAATTGGTCCAGCTGTGAACTCATCCTCACCCACTAGTCCCCAGTTATTTGGATATTTTGCCAGGAGGCAGCAGACGTGGGTGACAGCCACCATTCCACCCTAGATGGCAGGCAGCTAAGCATTTCAGCATTGTGGGTGTGATCAGAAGCAAGGGATTATGTAACTGTGTGGGATGATCAGAGCCTGCTTCATGATGTTCTTGAATACAGGGCACGAAGGCACTGTACTCTGATGCTCCAAGTCTTTATTTAGCTGCTACACACCAGAGTTCTGTCAGTAGCTCTGTGATTTATTTCCTTTGAGAAGGCACTTGATGAAGATCCATGCGGAATGTCAGTGGGCTGCTCCCTTGTAGCTCCCGCTTGTCCATCCCATTCCTGTGCATGTTTACTCAGGAGTAAGTTCAGTAGGGCTTGGTTCCAAGTGACTGTGCATAGGATTGCAATGTGAATGTTTACTTAGAAGTTAGTAGGTCCCACTGTGCACCATGAATCTTACTCCAAATAATGTTTATTTTTAGTTACCACATTTGTATGGCCACCCGGTTTTACCTCTTCACAGTGACTGGAAGAGGTATCTAGCCAGTCTATGTGAGTGTAGTTGAAGTCACCCATTACTACAACATTTCCTCTCTTGGGTGCTTCCTTGATTCCATTCTGCATCTCAAGGTCTTCCTGAGCATTTTGATCAGGGGGACAATTTCACATCCCCAGTACTAAATTACTCTTGAGGCCCGGCAGGGCTTTTTTCCAGCCAGAACCCACCAGAATTGAGTTCTAGCACCTCTCAGGTGGGCACCATTGCCATTATAAGAGAACAAGGGAGTTCTCTTATGGTGAGTTACAGCACCACTTTGTCTAGAGAAATAGCACTGGGGCCCAGTATCACCACCCAGCCTATGCAGAGGGTTGGAGACCATTCCAGAAATGTGAAATGCGACACATCAGGAACAAGGAGGGAAGGACAATTAACATCAGGATTGACTGCCCCGGTAGACCATGCCCCCTGAGGTGGTCGCCTCACCAGGCTTCCTAGGTTGGCCATGCCTGAATAAAGATCTAATAATAATAAATAATAATAATTTTATTATTTATAGCCCACCCATCTGGCTGGGCTGCCCCAGCCACTCTGGGCCGCTTCCAGCACATATAAAAGCACGATAAAACATAAAACATTAAAAACTTCCCGATACAGGGCTGCCTTCAGATGTCTTCTAAAAGTTGTATAGTTATTTATCCACAAGGAGGGTGCCACTACCGAGAAGGCCCTCTGCCTGGTTCCCTGTAGCTTCACTTCTTGCAGTGAGGGAACTGCCAGAAGACCTTCGGAGGTGGATCTCAGTGTCAGGGCTGATTGATAGGGGTGGAGATGCTCTTCAAGTATACAGGGTCGAGGCCACTTAGGGCTTTAAAGGTCAGCACTAACACTTTGAATTGTGCTTGGAATTGTATCTATGTTGTGATCTTCTGCCTCTGGAGATCCTGCCACGTGAGGAGGCCACCTCATCTGGCTTCATCATGGGCTTGCCCTGGTACATAGATACAGCAGAAAGTTACTTTATTGAATTACTCTAGTGGTGTCCCATCCAAAGAAAACTAAATGCTCTAGAGCTGCTGTGGGGATGGCACCACTTGAGGAAATGAGGATTGCTTAACGCCACCTGCCTTGCAGACTCTTTTCCTTACTGCTGCTTTCCCTCCCACTGCTCTTGAGATTAGCAGCATAGCAGAACATCTGGTCACAAAGGACTACACCCCTAGGAATCAAACTCACAAGGAAAGCTACTGCATAAATGGAAAGAAACTGCACAAGCCATTTGCTTGCCCCTGTGCCTGGTGGAGAATTACTCAGACTTATGCTGGAGAATCCTTGGCTTATGTTGCTGCCTCAGCTGCCAAAGCAAATATTCCCTTTGGCTTTTGTGCTTTACCACTTGGATTCTTAGAGAGCTAATACTTCATTTCAAGGTTACTAACTTCCATCCCGTTTCTTCCTAGTCTTACGGTGGCTACGTTGCCTCGCTGGCACTTGGGTCTGGCACTGGAGTGTTTCAGTGTGGGATGGCAGTGGCTCCTGTCTCCAGCTGGGAGTATTATGGTATGGAAACAACTTGTCAACATCACACCTTGAAAGCAGGGCATAGACAATGAATTGTTTTAGCAATGATGTCACTGTGAGGTGCTCTGCCGCTTGCGAAATTTACAAGAACCGCTGGCCTCAGCTAGGAACAAATTCTTCAAAATACACACGCACACCAAGCATGGTTCTCTTTGGCTAAGGTTGCCTTTTGGGGTGTTACACACACACACACACACACACACCAATCCCCAAGGCCGGTTTGCACAGTTCCTGGTTATTACAGCAGTGAATATTGGGGAAATATGAGAAACTGAGCTGGCAGTCAAGGAATGTGTTTCATTTGGAATAATATTGTTACAAAAATTGTGTGCCACCCTCACCCTGCTGAGTGATAGCAAGGGTCCATGTTTTCCTAAGACTGCAACCCAAACCCCACTTACCTGCGGGGAAGTAAGCCCCACCAAATTCAACAAGGCTAGCTTCTTCTGAGTAGACATGGTTAGGATTGCACTCTAAAAGGATGGAAAGTAGGGGAAAGTGGGTGCAAGGAGGCTCTTTCAAAGTACAGCAGAGACCATCCTTCACTCACAGCCAAGTGTGTAATTCTTGGGACCAGATTCAAAGGTTTCCCCCCTCTCCAGCAGCATCTTAGATGTGCAGTGATCCACACATAGGAACCCATTTCCACGTATAGCAAGACTGAATTTATAAATAAAAGTTTCTTTGGCATAAAGAAACCAACTTGCAATTTATGCATTTTGCGGAGGATTGTATTAAAATCACTCACCATAGCCTTCCTGAGTTCTGAATACGAGACAAGGTTGAAGAAGCAGTTAGCTTAATAAATTTTCCTTCCCTTTGCAAAAAAATATTTGCACAGACTGGATTACGTGGTTGTCTGTGGCCCTTTTACAAGGAAAAAAAAGAGTTTGTTTTGGTGGATGCTCATAGCCTTAAGATACCGCCAGCCTAACATTTATGACTACGTCTCCACCAGTCCCCTCCCACGACTGGCCCCGACTACTGCTGATTCTTTCCCCATATTGCAAGGCAGCTATTCCCAGAAGTAAAGCAAAAACACTCCCTCTGCAAATTCCTTAGGGCCTGGTGCCGCCAAAGTTAAGCACTGTTAAGTTCTTTTGATGCTAAAGGCAGAGATAAGCACATGTGCTCAATTCCTTTCCTAGTGAGATCAGTGGGATTTTCAGAATGTAAACTTCGGCTGAATCATGCTTTTAATGTGGACCAGGACTGCACAACATGCAACTATGCTGGGAGTCATGTATTGTGCTTTGCCCTGCATTTTTGCAGCCTTAGACAGCTCATTATTGAGTCCTCAGAAGGCTACTGTACATGAATTGCGGGCCATTTTATACACTAATAACAAAACTGTGGAAACTTTTAGGAAAAGTTGTACTGTATTTCTAAGATTTGATGGCTCTTAACAGTGTTTTTAAGACTAAAATTATATATCATTAGAAATATACAGTCATACCTCATGTTACGTTTGCTTCAGGTTGAGCGTTTTCAGGTTGCGTCCCATGGTGACCCGGAAGTACCAGAAAGGGTTACTTCTGGGTTTCGCCACTCGCGCATGCGCAGAGATGCAAAATGACATCACATGCATGCGCAGAAGCAGCGAATCGCAACCCTAGCAGACACGGGTTGTGTTCTGCTCATGTTGCAAACTGAATGGATCCGGTTTGCAACTAGAGGTACCACTGTACTTTCATGCAGAATATAATGCAAAAAACTATGTTGAATTATTTTTATTCTGAAGACAGGATATCCATATTTGGTAGTGATGGAATAAGGTGCATAAGAAGAAGAACTGGAGAAGGTTTGCTGCCTAAATGCAATGCAGCTGCCATCTAGTCTGAGACTGATTGACAGCAAAAGGCATGGGGAGAATTTGTGTGATTAATGGTACTCTAAATGGCGAGATGTTATGAAATACCCTTTATCTTTTATTTTTGGGGTGTATGCCTTCTTTTATTTTGCTATAACCTTTGATAGTATAAAGGTGATTCAACAAACTTTGTTGCATTATATTCTGCACTGGATTGTCTTTCTAATGATATATGACTTTATGGTATTATTCCCAAAAAGACTGATGTTATGAGCCACCAAAGCTCAGAAATACAGATTTTCCAAAAACTTTCTATGTTTTCGCCACTAATGTATGTCTGGTGACTTGTGTCCAGTGGTTCACGAGTTACAGCAGGGCAAACGTCAGGTTTTAACATTCTTTGTGGGAAATTAAGAGCAATATCTTTGAACATCTGAATGCAAGGAGTAAACCTTGCTGACATTTGCTATTCAAGAAGAACATCAGATGAGCCTGCTGGAACTTGCCAATGGCCCATCTAGTCCAGAAACCTGTTCTAACAGTGGCTGACCAGAGGCCTATGGGAAGTCTGCAAGCTGGACAACACTCTTCCTTTCTGTGGTTTCCAGCAGCTGGTATTCAGAGGCGCACAGCTTCCATCCATGGAGGCAGACCATCCTCTCTCTCTTGTGGCTACTAGCCATTGACATTCTTGCCTATGGACTTTCGTGTGTGAATCCTGTCATCAACATGCTATTGTATCTTGCAGCATCCATCTACACGGAGAGATTTATGGGCCTCCCAACCAAAGAAGACAATCTGGAGCACTACAGAGTAAGAATAACGAAACATTTCCCTCTCTTTCTTCTTCTCCTTTTACCAGTTAACCTCAACTTCCTTCCCTGCCTTTCTTTCCTTGGCTTAGTGGTATGTGTGCCACTTCTACCATCCACTGCTTCCATGATACTTGAGTGTAGATTCGGAGAAGTTGGTAGCAAAATCGTTTGATGAGAATGGTTTGTTACCTTGTGCACTGTTGTCTACTCAAGGTCAGAGTCTGGACCTACTAATTAGAAGTAGGCCTCTTAGCTTCTTAATTCCCCCTCCCTCTCTCTCTTCACTGGACTCAGCTACATTAGTAAAGGAAAAGCATTTTAAATGTGTTATAACATTGTGACACCAGGTGCCACTGTAGAGTTCCATCTTTCACTAATGTGATTTCCCCTTATGAGGTTGACAACACGTTTTCCTGAAATGTTTTTTTTTTTATGTGTGTAGATCCAGCCACTTTCTTTAAACTCCTTTTCTATTCTTTTTTTTTAATCTTCAAATTGCAACACACCAAAATGCAATCTCTGGGAAATTAAAAAGGCAAAAGAGAAAAGAGAAAAAAACAGCATGCCACCATCATAAAAGGGTTTTATGTTTCGCAACCACTGAGTTGTTCATTTCTGTCTCTCCCCGCCCTCCACTTTGCAGAATTCGACAGTGATGGCAAAAGCAGAGAACTTCCGTGATGTGGAGTACCTTCTCATCCATGGAACAGCAGATGGTGAGGTTTATGAAAAGCTAGTACAGATACCGAGAAATCACTTCGGTTAGGAAACGCTAAGCTTTCTTCTGTGTCCATGATTAGGGTCAGTACTCGCAACACATTTTATGTTTTTCTTTCCAGAACATCAAACAAAGCTGACTCATTGTTGATCATGATTCTATGTCTGCTGTAGAGTTTAATAACTCATGGCATGTCTAATGCAGCACAATTGTGTGCTTTCTGGTATTTTACCAGGTGTGTTTGGGTTTTTTTTTTAACCAGTCATTTTCATTTTGTCCCCCCCCCCCCTTTCTCGTTTCAGATAATGTACATTTTCAGAACTCAGCACAGATCTCCAAAGCCTTAGTCAATGCACAAGTGGATTTCCAGGCAATGGTAGATATTATCAAACAATTTAATTATAATGTTTCACTGTTTAATTCCAAGATTAGGTTTATCAGAGACTGGATGTAGTTCAGCATGAGAGCACATGGTTTGCAGGAACTTCCAAGCTGAGTTTCCAGTTAAAGGATCTCGGGTATTTATTTTTTTAAAAAATGTATTGAAAACATTAAATGGGCAGAACTCTGAAATCCCTCTAATTGTTTTTCACGTTAAAATGTTGTTAAAAAAACCCAAAACAACCAAAGAGAGAGAGTGAATGAACTGCTTCTCCCGAAGCACCACAAAATACCTGAAAGTCACCTTTCCCTGATCTCTGATAGATATGAATGGTTCTGCTCACTCTGTACATGCTCAGAGGTGCACTATTCAATATTACTTTTGTGCTCCAAGAATAAAGATGTGTAACTGAAAACAGGTTATATAGGTAATGCTTAGTTAGCTGTAAAAGCTGGGAGACAGTTGGATCCCTGATGGATCTTTGGAACTGCAGCCCTGACCATTTCCTTACATGCAAGTTTAAGCAGATGGGAAGAGGAAAATCACAGATATTTTTGTATCCCCTGGGGAGGAGGGCCAGGTTTACTTCTTTGGTTCCTGAAACAGCAGACGTTCCCTGTGCCTCATCACAGGTTGAGACTGCCTTTGAAACTCTTTTCAAAAGTGTGGTTTGCTGTGTAGCATTTGGGGGCAGCAGGGAGGGGAGGGTTGCTGTTCACAGAACTAGTTTCCACTGGTACAGTGGTACCTCAGGTTAAGAACTTAATTCGTTTCGGAGGTCTGTTCTTAACCTGAAACTGTTCTTAACCTGAAGCACCACTTTAGCTGATGGGGCCTCCTTCTGCCGCCGCAGCACGATTTCTGTTCTCATCCTGAAGCAAAGTTCTTAACCCGAGGTACTATTTCTGGGTTAGCGGAGTTCTGTAACCTGAAGCGTATGTAACCTGAAGCGTATGTAACCTGAGGTACCACTGTACTTTAGATTCTAGTACTGTAATTAACTATGGGGTTAAAATACGTGTTTCTCTTCCTCTTCAGTGGTATGCTGACCAGGACCATGGGATTCCAGGCCTTTCTCTTAAGCACCTCTACACCCACATGACCCATTTCCTCAAGCAGTGCTTTTCCCTGGCTTAAGGAAAGTCCCTCCTCTCCATGGGCCTGCACAGCAAGGAGAACGACGCGTGCTTTGCTAGAAAGCAACACGAGCTGCACAGATTAAGCATATTCTGGAAGCGGGATAAGAAAGCGAGAATTAAAGAAGGCTTGGCATGGACAGTCTCTTGTGGACACATGAGCATTAGCAAATAATATTACAGTTTGCGTCCAGGTACATATATTTGTTAGGAAACAAATGAACAATAAAATAAAAATAAAAACAAGTGTTTTGAAGGCTACACATTTTGCTTCTTTTCCTCCTTCAGTCCTCAGGGGTCAGATACATGTATCCATCGTGGAGTAGGGGACAGGGTGCCAACTTGAATAAAATATTGGGGCACGCAAGCTCACATAATTGATCACATGACACAGTGCACGCACACTATTTGAATGGCAATGCCCATCAACTTTGGGGGGGCAGCCCCCTCAAATATTTTATTGGAGGGGCTGATGCCCCCTTGGTCCCTATGGTAAGGGAGTATTTCTGAAAGGGACATAGCTCTGTGATAGAGCATCCCAAGTTCAATTTCAGGTAAAATTTGAGGTAAAATATGGTTTGCCTCAAATCCTGGGGAGCTGCGGCCAGTCAATATTGGCAATTGGACCAATGGACTTACTCGGTTTACCTGCTTTGTTCCTACAGGAAAAGGTAGCCTAGACTGTGTTCACACTTCTGTTTCCTATGCACTCACTGCCTTCCCGGTGCTGGGTTTTTTAATATATGCTCACACGATGTTATCCAAAATGCATATGCATCCTGTCCTTTGTTGTGAAATACTACTGTTTGTTGTTTCTCAAACCAGCTTGACACCAACTGATGGGAGTCCTTAAGCCGTTCCTAATTCATCTCCAGCCAATGAGACGAACACCGTAAAAACATCCCCACCACTCAATGCCCTCTGGTGTATGCACAAATGGAAATGAATCTGCTGCTAATTAATCTGTGCTGGTGTGAATAGCTGTGGGGGAAGTGCTGTGAAATGCACTGGCAAGAACACATTACTATCCTCTAGGGTAGTACCCTCCAGGGACATGGGTGGCGCTCTGGGTTAAACCACAGAGCCTAGGACTTGCTGATCAGAAGGTCGGCGGTTCGAATCCCCATGACGGGGTGAGTTCCTGTTGCTCGGTCCCAGCTCCTGCCCACCTACCAGTTCAAAAGCATGTCAAAGTGCAAGTAGATAAATAGGTACCACTCTGGTGGGAAGGTAAATGGCGTTTCCGTGCACTGCTCTGGTTCGCCAGAAGCGGCTTACTCATGCTGGCCACATGACCCGGAAGCTGTACGCCGGCTCCCTCAGCCAGTAAAGCGAGATGAGCGCCGCAACCCCAGAGTCGGCCACGACTGGACCTAATGATCACCTAGGGCAGTAATGTGAACACCTTTAGGATGCCAGGGGGAGGGACTGTCAAATCCAAAGCCTTACTGGGCTCACTTATGGCAGATGATGATGTTGTTTGTGATTCAAGGACCCGCCACCCACTTGAGGATAAGAAAGACACATGGACACGGTATATTAGGTTAATAGGCTAAAAAAGGCCACAACTTCATTGATTACAGCATGTGAGAGGTATTGGCTTAGGCACTGGATAGACCACAGCGAGTGACTCCACCACCTCAGGGAGGGGTGAGTCTATCAGGGGTTAATGGATGGGAAGCGCTGCCACAGCCGCATTTGAGTGACAAAACCCCGCCCCCAAGGCTCCACCTGGTTGGTTGGCTACCCGGGGGCGTGGCGCAGCAGCTGGGACGGCTGGGCAGGGGCTGAAACGCCTCCTGCGAACATGGGAAACGGCTCCCACTCACAACCCCTCTGCAAGGAGGAGAGGCTTTCTCTGGTCTTCTCCTTTTCATGGGGGGAGGACACTGTGTCCCAACCCCAGCTTTCCCCTCTCCACAGTCCCAAATCAGCTCCAACCAGCTCCACGGCTGATGTCTTCCCTTTTTCTGAGGATGTGTCTGAGGAGTTTGAGGCCTTTGGATCCCCTGATCTAGCCTCAGCACACACACTGTTTGCTGTTACCCACTCACCCCCCAGCTCAAGTCTCTGCACCTGCAAAAGGAGGCTTATGAGGTAAGACCTCCTCTGAGGTCAGATGGAGATCTGTTCTCTTGCTGTCATGACACTCAGTTGGAGGCCATAGGATTGTTCTCCAATGAAATTAAAGGAAGTCCAGGTAGCACAAATGAATCATTGCCATGTGAAATAGCAATCAAGCGATGGATTGTTTAAGGGCAAAGATGGGCCATGACTCAGTTGTAGAGCATCAATCCCCAGCATCTCCAGGTTGGGCTGGGAGAGAACCCTGCCTGAAACCCTGGAGAGCTATCAGTGTAAACCAGCGATGGCCAAACTTGGCCCTCCAGCTGTTTTGGGACTACAACTCCCATCATCCCTAGCTAACAGGACCAGTAGTCAGGGATGATGGGAACTGTAGTCCCAAAGCTGCTGGAGGACCAAGTTTGGCCACCACTGGTGTAGACAGTATAGAGCTAGTCTGTCTCAGTACAAGGCAGCTTCCCCTGTTCCTAATATGGTAGCTATCCAGATGTTGTTGGATTCCAGCTGCCATCATCTATGATCTTTGGCCTAGCTGGGTGGGTTTGATGGGACCCGGAATCCAACAGCATCCACAGGGCCCCATGTTGGCTGCCTCCGGTCTACTGAGCTAAAACTGCAGAGGTATGGAGTTGACTTGCTGTGCAGCTATCTTGTTTTGTTTCAGCCCATCTGATTCTCCTGCCATGAGAAGACTTTTCAGACAGCAGACACATCTTTATGTAAATGCCTCTGCCAAGCTGTTTTTGACGATTAAATTAAACTCTGATAGGAACTCTTTTAGAAAATATTAAATTCAGCAAAAGAGTTTTTTTGGAAGCGCTGCCAATTAAGAGCGTTAATGAGCTTTTTGTTGGTAATGTAATTAGAATTCAGCTGCTGCAATTGTTAAAGGGGGGGGATTATAGCTCAGAGAAAGTTAACATTAAAAAAAAAGCAAATACAACACAGAAGAACACTAATTTAAAGAGTGATTATATAGGTTCCGCAAGGAGCCTGGCAGCAATGTCTCTTCCATTCCGTAACTTTGCAAACAGGGGAGGAGCTGGAAGTAACAAAGCCCAAGCCTCTGATCCCTTGAACTGATACAGCTTTTCTAGCCACTATTATGGTGGCAAAACCTTCCTAAGGTTTCTTTTAATCCGATCTTCACCTCCCTTGAAATTCCTTGCATGTTTGGTCTAGGCGGGAACCTCTGAATGAAATGTGAGATTTCACATGTGACGAAATCCAACGGCAGTTCCAGTTTGGTGCAGTGAAGTTGCAATAATATACACACTTACAGCGCAGTCCTAACCATGTCTGTGTAGAAATAAATCCTATTGAATTAAGTGGGGCTTTCTCCCAGATAAATGAGGGTTTAGGCTGCAGTCTTGGTAGGGAACTAAAGCTAGGCAGCCCATGTGCCCTACTTTAGAAGACAATCCTATATTGCAGGAGTGGGAAAACCTCTGGTAGAAGTCCCAGTTTGGCCCGTGAGGCTGTTGTCACAAAACCATGGCCACCTGCCGCACATCAGAAGTCACTAGTGACACTACCTGGACACTGAGGTCTAGTGCCAAGGGCCTTCTGGGGGTTCCCTCACTGTGAGAAGCCAAGCTACAGGGAACCAGGCAGAGGGCCTTCTCAGTAGTGGCACCCACCCTGTGGAATGCCCTCCCACCAGATGTCAAAGAGAACAACTACTACCACACTTTTAGAAGACATCTGAAGGCAGCCCTGTTTAGGGAAGCTTTTAATGTTTGATGGATTACTGTATTTTAATATTTTGTTGGAAGCTGCCCAGAGTGGCTGGGTATAAATAATAAATTATTATTATTATTATTATTATTATTAGCTGATGGGAAGTAAATGGAAGCTCATTGGATTGGGGACTGTGGGGAACTGAGTTGTGCAGGTGGTCCCCTGCAGAAAGCAACATTGCCAGCTATATGGTTGGGGTTTCCCAAGTGCTGAGCACAGGGCTGGCAAAGTCCAACATGCTATGTTTCCCAAGCGCCTGGCAACCAGCCGACTGCCGGACACCTCAGAAATGCTGCACAAGGGACTTGGACATGTGGGCTGTCATTATGTCAGCTGAATGACAGGTGGGTTGTCTCTCCCACCTGTCCAAGTTGGGCCAGGAAGACTCTTCTTCCCTGCTCTATTTGAAATAAGTCTAGTTTTGCACGGTTGTCTGGCTTTAAGAGATAAACAAACCACCATTCATATCTTTCTTTAAAATAAACCAAGCATTTCCAGTTTCCCTTCTTCTCCTTCCCTGGTTCCATTAATCTTCCCACCTATCCCGCATATTCTTGTATATCCATTTAACTCCCTTATTCTTTTATTATTCCTTTGTTATGTGTTATGCCATTGAATTCACCTCAATCCTACTAACATTTTCACAGGTTTACAGTTGTTTTCCAAATACTCCACAAAAAATGTCTATTCCTCTTTATATACTTGATCTTCTTCTTCTCTTGTTTTCTTGTTAGACCCACTAAATCTGCATATTGTGTCATTTTTAATTGCCAATCCTTCTTATTTGGGACCTTGCTCACTCGCCATTTCTGGGCTAACAAAATCCTAGCAGCTGTAGGGGGGAAAAATAGATTTTTCTGAGATCTAGGTTCTTCCGTCTGTACCATTCCCAAAATGTGGTTTTGAATAATGTAACATTGAAAAATATAAATAATTTTTTTTAAAGAGATAAACGAATCACAAGAACGGAGAAAGAAGAACCTTGATAGCAGGCTAAGCAGACATTAAGGTCACCTGGTTATAGTCTTCCCAACAATGGCAGGTTGTATTTCTATTTTAAAAATTACAGCAATTATTTCCAAATGCGCATTTATACATAAAAAGCACGTGCAATTTCAACTCAAATCTGTGTCCTCTTTTGGAGGGGATGTGCAAGCAAATGCCCACATAAAATAAGACCGTTGAACACAGTGGTGTTCAAGAAGTTTCACAGAAGTGATTCATAGATGGAATGAAATAAATAAATGAAATAATCCTAAGCATGCACAGATTTCTTCGTTGGTGGGCCCTGCAAGAAACTTACCAAGAGGATGTTAGTGCACTGTGTTCCTTTGGGGTCTTCCTTATAGAGATTTAACATTTAACTTAAACAGGCAGATTTGGATCAAGTCTTTTGAGCGGGGGGGGGGGGGGAGGAGGCTGTGCATGCTGAGCAA